CCGGGGTGTGTCCGAAAGTCTGCCCGGGGTGTGTCCGGGGTGTGTCTGGGGTATGTTCGGACTTTTTGCCTGGGGTGTGTTCGGGGGTCTGTCTGGGGTATGTCTGGGGTGTGTCTGGGGTGTGTCTGGGGTATGTTTATACCCCACCTTCTGCTTTTTCGCCAAAAATTTGTATTCAGGTCGTGATTGACTGCCATTTGCATACCCCTGACACACCCCCGAACATACCCCTCGCATGCATTTTTGACCAGCTGCTGCAGTTTAGATAGTAATGTGACCTGCCTGCTTATTTCTGTGTGATATGCAGGAGCGGCTGAACACGCAAGGGGTTTTGGACAAGGCGCAGAAGGAGCTGTTGGAAATATCCTGTGCAAAAGTATCGTACTCGTATTGCAATCATGCATTACAAATCTTTTTGTTGTGGTAAATCCGCATTACAAATCTTATTTCTCATGCTGAGGAGATTTGTAATGCATTTATACGAGTACGATTGCGATACTTTTGCAATTCATAGGAAAAGTCGCTCTACGATTCGATGATTGCGGAGCCGCCTTTATCAAATTGAATATATCGGCCTGGGTCTGGAACATTTTTGCGAGATTTGTCATGTTAAGTAGTCTGGCATGGCGCTGAGCTGACGCTTCTGTATTGCGGGGGCGCAAAGAGGAGCTCCTCTTGCATTGCATTACTGTGTGTGCATTGCTGTTCCCTGACTTGCATCACAAGTTTCCAGAGGACCCAAACCACATATTTCCAGTTGATAGCCTCTGCCCGTGACGGATTCCACGGTCGCGGCGGTCGGAGAGGCGATTGGCAAGGAACTGAAGATGCCGATCGGGAAGAATTCCGGGTCCACGACGTGCTTGACCCGCGGCAACGCCTCGACCACGACCAGCACGGGCGGGGTGCACGAGTCGCCGGACTTGCCCAATGACTCCTCCCAGGACGATCTGAGCCGCCGGGCCAGTGACAGCGATGATCACGCGGACAGTGACAGTACATGGCATAGCTGGTTTTCTTTCGGTTATTTGCATTTTCTCATGAGGTCGACTGCGTGACAGATTCTGAGCAAATTATATAATTCCTTAATCAGCTCCGGTTTCCATCACGGACATGAAGCAGAACACCGAGCTCACCGAGGAAAATTTGTATCAACTGCAAAAATGTCTGGGTCTGAAAACTTGTAATGCTAGAAATGAATGATAGACGCACTGCAATACGCAGCTATGCATAACAAATTTTTTGGCTGTCATGTCTTACGTACTCCGCATGGCAAGCTGCGTCTTTGCAGGACAGGTTAGAGGGCTTTTTCGTGCCTATGCAACACAGATTCTCCAGTCATGCCAGACAATTGCATTCTTCCAGACCCAGACATTTTTGCATTTGATAATTTGAAATCCTGGACCAAGTACCGGATGCGCCAGCCACGGTAATGTTATACGAATTGTAGAACTAGAAGTTGGATTGGACAGTATGAGAACTTGTTCTTGTTTGTGTAGGTCTGAATTCGCATGACAAATGTATGTTGTGTGTTTTAGAGCATCTTCCCTTTAGAAGTTTGAAAAAAAAATAATGCACAACAGCACGGTGAAAAATCTGTTCGATCCTGAGCAGTCGGAAAGTACGAAAAACAACGCCGGAAATAAGAAGAACGCTGCTACTGCTGCTACTCCCACCAGTCCGAGCGCGACGACTTTGCTGCAAGAGACTTCTTCGTCCTCGGCAGCGAAACTTCCCGACACCTCCACCGCCTCTGCTGCACACGAGAGCTGCAACGTGACCTGCACGAAGCTGACCCACGCGGAGCGGAACGTGGACGACGTCTCCTGCAAGTGGTTAGAGAAGGTTATGTACGTGCTCGTCTGGCTTCACGACGTCTACTACCTTTGGATCCAGAAGCTCTGCAGCCCCCTCTGCAAGGCCATCCCCCGGGAGGTGGAGGTGCCAGCGGAGTTTGTGCCGGGTTTCGTCGCGACTGCGCTAGCACCATTGGATAATCACCAGGACAAGGAGGAAAACAAGAAAAGCACCAGTGGGGTTGTTTTATCGAAAAATAAGTGCAAGAAAGACCACGACATGATGATGACTGAGAAGTGCTCACCAACGGTTACTTTGACGGTCTTCACGGCGAACATCGTTACCTACGCCCGCACCTTACTCACCTTGGTTATCTGCGGGTTGCTGAAGTACGAGTACGGTCTCACCGCCGCGTTTTTGGTGATGTACCACGATTTTCTGGATCACGTGGACGGGGTCGTCGCGAAGGTGCAGCGGGAGGACGGCCGCGCGAAGAATGACGATGGGCGATGGGATATCCTGTGTAAAAACGTCCCCACACCAGAGTCAGGATAAGGATTTTGCAACACAAATCTAGGAGTTTTGTGAGTCACGCATGACAAGTTGCACTCCGCAGTGTAGTGCAGGTCAGCATGTGCAGCCGCATCACAGATTCATCTGCTCATCCTGTTCACAGCATCACAAATTCCAAAACACGACTGGAAATGGCTCTCATGGGGATGCGCATCACAAATGTCCTTGTCAATGCAAATCTGCATGGCAACTCTGGGGTGGGGACGTTTTTACTCAGGATATGGGGCGGGTTTGTGGACGCGCAGTGTGACAAGGTGGTGTTCTGCACCTGCCTGTGGACGCTGATCATTTTGAACCAAGGAGTAAGCGGCGACGCCGGAGGTGGAGATCTTTTTGTTTTGCAAAAAATTTACTTGTCTGTTTGGGTCATATTATCGTGCATTGACGGACTTTATCATACGTGAATGAAAATTAACTATTAAAAAACAATCTGTCGAACAACAAAACAGCCCTCACCTACATCCTCAACTGCGGTCTCCTCCTCACGTGCTTTCTGCTGATCTGCATGGAACTTGCGATCGCATGGGTCCGCACCCGCGACTATTTTCAGGCGGTGTACAACACCTCGGCGTCCGCCAAACAGGGCGCGCTCCGGGCGATTTCAGAGGGAAAACTCAAGCAGAAGATGGAGAGTTGCGGGGTACATTTTATTTTTATTGTGTGCTTGTCATCATGCGATAGTTACGATTGTATGCAGTATGTATCGGTTTTTCCTGCTGTGAAGAAGCATATGTTCGCGTCATCTCATGATCATGCGGCAGAACACGACAATGAAAACAGGTCGCAGTGTTGTGCCTCATTTCCCCGTACCCGATGGCGCAGCCAGCACTTTGCATCACCGGAATGGCGCTTCTGTGGGTTGGAACTTTTTTTGCGTTTAAGAGCTTGGAGCACAAGTTGCGGCACTCCGTCCAGTGACGGAACTTACGTGGTGCAAGAAGTGCCGACAATCTGATTATAATTTCATGTAACTGCAATTTATGAATAAATCTGCTAGAAGCGCCATTATCAACAATTATGAATAACTATGACTCAATCACCATACTAAAAAAGGGGAACAAGTGTAACTGTAATTATGATTATGCCATCGTCGATACAACTACGAAAATTTAAAAGCGGAATACTAGCAAAATAATTGGGGTGTTGTCATGCTAGGAAGAGGAAGATGAAACCTCAACCAAATTCTGAAATCTTTTCATCGACTTCTACAATATTACCAAATGGGATTTTCAGGGATATTTTTGTTATGGAAAATCAAGATTTGTCACACAGCTTTCAGCAATCAAGTTTTAGACAAAGCACTCTTCACTGAACTTTCTATGGCAAAACGCCGTTTTCATCTTGCTAGCTCATTTTTTTTTTCGTGGTCGACATTTATGTGTTTGTGCAGTATCTGCAGACGACATTTCATTTTATCCCACTCCTATTTCTGGCCAGCAGATCAGAAGCAGTGTAGGTTTCTGGTTTATGCGGAAATGGTAACGTGGGCTTGCTGGACGTCATATTTGGCCCAGGGGCTGGAGGCAACAAGGACTTCACCGAAATAACGATAAACCGTCGATCCGGACTCTACAACCTAAACCACACCACAAGTACACTCTGATTTGCTGGCAGGACTAGTAGAGGAGGACTTCATTCTTGAAAACGCGGCCGAAGAAGACTTCACGAGTGAGAGCGGAAAAATGAACCATCGAGAAGCAGCAGGTGGCTTTCCTATCTAGAACCACTACGACCGGAGAACTGTTGCTTCGTGATACAACACGCTCAATGACAACACACTGCCGCAACCGCCTTGAAATTTTCAGAGAACCCCCGTCGGAGCTTCTAAATCCATCTACTACTGCCGCCTTTAGTCTTCTCAGGCCGTCGTCGGGACGGAATAGTAGTTTTTTCCCCCTCCAGGTTTTTGTTTTTTTCGCAAAGACCACCCGATATAGAAGTAGCCCACCTGAAATTTGTAAATTTTATCGAAGAGGATATAGCGAAAGCATTGGTTTCCTGCAGCTGGACATCATGATCCTGATGTAGGGCGACCGGTGTGTAATTTGCAGTATCCATATGGTGAAATTTTAAAGCGGAAAATAACAATGAACAAGCTGAGACTCAATGAAATCCAGCGGAGAACAAGACTTTCGTGCCAGCTGTCCGGACGGATGATTTCGCCTTGTCAAAATTTACAAAATCTTTAATAGTGGTTAGGAGAAAAGTCAAGGATTACACATACACGATTTTTCAGGCAACATGCAAGACTTACTAGGTGAATTAACACCGACCAGAATATTATACGATTGGTCCCGACAATATGGATTTTCTAGGTACTACCAAAAATATAGTAGAGCTGAGTTTTGTTGTGTTAGCAAAAGCCGAGCTATGGGGCTTTTGCGGTTTTTGTCATCCTCCAGGCAAGATTGCGCTTGCCTAGCAAGCGGATATGAAACTGCAAGGAACTCCTACAAGAGACAGAAAACATTTTTATCCAGAACTTCTACACTAAATGGCCCTGCAAGACTGAAAAGCATGTTATTAAATGGAAAGCAAGCGAGGAAGCCGTTTTTTGGTTGTGTTCGTTGCAGCGCTGGGCGATTTCCGGGCGAGGCCGATGCATTCGGACCTGGACGCGATGATCTTTTCGGGCGAGGTCAACTTGTGGCTGACGTGGATTGTAGTGCAGGATTGCAGGGGCCTGCCGGCTGCTCACCAGCAGCCCGCCGGGCTGCCCCTCAATCGCGCGACCGGCGCCCGGCCGGGAAGAGAAAAGGAGAAGGCCGCGGCTTCCGCGGGCTCCTCCGAGCCGCCGCCGCCGGCAAAGGCCAAGGGGATCGGCGGCGCGCGGCGACTGGAGGCGCTGCGGAACCAGGCCGGCAGGGCCGCCGGGGGTTTTTTGGTGGAGAACGCCGGGAAGGCTTCGGCGAATTAAGCCGCGCCAGTGCCCGCGCGCGTACCGGCCCGCCGGAGTGTGCCGCGACAAGCGAAGGCGCGCGGCCGCCTGGGGCGCGGCGGGTCTGCCCCTAGGCGCCCCCCCCCCGAAGGGGGCAGCCTTCCGGCCCGCCCGTCCTGCCGAGGCCGTGCCGAAGGTGCTCATGGGCCCCCCGGGGCCCGCGGCGCTTTAGGGCGCCAAACTGGGGGGCGGCGAAGGCCGCGGCGGGCGCAGCCTTTAGAGGCACACCCTGACAAGGGCGGGGCGCGGAGGGCGGGGGATGGCGGGGAGATTGTGCACGTGAAAGGACTTCGGCAACTGCCGGCGGGCGCTTTTCCGCGAGAGGCCGTGGCGCGATGCGGGGGCGGCGCCGACGTTCGCCCCGCGAGGCTGGCCCTGCTATTGGGGGGCGCCCGGCTGCTTGACGCAAGCCCGCCCGGAATTGGGGCGCGGCCCCGGCGGCCGAGGGCGGACAGGCCGCCCGGCCGCAGTGCCTGCCCTGCGTCGGCTCCGCTTTGCGGCGCCTACCGCAGTGCTGCGCAGCGCTTCGCGGTGGTTGCACAACTGGCCCCCGAAGGGCAGTGGCGCGCCGCCGTCTCTTTTCCGGCGGCCCCGGCGGCGTGGCGGCCCGCATGCCCCGCCGCCATGGTCTCGCGCGCCGCCCGCGCGAGACAGGGGCCGCTCCCGTGCGCCCCCCCTTGCAGCCCTTTGGGCCCGGCGCCGCCTGCCGATGCGCCCTCGGCTCGCTGCGGCAGGAGCGTTCGTGCCCGTGAATAACAGCGCGCGCCGCCTGGCCTATTGTTTTTGCTGGATTGGAGCGGCCGGCCAGTTTGGTTTGGAGGCCTGCGTCCGCGTTGCCACTTTTACTAGATACGCATACGACCGCTGCGTCGCCACGGTGCAGAAATTTGCGTGCCGTCTCTCTCCAGTGTGTTCAAAAAAAAAACCTTTCTGGGCGGTAAATTGAACCTTGTTCCAGCGCTACGACTAGCGAAGAGACGCTCACTCACAGCCAATTCATCCAACTGGCATGCCATTAATTTTGAGGAGCTTCCCTACAAAAATTACTGGAATTTGTGAAGCAACCTAACTAGACACCACTCAAGCTGCGCCTCCTCGAGCAGAGCAGCACCCTTTCCGTTCCTGAAAAAAGAAACCTCCTAAGAATGCTACGTCGTTCGAAACTTCTTGCCCTCGCCACTGTCGCCATCCGAGCGGAAAGTGGCTCTCCCGATCCCGCACCCACAGCCCAAGAAACCACTTCGGAAGCCACACCAACGCCAGTCCCCGACCAAGCGGCACAGGAGCCCGCGCAACAGGCTGCACAGGAGCAAACTACAGCAGCCTCCGATCATGCTGCCGTCCCCGCTCCAGCCGCAGATATCGGTAAACAGGACGAAAGCCCAAGGGGCACTGCTGAAGAAACTCCCGCCGCTGCTGCGGAAGCGACAACTGGAAATGAAACAGATAGCAGCATAACTGCAACGTCGGAGAACAAAACCGATACAATTTCTGACACAATCATGAGCAACCTCACCGTCACCTGGGTTGTGAACATCACCGGGCCCACAACTTTCACCGGGCGGGCGCAGGGTGGTCAGGTACCTTCTTTGGTTCCTCATTTTGTCGTCCTACAGATGATGAACGCAAAACATCAAAAGGCACTGTTGCTTGCATGTAAGAAACAGAGAACAAACTACTTTATCGGGCATAAAACAAAAGATGCGTCACACGCCGGAGCACGACCGGGCACGCCGGGTGAAGACGTTCGAGTTGACCAACGTGAAGTGGATCGGCGACGACGCGGAGAAGGGGATCCGGGCGTTCAAGAAGAAGATGCAAGACAAGGCCCTCGTGCTGGTCCGGGACGCGCCGCAGAAATACCAGTCCTACGTCGCGGAAACGTGGGACGAAGCCGCCGCTCGGGATGGCGAATGGGGAGCGGGTATATATGATGCGCATGCTCAATCATTGTCGTGCCCATGCAACCACACAAATGTAGTGGCTTCATCTCATCTTCATGCGTGGCTACAAATCTATAAACGCAAAACACCATTATCAGAAAACCGCGTCCCGAACGCCACCAAGTACCCGAAGACCATCCTGGACGCCTGGTTGTTTGAGGGTGTCCACTATGCAATGCAAAAGCATCGTACTAGTATAAATTGCATTGCAAATTAGCCCAGCATTACGAATTAAATCTGTAGTGCTGATTTGCCTTGAGAAAGAGATTTGTAATGCATGAATGCAATTACTACGAGTACGATACTTTTGCAATGCATATCCACATTGGGCAGACCCTGGTGGATGAGTACCCGCAGCTGTACCAGTGGGCGGAAGAGGAGGACCAGATCGAGGTGGACGAGGACATCCAGCGGGCCCAGAACGTCGTCGACCGCATTGTGCGCGACGATCTGCGGGACCGGTCGGACAACAAGGAGGCGCTGACCGAGGAGGACTTTGCCCAGCACAAAACCAAGCTCCTCGAAACCGATGAGACCCTGCAGAAACTCCAGCACAACCGGCACATCATGCAGAAGGCCACTTCGTTTGTCCGCGAATACAAGATGAAAACGCTGCAGGAGTTACTCGCCACGGTGGTCGGAAAAGAAAAGGCGAACGAGGCACTGAACGGAGGAGCTGCTGGTTCGGGCAACAAAAAGACCACGGGAAACAAGAAGAAAGAGGGTAATAAAAGTGGTGCGAAGGAAAAGAAATCCTTCTTCGCCAAGGACTTTTTGCAGTACCTGTCCGCGATCTTCGTGGTCATCGTGGTTTCCATCGGCGCGGCGTGCAACTTCGGGCGCGGACAGAAAAAGTACAAGACCAAGCCGAGCCGCGCTTTCATCGAAAGGGAACAGCGGTCGTTGTGATTTTTTTCTTGGTGCGTATCATGATGACTACGCTTGTTTAATATTCCGGTTGCAAGGAATGTAACGCAAGGGAAGTGCGCAATGCCAATTTTTTCAAAATATTGCTAAAAATTTTTGTGTGCGCGACATCATTCTCACGTCAACGGCATGTGTTTGAAAAACAACTTTTCAATTTAAGGTTCTCATTCAGTTTCACCGTCAGACGAGTTTTGTGTACGTAAGTTAGTAGTTTGTTTTCGTCATTCTGTTTTTGTCATTTGGTTGCTTTCTCAGTTGCTCACATCTTCTGCCAAACTCACAGACCATTAGATACTCGTTGTGGTGCCCTTTTCATTTCAACGCCACAGAATCAGCCTGCAATCCTGCAGCCGAATCCACAATGCGGAACCGCCACTGCACACTGCAGTGCCGTTTTACGGTAGTGCGTGTCTGTGGATGAGATTCTTGAAGCACGTCCTTCCGAAACGAAATCCAGCCCGAAAGCCATTGCCCACAAACCCCTGCTAGAAAGAGCGAATGAGCTGGTGGGAAGTTCTGCAGATGACACAGTACCACCTCATCGAAGAACTACCACTCGGACGCCTTCCAACATTTCGCAACGCGTGGAAATTTAACCTTTTTCCTCCCTAGAAATACTAGCTCTAGCTCACGACAAGTCTATACTTTCAAAGATGGCAACCTCCTGCTCCGTCGCGACGATGGACCCGCCGAGCGCTGACGTTACTTCCGCAGACACGGAGGTGGCGCTTTTGCGCGCGGAGGTGCAAAGCCTCAAGGAAGAGATGCGGTCCATGAAAGAAACGGTCACGAAAGAAGTGCTGGACAAAATCCGATCGGAGATCCGCCAGTTGCAACACGAATCCGCAGCTCGGGACAGAGCCCAAACCCCGTCCTTCTTCCCCCGTCGCGCGGCCGGTCCCTTGAAAATCGATGTGAAAACTAGTACCGCGACGACGCAGCCCTGCTGGCTCGCGAGAGACCATCACCAGCAAACAAGTGGGTTGACCCCTTCCCCCACAACCACGACCAGCACCAACACGACTTTGCTCTCCTCTTCTGCCGGCGGGACGCCCAGTATCGCCGCCACGAAAGTTAATATTCAGCCTGCGAACAACAATCCTGCAGCTGTGATGCAACAACATGGGCTTCCGGAGCACCAAACTGGTACAACTTCTAGTTGCAAGCCGATCGCGATCAAATTGAACAATAGCACCAGCACCACTTTCTCAAAGGAACCCGCACAGGTTGCGAACGTCACGGTGATCCCCCCGCCGCCGACAAACGCGTCTACCACGAATAAATTCGCCGCTCTGGGTTTTGTGGACACGACGAATAGTACAACAACCGGGAGTACAGCGACCAATTTTGTTCACAACAACGGGGCAGGTGCGAATAAACACTACTGGTCCACCCGAAACCACAACAACCCCGGTGGTCCCGGCGGCCGCACGCCCGGACCGACGAGATTTGTCGCGAATCCGATTCTCCGCTCGCTTTCCCCTGTCATGGGCATTCGCACGCCGGGACCGTCAATCCGCGTGGCGTCGGTTCCGAAGCAGAAGCCGCACTACATCAAGCCCAGTGCAAGTTTGGCGGCGAACCCAGTGATGGTAAGGAGGGAAAATAACAATCCCAATTTCGCATCAAACACAAATATCAAAAACCCGACAAAGAAGGAAGAAGTCACCCTCGCGCCAAGCGCGGCGGAGATGGTGGGTTTAACGGGGACTACCGAAACTGACGTAGCGAAGGCTGGAATTATCACGCCGGGGTCAAATGTTGACAACAAACCGGCATCAAGTGGTTGTAAAAATGCGGTGATGCTGTCTACCGGCAAGACACTCGTTTTGAACACGTCCGTGATCGCGCGGAACCCCCTGGTTGCAACGGGAAACGGGCAGGAGCCGACGATCCGTAGATCAGGGAGCTCTACCATGAACAAAAACAACTCCCGGACCAGCAGCATTGTGCCGATGGTAACGCGAGGAGGAGATAATCTTCCGGTTTCTTCTTCTATCACGATGGACCCGAACCGTCCGTCTTTTTCCCGGGAGCCCCGACTCACGGTGGAGGACGAGGATTTGCAGCCGGACGACAGCAAATCGGCGACCACGGAAAAGGAGGACGATGAACGCGAGGAGACCGTGGAGAACATTGCCTTGAAAGATTGCAATGCCAGCCGGGCTATGAATTGCAAAAGTATCGTACTCGTACAAATGCATTACAAATTTCCTCAGCATGAGAAACAAAATTTGTAATGCGGATTTGCCTTAAGACAAAAATTTGTAATGCAAGACTTGCATTTATACGAATGCGATACTTTTGCACAGGATACGGGCGGAAGATGACGAAAACGATGAAAACGACCTCTGCAACTCCGACAATGACCAGGATGAGCGCATGTCGATCGCTATCAAATGTAAGAATGTCTGGGTCTGGAAGAGTGCATTTTTGTCATGCTTGTCTGGCATGACTCTCAAATCTGTCATGCACGTTACCCAAGAGCACAATTTTTCTGTCATGCAGAAACGCAGTCTGTCATGCAGAATAGGCATCACCTAGAAGCTTAGAAACTTGTCATGCTGAGCCAGCACTTGTGGCCTCCTCATGATATTATGCCACCCAGCATCACAAGTCTCCAGACCCAGACATTTTTGCATTTGATAATCGCGACTCTACCGCCAGAACGAGGGTCGGAACGAGGGTCGGTGCAGGCTGCGAGGATCAGCCACCCTTTGGTGGAGGAGTTCAGCTGCTAAAACTTCCACACGAAGGTTAAACAACATTTTTGCGATTTTATTTCAGCAGCTTTTTCACAGAGTAAGTAGTCGAATTTTGCTACTTATACCAGTCGAACAAGCTACGATTGTGTTGGTTTTCGCCGCTTTCAAAGTCAAAGTGGGAGAACCGTACCACTGTATTTTTTCAAACTTCTTTATTTTGTCGAGTTGACGGCTCGATGAACGCGATGGCTTTTACCAAGTGTTGGGATTCGAACTTCGTAGAAAACAAAGTTTCGAAACAAATTCAGTATAATGCCCACTTGATGCATTTGCATTCCACCTCCGACGAAGCGTAGTTCCGCCGATGCTTGCATTGTTCGCATTGTATAGTTGGACTCATATTTATCGTACGCAAGCATCTATCGTTGAGAGCACCTCCATTCGCGTCGAGCGAGAAATGACTTTTTCGAAGACAACCATCGAGGTCGATCTTTCGCACATTATTAATATACTACAGCTCGTTTATCGCAAGAACAGAGCGGTGTCTAAGTACTTCTTCGCCTGTCGTCAGATTCGTACTTGTCGTTTGTCGATTCTGGATTGGTTTCTTCCGACGGCGTCGATGCAATTCCATATGCACTTGTTTCCCTGCATTGTACACACAGCTTGAGAAATTTAACGAAATTCGTCTCCAGCATCAACATTCCGCCTCCATAACCATGGCGTTGCTGGCCCAGGGGAGGACGAATGAAAATCCAGCAAGCCGATATCATGTAAGCCACGAGGGCATTATGAAACCGACCACCGACTAGGGCGAGGAGTGCAACAGGACCCACGGAGAAGGAATCTTCTACAAGAAGAATCACACTCCTTATCTCAAGATGGCGGCACCCGGTGACTTTACCGTGACGAACATCAAGCCGGAGCATGCGTTTGGGATCCAGTACTACTTCGACGGCATTATCCAAGGGGATCTGGAAAACGCCCACCATGACTTCATCTACTGTTGCGGCACCCAGCTGATCCACTACTCGCCCGGGGAAAAGAAGTCGGTGTTCTTAAACCGCCCGTCAAGTCACCTGCAAATCACTGCGTTGGCGCACTACAAGGCGAAAAATTTGCTGGCGGTGGGAGAGAAGGTATAACTCTAGTGGATTTTTTTGAAAATTCCGTTCGTGATTCACTGCAGAGTAAGTACGGCAATATCTTCGCTCCTGCAAAGTTGTTGTGAAGATGCACTGGACGACAGTATTCGACCCGATTTTACTCATATACCAAGTAATTCTAAAAGGTTTTCTACAATGGTGCCGCCCTCGCGAAGAACTACCGTCCCAACACGGACTCGACCGCCCGCGGCACCCCCGTATCAAATGTAAAAATGTCTGGGTCTGGAAAAGTGGAACTTGTGATGCTAAATCTGAAGCATACAAAAATCTGTGTTGCATGATTACCAAAAGTCGTCCAGTTTTGGCCAAGTCGGGAGGGAGTTTCTCATGCAGGATAGGCATGAGAGAGAGTGCGCAGAATCTGTCATGTTAGGTCCTGCATTACAGACCTCATGGGTCATGAAAAAGCTGCATGACAAATCCATCGCGCATTCTTCCAGACCCAGACACTTTTACATTTGATACCCCGCGCTCGCGAACAGTCTGGACCTCGGGACGCAGATCACGATCCTGCCCGCAAGCGCGACCACCGAGAAGTCGAAGGACCAAGCAAGGGTTTTGACGCCGGTCAATCGCTCCTCCGTGGTCCAGAACTTGAAATTCTTTTCCGAGGGGACGAGATTACTCGCCCTGTACCTCGATCGGACCCCAAACCCCAACGCGAAGAAACACCAAACGACGTTTGATTACGTCCTCGACCTGTGGTCCTTGACGCACGAGCGGGTCCTGCAGTCGGTGGAGGTGCGGAACCAGCTGCTGAACCAAATCTACATCATGTCACCAGCGCAATTTCTGCTTGCGGGGCCGTCGTACTTGCGCATTTGGCAGATGGAGCCCATGAAGGAGCTGGACACTTTTTTCTCGCTCAAGCAGGAGAAGAGCTTAAAGGTACTTATTTTGGACCAGTGATAAGACTTCTTTTTACTGCAAGACTGATTTGTTCTGGAACTCTTGTGCTGTTTCATTTTTGTGGTGGCGTACTATAATTGCAAGAATCAACCCGGGAACAATCAGAATCACAACTGTAAAAAATTCCAATATACATCAGATGGTGAACTCGGTCCACCTGATGATGTACAGTGAGTTCGTTTCCGGCTGCGCTAACGCCCAACCGGAGCAGCAGTCCATGGTCGCAAACCCCGTCGGTAGCAACAACGCCCCGGCGACAACCGCGACGAAAACTGTTTCGCCGGAAGAGGACTTTCTGATGATTTGGGTTTTCTGCAAGGACTGCACCTGGTTCAAGTTTAAGATCAAGGAGAAGACCGGGAAGACTTCCCTTATGGAAGCCGGGAAAGTGATTGACGTGACGAAAGAAGAGTGGGACAACGACGGGGGGAACGTAGAGATGGCCGCGGGCGGCGTGATGGTCGGGAGGTTACCGCCGAAGCCGTCGGAGATAGAGCTGACATACGTCGTATCAAGTGCAAATATGTCTGTTTCTGGACGAGTGTAAACTTGTCATGCAGGTTTTCCATGACCCGTAGAGTCTGGAATGCGGATAGCATGACAGACTCTGCAAGGTCTCTGTCATGCCTATCCTACATGAGAAACTCCCTCCCAACTTGGTCGAAAGTGGACCGCTTTTGGCACTCATGCAACACAAGTTTTTGTATGATTCGGATCTAGCATGACAAGTTGCAATCTTCCAGACCCAAACACATTTGCAATCCATACGTCGCGAGGTGGGGCAACGCGAACGGGTTTTTGCTAGGTGGGACACACGGGTTATGCAATACAAATTTCCCGTACATGTACAAGATGCATCACAAATTTCCCCAATTTGAAGTGTGAAACTTGTCATGCTAAACTAGGACCGAGGCCAAGTTTTGCCATGCAGAGGACGCATTTGTACGTGTACAGGAAATTTACTGTGGATACGGGTACCTCGGATTGCTGAAGTTCAACAAGGGCGAGAAAGTGGAGACGCTGGGCCCGTTCTGGGTGAACGATAACTACGGCGCGGAGCAGATCAAGTATGATAATGATTGTTGGTTTTTCTGTATTCATTATCCAGATAGTTAGTTAGAGTTACACTGTGTCTGTGTGTGTGGGGCATGACAGTTGAAATTTGTCTTTCCTGTTTCGTATCCTGAGATTTGAAGTTTAACTCTGCAACAACATATAATCCAGGTGGCTCTCTGACTTCAAGGAAGATGTCATCCCCAAAAAGTACCGCAACCGCCCAAGGATCCACGATTCGCAGTTCAGAATTCCGTCCGTTTTGGTTCTCACTGCCACCTCTAGAGAGGACCCCAACGCCGGGCAGGACACGATACCACTCGGCAGGGTACCGCCACCAAAAGAGGACTTTCTTCGCTTGTTCGAGTTTCCAATTCACAAGCGCGAGATGATTCTCGGCGGCCAGCTGAAAGCGGCATCACCTTTGTTCGAGTTCCACGGAGACTCGGTCGTTAGCTTAGCGGCGGCACCGAAGGTAGGAGTTGATGTTTTATTGTTCTGCGCCATCATGCACGATGTTCATGATAAGGCGAAGGCCCGTGAAATGCATCAATTAATGTTTGCATCATTGTTGTTCAAGTTCATGGTTCATCTTCATCACAAAACTTACTTCCCAGGGCACCAAAGCACTCTACTCCATCGGCTCCGACACGTCGCTGAAATCGTGGACTTACCCAGCGACCACCTTCCAAACCGGGGGGAGTTCAAGTTCAACAAGTAAACCCCAAATCATGGAAACGGGCACGTTTTCCATGTCGCAAACCACCCAATTCGACTACGACATCCCAATCTCAGTCGCCGTGCATCCGAGTGGCTTCGGCATCGCGGTCGTGTTTCTCGACCGGGTCAAATACTATTTCACCTGCTACGACGCCATCCACCAAGCCTGGGAATTACCTTTAAAACAGCCCTCCTGCTGTGCGTTTTCCGCAACGGGGGACTACTTGGCGGTGACCACGACAAATTTCGTTTTGCTGCTAGACTTAAACAACGCGAGCATGGGCTGCCCAACGATTTTGGCGCAGTACACCGGGCATCTAGCGGTCATCAGTCAAATTCTGTTTTCGGTAGACGACAGATTGCTGATGACGTGCGGCAGGGACGGCTGCATCTACGGCTGGGAGGTACAGTGTTTTGTTTTGCGTAAACAGATGTTTTGTACTAGCATTTTGAGGCAAGAACGCATGACAAGTTCGAACTCGGCATTAAATAAAATTAAAAACATATGATATCCAGATCGCAGGCGGCAATCGCGTGATCGAGCACGTGTCCAAGGGCTCGGTCTACGTTTCCTTCTGTTACGATGGCGCATCGGAAACGGTGATTGCCGTCAGCCGGGAGGGGGATTTCCGGCTGATAAAGAAGCAGACCGGCACCGTGGAACTAGAGTTGAAAGAGTGCTTCTTCAACTGTCTAGCACTCGCCCCGACCCGGCACTTCCTCGCCGCGGGCACGATTTTCGGCAGCATACGGATTTTTGACTGGCCATTGAAGGAAGTGGAAGCGGAAGCCGGCGGCGGAAGCAGCGGCACCGGGTCGAATTATCTTCCCGTGCCGGCTGGGCATGAAAGGTAGGATTTCATGTGTCAAGTGGTGCTGACAGAATGAGTGCGTGTATATCTTCAGGTTGTCTTGCAAGAACATCAAGACACGGCTTGATAATATCGAAAAACAACTCAGGTTTCACTCCATCGAAGTCCTTCTGCACACGTCCCCAGTAGTGAGCCTGGCGTTGTCACAGGATCACCTCAAGATTTTTTCCGGTGACGAAAGTGGGTCGGTGTTTTGCTGCAATCTCAACCCTAAGCCGGAGGTCGCGGAAAAAAAGTACTTATGTCAATTAACCTGGTCTGTTTCGACTTTTGGTCCCCATTCGCGTATGGCTAAGTGCGGCGCACAATTGATGTATTGATTAGAGCCAAGTCGTTCGTGAAGGAGTGCGGCTCGTGCCTTGAGTTGTGTCGCGCTCGGTCGCGAACAGCTCAAAAAGCGCTCCGGTTTCGTGAAGTGCGCGCTAAATCGCTAACGAACAGCTTAAGCAGTGCGTTTCCCTTAAGTAATGCTTAGGCAGTGCGTTTCCCTTAAGTGCTGCGCAGGACTTAAGGTAAGTCCTTCGCGAAGGGCTTAAGCAGTGCACTTTCCTTAAGTAGTGCGCACGACTTAAGGTAAGTCGTTCGCGAAGGGCTTAAGCGGTGTACTTTCCTTAAGTGCTGCGCACGACTTAACGTAAGTCGTTCGCGAAGGGCGTAAGTAGTGCACTTTCCTTAGGTAGTGCGCAGATTTGAGCTAAGTCCTTCGCGAACGGCTTAAGCAGTGCGTTTCCCCTATGTAATGCGTAAGCGGTGCACTTTCCTTAAGTGCTGCGCAGGACTTAAGGTAAGGCCTAAGCAGTGCACTTTCCTTAAGTAGTGTGCACGACTTAACGTAAGTCGTTCACGAAGGGCTTAAGTAGTGCACTTTTCCTAAGTGGTGCGCACGATTTGAGCTAAATCGTTTGCGAGGGGTTTAAGTAGTGCACTTTGCCTAAGTGGTGCGCACGATTTGGGCTAAGTCGTTCGCGAAGGGCTTAAGTAGTGCACTTTCCTTAAGTGGTGCGCAGACTTAAGATACGTCGGTCGCGAGGGGCATAAGTAGTGCACTTTGCCTAAGTGCAGCGCACGACTTAAGATACGTCGATCGCGAGGGGTTTAAGTAGTGCACTTTGCCTAAGTGCTGCGCACGACTTGAGATACGTCGTTCGCGAGGGGCATAAGTAGTGCACTTTGCCTAAGTGCAGCGCACGACTTAAGGTAAGTCTTTCGCGCAGGGCTTACGCAGTGCGCTTCCCTTGAGTGCTGCGCACGACTTAAGGGAAGTCTAAGCAGTGCCCGATATCAAGCCACCATATGAATCCCACAGGCGGCGCCGCGTGGTCCCCGAGGAAGAGGAAGACACTAGGTCACCGGAGCAGCTCGAGGAAGAGCACTGGAATATCCTATGCAAAAACATCCCCACACCATAGTCAAGATGGGAAGTCTGCAACACAAATCCCCGAGTTTTGGGAGTTCTGCATGACAAGTCTCCATCTGCAGCGTAGTGCTGGCTAGCAAGGACAGCCGCATGAGAAAGCCGCTTTCTTATCCTGTTTACAGCATTACAAATGCCAAAACACCACTGGAAATGCCTCTCATGGAGCTGCGCAATACAAATGTTCCTCTCATTGCGCATCTGCATGACAACTCTGGGGAGTGGCACTTCGGTGTGGTGATGGCACTTCGGTGTCCGCCTGACCTACCTTCCCTGCGTGACAACCATCTGCGGCTGTTTGCAAAGGGGGAGGCAAAGTGTGCCGCACTTCTGTTTAGCATGACAACTCTGGGGGGGGACGTTTTTACATAGGATATGGAAGGGTCTGATGAACACGTTCGCGAACTGCTACCACCGGATCTACAGCGACGAAAACCGGTTGAAGATCCAGAAAATGAAGTACTTCGAAACCCAGCGGAAGATCCAGTTCCCGTCCAGGATAGCCTACAGCTCCTTGTCCGAGGATTTTGTCCTCTGCAGCCGGCAGTTCCTGGAAGACGGGTTGTCCGAAGTGCAGGAACTGCGGGAGAGAATAGAAAACGTGAAGAACGACGCGGCGTACACCCTCGCGCAGAAAGAGCAGGAGGTGGAGGAAACCGTGCAGAAACTACAGGACGACCAGGCGGCGAAATTGCAGGAGGAAGCGGATAGGTATTTTTTGTCAAACAATTATCAAATTCTTACTTGACAAAATGTTCTTTATCCTTTCGATCGCCACTACTATGTGGTTGCATAAAATCAAATGCAGTCTTCTGATGTTGAAACTTTGTATCAGGTACGAAATCCTCTCCATGAACCTAGCGCAATCCCAGAAAATCCACAACGAAACCACCGCAATGAAGTCGCAGGAGTACGACACCACGATGAGGAACAACGAAAAAGAGCACGAAGGGAGGCTCACGAAGGAGTACGAGAAGCAGAACAGGCTCGTTATGGGAGTGTCAGAGTTGAAATCGACAAAGTTGAGATAACTTGTAATGCATAAAATCGATACCAGTTGGAAGCCCAATTTCTAAGTGGCGCATGACAAATTTCGGCACCGTTTAAATCCAGCTTGTCATGCTGTTTCGGGACAGAAGGCGTTTTTTGTCATGCTCCTTTAGGGTTTAGGGTTTAGCTCTACCGCAGACCCCAAACAGGCTTACGGTCGGCCCCACTTGCCATCCCGGCAAGAGAGGCAATCCATGCCTTGCATTTTATGCATGACAAATCGTTTCATTTCAACTTTGACGATTTCAATCCTGACAGATCCATACTCGTTGCGGAAATCCAGGCGATGCGGGAAAAAAACCGGGCCGACATCCTCGCGCTGGTATGGATTGTAAAAATGTCTGCGTCTGGAAGCTTGTAATGCTGCGTTGGGAATAGTGAACGCTCTGTAATGTACAGGCAAGCATGAAATATATCTGCGCTGCTTTGTGTTGCGATTTTCGCATAACAAACTGCGTTTCTGCATGACAGGCAAAAGGGTCTCTTCTTGGACACGCATCACAAACTTTTTGGTCATGCCAGACAAGCATGACAAATTTCGCAATCTTCCAGACCCAGACATTTTTGCATTTGATAGCTGGAAGAGTCGTACGAAGCGCAGATAGACGCGCTGAAGAAGCATAGTGAGGCGGCCATGAGGGAACTGCTATGCAAGAAAAACACTGTGTAAGCGTAAGTCTGTGATGCAAAGCATTCAAGACAGCTACACTTGTCATGCTAGCCAGCCATGAAGTCCTCTTGCATATGTGTTTTCACGTACTGGCTGCGCATGACAGGCTTTCTCTGTCATGCGGAACTACAGATTTGTCATGCTGTCACCCCAAGACACTGACACTAACACAGTTTTTTTCTTGCATAACCGCGGTCAGAGTACGACAAGGTCTGTTCGATGCTGAAAACGGATGGCTTGAAGTTTGAAGAAGCCATGAAACAGCAGGAGGAGGAATATGAGGTAATTATTTCTTGGCCCGTGAGCAAGTATGTTATGTCTTCCACGTATTGGATTCATTTTTTTGTCGTGCTGGTCTTTAGAACAAACTTATTTCGCATCCGCAACAAAAAGCACGTGAAAAGTGGCATGAAATATTATGAATTTCCCAGGCCGAGATCACTGAAGTCCAGGATTTAAAGCGGTCCGCCCTCCAAGCAGAATCCGAGCGGTACAACGGAGCGTTGCGTGACACGGTGTCGATGAAGAACCAGATTGGCGCACTGCAGACGCAAATCCGCGGGCAGCAGGAAGACCTCGCGAGGTCGAGTCGACAGCAGGACGATTTGAAGAGGAAACTGGAGGAAGTGTTGGACATGTTCCGGAAAGCGCAGGACCAGCTGAAGGACAGGGAAAAGGTGATAAAAGTGAAGGACGAAGCCCTGCAGAAGCTGCGGTCGAACCAAAAGCACTTGGAATCCTTTCGGTACGTGCTCTTTCACAAGGTGCAGACGCTGGAGAAGGAAAGAGATCCGCTGGAGGAACAAGTGACCGAGCTGAAGGACTCGGTGCAAGGTACAGATTATGTTCCATGTTGTTGTGTCTATAGATACGTGAAATATCTGCTCATGCGTAAAGCATTGTCGTGTCATGAGCGAATAGAAGAATACTGTTTCGACGATCAAAGAATGCATAGACAGCAAAAGTAGAGACATACAGACTCACCCATAATTGTCATGCAAAATAAACTAACAAACCCCAGGCATGTACCAAGAAATGGTCCAAGACTTGCGAAAAAAGCAAACCCTGGAGACCCGCAACGCCGAAAAGCACTACAAGATCCAGAACCTCGTGGGCGAAGGGAACGTGCTCGCCCGGAACCTCAAGGCCACGAAAAAAGACTTCAAAAACTTCGTCTCCGAGATCACCGACTGCCTCGACATCCATGCGGTCGGCGACGAAGGGCAGACGGCAAATAAGGACCCGACGCGACTCATTTCGCAGATGAAGGACGTGGTAGCGAGGTACGAGGGCAAGGTGAACATCTACCGGTCGAATCAGGTACTACTGATGTTCAAGACGCGATCATGCACAACATGCGTCATTATCATTTTCAAGAATTTCTGTTGCTGTCTGCGGATCGCAGAAGAAATTTGGCATGCTAAAACCCCACTAATCGTAAACCAGGAACTCGCGGAGGAAGAGAAGCGGACCGGCCTCCCCGCCATCACGGACGAAGCGATGCGACAGCGGGATCACCTGATGAGCAAAGCAAAAGCCATGGCGGACTCCACGAAGTTCGAACAGTCACAAAGGAAGCGGGACACGGCAAGGTTCACGAACGATAACTCCGAACTGATCCTGGAGATGAACCGGCTTCGACTCGAAAAAACGCAGGCGGAGCGAAAAATCACGGATCTAGAGAAGAGTCTCTACACATTGTCGACCGAAAACTTGCAGCTGAGTCAGATGAGTGGACCGGTACAGAAAGATCTTGTGCGTTTAGAATTTGCTGTAAAGCAAATTCACTAAAAGCATTTCGATTTTGTTTCGTGAATTCGCATTCTGTTCCGCTATTCATCAATCTTTCTGGCTGACAACAAAATAAACCAGGGCCACAGCAGCCAGAACCGGGGATCGATGCACAGTAGCCAACAATCGGGGTCCACGCCCTATCTCCAGAGGAAGCAGAAGGAGGAGGGCAGCAGTCAGCGGTTGAGCCGGAGAAAAGATATGAACCAGCTTCCGCCGCAGGTGAAGGCCCCTGCGTCGATGTCCAACAGCCAACTGGTGCAAAGTATCAATTGCAAAAGTGTCTGGGTCTGGAAGAATGCAGACTTTTGTCATGCTGTTTTTGCATGACAGAAAATGTCTGTCATGGAAGCCCTAGCATCACAGATTTCGAGAAGCTTCCGCATTGCTTAATCCGCATCACAAATCCCCCATTTTGGTGACAGGAAGCGGGCGCCTTTTGCTGCCTAAGCATGACAGATTTATCTATGTTGTGAAATGCGCATCACAAGTTCGTATCCTTCCAGACCCAGACATATTTGCAATGCATACAAAGCTACGAGCGCGAAGGGTTCCGGGTGGAAAGGTTGCGGGACAACCTCCCGCTCGAGGGCCAGCACGAAACCATGGACAGCATCGACGAGATCTACACCGGGGGGCCGATTGCCCCGTATTGAGAGAAAAAATCCCTCCTCCCCATATTGAAAAGGTATGTTTTCAAAAATTTGTGTTGCGGATTTGAGGTCACAAATCACATCTGTCTTGCAAGAAGACAAGGGCAGAAGCTTCTGCCCCATTATGGAAGCGATTTGTCATGCTGTTGGGCCTATGGGGGAGTCGTTTGCCATGCTGAGCAGCTAGACACATGCGCCTCTACCTAGCCTGGGGATCTGGCCGCAGTGCCTCTCTGCAATACAAAGCTGATTTGTGGCCCCAAATCAGCATCATAAATTTCCGTTTTGATATGGGGTGGGGGGATTTTTCATTTTGATACCCCGGCAAACAAGTTCCCCGCCGCGCTGCGACGGTGAGCGGCCGTTGTCGGGATTTCGCTTCGTGGTTTTCTTGAATCTAGTATCAGCGCTGTAAGTAGTACAAGTGCACACATTTCAAAATGATCCAAATTCTAAACGACCCGTGCTCCTCCAGTGAAGAGCACGAACATCGAACAGTGTTTAATAAATCTGAACAAATTTTTACGACGTAGAGCTTCTCCGCTGCTAAGAAGCTCTGGACTCGTATGGAACAAAGTGATCTTAGTTTGACTTTAACAGCTCAGTAGGCGCGTGTTGCAAAAAGTGCTTCTTGCAAGAAACACGTTTGCAGGGTATTCTTCATTTCTGATTTCCAAGTTAAGTACGCAAAAATCGCGAGCGCAGCACCGCCTGCGCATCGAAGATATCAAATCCGATTTATTTACTCGATTTAACAGAAACTAGCCCTGCAGTAAGGGTGGAAGCTCTTCTGATGCCAGCGCCAAATCAGCTTCTTCACCGCCAAAATATTTATAAGATGCTGGTTTGTGCGACGTGCGCACCAGTTCTTGGAGCGGAGCTGCAATTTGGGGCTTTGACAAAAGTTTCAGACTGATACAAAGTATACGCGTTTCATCTTCAATGTCTCTGTACAAAGCTGAGTAGTGTTTCCATTTTCTAGGTAGTACAAGAACTACTTGACCGGTTGATGAATGTCAAAACGTCTTGTACCATACAGCTTTTGCAGCAGAACCGCAAGCAATGAGAACTGACATTCTGATTTGCAAAATTTAAATGTACCCCGGAGAAAAGCGGAGCCGAAAATGCAAGCTGAAGCAGAATGAATTTGACAAACCGAAGGTGACAGGGCGACGCCCAGCACATCGGCTTCGTGACGGCCCTTGGGCTGGTTGGCTGGGCGAGGGAGAGGCTTTCTCTATTTCACTCGATCGCAGATCCACAGCTCAACCACTTCCCGTTCCGAGGTTACTTACCCCCCTGTGTTGGAGATCTTTTGCTACCTCTCACTTGTCCGATCAAACGTAGAGAAGATCTCTCTCCAGGAGCGTTCCGTATGCGATCTTTACTATTGGTGCCACGTTTATTGCTGATCAAAGCAGCTCAAACAAAACCTACTGTTCAGGATTTCCAATCACTTATAGAAATATCGATGTTATGTAGAGAAAAACGAAGTTGTACTTAGTGCTTACTGTACTAGCTTAATTTTGCTTTGAAAAATTCCTGGCGCGCAATAGTCCTTTAGCCTTGCGTCCTACAAGAAACAACATGAAGTACATTTGATAGAAGAACTACAACGCGGAGCTGCACAGAAACGCCACGGATGATGATGCTCAACTAGACTGTAGCTTTTTGCTCCTTAGTCAGTACAGCAGCAGACACTGGCGAAACTGACAGCCATGGGGCGCATGGACACGGGCGTAGATCCGCCGCAGGTCGCGGAGATCTACGATTATCTGGACAGCAGGCGATACAAAGACGCGGTCAAGCAGGTAAGTAACTTCGTTTGCATCAATTATGTGCGGCTTTGCACCATGCATTCGCAAATGTTTTTTTTCAAGCATAAATGGTACAAATTCTAGTGCAATATCTAGCCCGAGCTGTTTTTCACACAGCCGACATCATGCGAAACTAAGTCCCCTCAACTACAGGCCGACCTCCTGCTGGACAGCAGCAAAGCCCAGTCGTCGTCGAAGAAGACCAAAAAGCCCATCGCCGTTACCCCGGCCGCGGACTTGGAGCGGGTGAGGATCCTGAAGTGCCTGGCGCTTATCTACCTTAACCGCTCGGACGAAATCGTCGATGCGTTCAAAGAGGTAATACTACTATCGGGGAAGCAAAATCAAGAAAATGCAGAAAAAAGGAAATTCCGCCAAGGGAGAACCGCGTTGCTGCTGGACCACTTGCTGTCTTTGGTTCTTAGCTTGTCCGCGAACAAAACCGTGGACTTCCAGCCTTTTAACGTGTTATCCTTGTTTATCCAACGAAAAAACTGTTTCACTGTGATGATTTTGCAAGAACCGCATCACAAGTTTGTTACACATGACACAGAAAATTTGCCATGCGCGTTTCCCAAGGGAAAACACGCTTGAAAATCCAATGTCTTGCAGGTGTAGCAAGAGAGACACTTTGATGCTTCATTTTCTGCATCACAAGTTCACAGTGAAACAGTTTTTTCTTGCGATATTGTTGGAATCCGCAGCCGACTTCGACGTGTCCCAGGAATCCTGGCACCAGGCCTTCGTGAAACAATTCTGCTTCGGGAAGTTTGACACGGCGTTTCTGTTGGCGATGAAGCTCTACACAAAGACGAAAAACGACCGGTACGCGGAGTGCATGGTGCTCTGCGCATTATTGGGCGAAAAAAAGACCAATGTAGCGCTGGCGGAGCGGATTCTGGACCAGTGCGGACAGCTGAAGGGGCTGGTACTATTATAGATGGCATTTTACTTATTCACTGGCTCTTGTCCTTGTGCGAGGTAGTCTGACAGATAGAGTGCGCATAATACCGAGTTTTACAATAGCCTAACGCCTTTGATGCCTCACCCTGACAATGTGTGTGCAATTTGAAACTCTAACAAGAACCTCATCGAAAGAACAGGATGGCCTGGACGGTCCGCAGCTGTGCGACCAGCGACGGATACGGTTCCGTCGAGCGAATTTCCGTGCGTCGATTCTGTACCGGAAAGAGGGACCGGAAGCTTGCATCAAGTTCCTCTGCGGCAACAGCGATATCATCTTGGAGAAATATGAATTGAAAACTTTGACTCACACGATCATGCTGAAAAACAGTCTCGCCTTTCCCGCGGAAGCCGTGCTGGCGCCGACCAACGTGAAAGAACTGCTCCACTTGCTCTCTGCGAAAACAATTCCGTTGAGGAAAATCGGGGAGAAGTGCGAGAAGGAACAAAACCGGTTCTTAGCGCTGTTGGCGACGTTTGTGGAGGTCGCAAGCTTGAGTACGGAGGGGAGAAGGGAAATTGCAGCAGTGGAGAACTACAAGGCGAACAAGTCCTTCTATCCAGAGCAGTTGTCGTCCTCTTCTTCCAGTACTAGAACGGTGCGACTAGGTCGTGGACAAGATGAAAGCATTCCTATACAACAGGCTGTAAAAGACAACCTACCACTCGTCACAATCGGTGTGGAGCTCATGGGCTTCGTGAATAGCGTCTTCGACCTGCGGGCCTTCTTCAGCAGTAAGAACATTGTTACAGCTAGTACCGCCGGGAGTTCTTGCAGCGCCGGAGAACTCTTCTACAACTTAGTTTTGCCCTTCCTGTGGGACAGCTTCTGCTGCGGTAGTCCCACTTCAAGCGGATCAGGTCCGGAGTTGAGAAGATGGTGTGAGGGCAGACTTCTCGCCAACGTCGTTCCCGTCCTTGGGGCAAAGCCGGAGCAAGTGGAGAAGCAGTACGAAGATGTGCTCCAGCAGGTTGTGATTAACACCACCAGGCTATTGATGAGTTCTGGTAGAGGTGGTCAGGAAAGCAGCAGGCCGGTAGTTGTTGCCCTGGACGAAATCGCACCACAACTTTTGCGACACTTTGAGGCCATGAAGCCGAAAGAAACCACCGCAGGTGATGGAAGCAGCGACAAGCTAACTGAAAGTAGCAACACGACGAGAAACCGGGATGATTTCTTATTTCTCTATGCTGTCGCGGAGGCCGAGCGATTGCTGGCGAAGCAGAATGTTAATCCTGGGAAGAACGGCGAAACAGGTTTAGAAGAAGTACCTTCTTCCGACCCTGAACTGAACAAGAAGTTGCTGGATCTCGCGACCCTTCTCGACGCCGAGCAATCGGAAACGGAGAGAACGACGCGTCGCGCGGAGACCTTGCAACTGCTGCTCTACATGAAAATTTTCAATGGTTGTGCTGGAGGATCTGCATCATCTCCACCACGAGAAGGTGCTGATGCAAAGTCCGATCAGCAGCTCGTGGATCAAACCGTGTTGAAGGCAGTTAAAATGTTCGACAAGCTGGAGATCAAAAACATCCTGCTGTCCTCGCGGCTAACCGCACTGTATTTCGAGTACCTGCTGTACGACGTCGGTCGCGTCGACCTGGCGCACTCCCTACAGCACAAAATCGCCGGGTGGCACGCGCAGCATTGCCAGGAAATGGAGCAGTACGTGGAAAGATCGTTTGACACCAGTCTTAACCCGGACAGAGCTGTGGAGTGTGTGAAGCATAGCAAGCAGATACAGAAGTCGATCTCCCTCGCCGGCGCAAAGATGGCAAGTACGGCGTTTCGCCTGCACAGCGACATCGTGCAAAGTGGAACGTCTTCTAGCAGCAGTAGTACTGTTACAGGTGCGGCGCAAGGCGAAGCGAGCAGTGGTAGGAACACGAAGACACCTTTCGATAACAGCGCGAGTGAAGCAGTCTGCTTGCATCTACTGCAACTGGAACTAGAGGGAGCTGGTTCGGGAGATGGAGATGGAGAAGGAGAAACGGAGGCAGTACTGCCAACCGCTCTGAATATGCAGGTGGAGTCGCCGCCGTGGATTCAACACTGCGGAGGTCTGTTCGACGACGTCGTAGCGCCGACAGAACCGCTCTGGCACGAGGACGAGGAGCTGTTGCCGTTGATTTTTAAGCCGACAATAAAAATTTTGACATCTTCATGTAGCGATAGAGAGGAAAGCGGCGTATTGCCACAACTTCTCAAGCCAAACCTCCACGCTGAGTTCGAGCGGCGCTACCTTTCGCATCAAGTGTTGCAGCTGTGCCAGGTTGGGAAGCCGGCGAGACATGCGCTGGGAAGGCTAGTCGCCGAGTGTGAAGCCGGGAAAGAAGGAACGGGAGGTAAAAATGGCGTAGTACTCGCACCGCTCGACATCGTCGCCTGGGCGAAAATATTCGTCTCTTTTTGGAGCGAAGAGCACGAGAAATGCGAACAGCAGCTCTCTGCGCTTGTTGGGGTTGGAGAAGAAAACTCGGCGGAGAGTGGAGACCACCCCAGTACAACACGAAGCGCAGCGAATCTTCCCGATATCACCTGCTGGCGGCAGTACTTGGAGCTAGCGATTCCCGTGCGACTCGCCATTGTCTTCGCGCAATCTGTGCCAAAATCAAAGAACAAAAAGTCGCCGATGGGGCAACTCCGGGTCTGCGTGAAAAACTTGCTCCAGAAGTGGATCGATGTACATACGGAGGTGGATGGTTCCGTTGTATCCAAAGACGTGCGGGAGGCCTGCGGCCGCCGGGCGCGGCAAATCAAAGACTTTGGATTCAAAGCGTAGGAGTCTCGCTTTGGAACACCGACATGCAGTTGTACGAGCGATAGTAGATGTAGCATCTGTCGAAATCAGACATCTACGGATACGAGTTCTAGTGCGCAATGTTATAAAGATAATTAGCGACATATCAAACACAGCCACGTCGTAAGTAGGGTTTCAGAGATGTTGAGCCCACTTGCTACTCTGTCAGATCATGCACGCGAGTGTTTGCGTTATCACAACTTCTTAACCGATCTAAACTAGCTTTCTTTTCTGTTGCGCGCTGTGTGTCAAGATCAAATTTGCCGCATGCGCACTGCTGAAGCTGAACAAGGCACTTTTGATTGATGCTAAAATGGCCTGATCTACTACTTGACGGATGTTTAATAATGTTGTGTTGATCATCTTTCTCCAGTTCCACACTTCAGCCATGATCCATTGGATTGCGATCTAAATTTTGCGCAGCAACTCCCAGGATGCTTAATTGAAAAAGGCACGATGTGAGCGTCTCGATCTTGTAGGTTCTTGAAGTGGTCTGAAATGGGTTCTGCGTCGTTCTAAATTCCGGATTGTCCATCTAAAGATCATCGTGATCATTGATTTGCTACGGATCACGCCTATAGCCGTGCTTCGTTGATGCGCTTCTTCTTTTTGCTTTCTGATTATCTTTTCTTCCCATTTATATCCAGTGGACTTTGTTTTGATCACCACAAATTGGCGGTCAGAACAGTTAGGGAATCTGTATTCCTCTTTGCATTGTTTTCTACCTGCATATAAGTCTGTCACAAGTGTGGACAGGCTGTAGTTTTAGAAAAAACTCCGAACAAAAGAAACAAGATGCCGTTCTACCATCGCGATCAGGATATCGAAGCCGCCTGGGCGGCAGGCGCCGGTGAGGGTGACGATGCTCCGCTCATTCACAACGAGCCGCAGCGCAGCTACCAGAACCCCTACATTGACCAGCAGGATGTGGAGGTTGCCATGGAAGATGACAACGCCTCGGTGCTTTCCGGTGGCGCAGACCCGGAGACCATGGCCCAGACGGAGGCTACCTTGAAGAAGTCCCCAGGCCCGGGAGAAGGTGCCCGCCTGTCGGACGCCAAGAAGGCCGCTGGAGAAGTCTTGGTATAATTGAAGCGGATTTTTTAAAGATTATGCGGAGTTCCTTTATTTCGAGAGAGAAAATACTAACTCGGCGTGAATTGTTCCCAGTACAACTACTGCGATCATTTTTTTGTTGGAGCAGCATCTTTGGATTGATTCACAGAAACGCTACATCGGCAGCACTCATCTAAAAAAACTACCCAAAACTACATCAGAAAAAGGAAGAGGATAACTCCTCCTGGTTCCTCGCCCCGTTGGTCGTCGTCCTCTTCATCACCTTCGATACCGGTAAAATCCTGGCTGAGGGTGTCTCTACTCACGGCACCACAGTCAACACCTCCATCATGACCAACGTCATCCAGATTTTGAACATGGTCCTCGCGTTCACGCTGACCATCATCTTCATGGGACCGGCGTCCGGTATGGCCGCTATGTTCGACTGGAAGCGCCTCTCCGCCTACGCCCTGCCGTCCTCCATGTTCTGTATTGAATTTTTAGATGTTTCTCATTTTGTGCTTTCATTTGTCTTGTTGAGGAGCAACAGTCGTGGGATCTGCGTGATTCAATCCGTGGAGAAATAGTCGGTCGCGTCATCGGGTACTTATGCGAAACACGACGGGAGTTGATGATAGTACTACTAGAGTTGCTGCTGGTGTTGTCTTTTTGGAATTCTAAATTTTAAATTTCCATGTCAAATCACAACGGGCAATAAAATCAAAACACAACTACAGCCCTGTCCCAAGTTTTGAACTTGCTGCAGAACATGTACATTTCCGGCGCCACCCGTAAGGTGTTCTCCCAGCTCCGAATCCCGCTGACCGCGCTGTTCTCCATGATCATCATGGGAGCGGGCTACACCACCCTGCAGTGGTTGATGATCTTCTCCATTACCGTCGGGGTTTTCCAGTTTCAGATGATGCAAGAACCTTCCGACTTATTCGACTCGACCGATGTTATCATCGGGTTGGTTTTGTCCATCCTGACCAACATCTGCGCCGTGCTCGGTTCCCTGTTCGGCGAGAAAGTCATGAAGGAAAGCAAGTATAGGATCGTTTTTTGCTAGGTTTTTCATGGTTTTGGATTTGCATAGTGTGCATAGACGAATTCGAGCAATATTTTCAGCAATCGATTCATAGATTTGCAATGGAACAAAACACTCGTTCTCTCACATGCACTTTTGCAACTCCACCGATCACCAAATCAGGAAACTTCCGTTCTACCTGCAGAAGTTCCAGTTCGAGGTCTGGACGTTCCTTTTCGGTGTGTGCGGAACCTTCCTTTTCGTTCCCTTCGTCGCCATCATGATGGATCTGTGCGACGGCCACAACCTGTCCGAGTTCAACACGGGTAAGCAGTTCGTGAAGAACTGGCCGCTGACCTACCGTGCCGCCGTCTACAGCCACGGTGATGCTTTGACCAACTGGAACTACGATGCTACGTACCAGGACCTGACCGACGGCGGAATCAAGGCGGTTGACATCCCGAACAGGTAAATTTATTATGTGGTTTGTTGACAAAGGCTGATTTTGATCAGATGCACAGATAAAGGGCTTCTGAGTTGTGAGGACTAGTTCACCACACAACTACATCTGATGGCTGTGTTAGAATTCCGGTTTCTGACGGAGCGATGATGCTCAATTTCAGTATCCTATAAAAAAACAGAATGGACATGGCCTACTGGTCCTCCACTGCCGACATGCGCACTTTCGGGCAGCAGTATGGCGAAACCGTCGGTCTGGAGAACGACTCCGTCAATGCCTACGACCAGCTCAACAAGCTGCAGCGCGTAATGAAGAAGCGCCGCTCCAAGACCGAATACGCGCTGCACGACATGGGCGAGCGCATCCAGTTCGTGAACCGCGGCCTCGCGGAGGACTTCGGCCGCATGGCCGGCCACGCCGACACGCAGTTGCGCAAGATGAAGGGTGCGGAGGCGATTCTGATTGACACCAAATTCTACATCCAGCAGCCGTTCTCCTCCGCCACCGCGATGCAGCCGGCAAGCATCCTGAACAACATGTTCGTCTCCACCGTTGGTCGCGTTCGCAACGAAGAGTTCGAGGCCCTGAACCTGTTCCGCCGCGACACCCCGGCCCTGGATGCCGACCAGATGACCCGCAACCACTTGCACGCCTTCGTGTCCGGCGCCGACAAGCACACCGGTATTGTGGTTGTGTTATGATAATATGATTTTAAACGCTTTTCTTTGGCATGATACAACATTCTGCATGCAACATTCATCTCGCGTCAGGTAGTACTATGGTTGCTGTAGTCGTCGTTTAGGAGCGAGCCCCGCGGTCCCTGCTGCGTGTACGCTTTAAGCAATCAAAAACATTTATCTCCTCAGGTTGCCCGAAGCCTTCCGCCTACTTCACCCTGCAGAAGGACAGTGAGCTCAATACCCTTGATCTCTACAACGAGTTTGCCGCGTACAACGGTGACGATTCAAACCCGGCGACCTACTACCCGGAGGGACGTGGCGGCCTTCCGTCCGACCCCACTGATGCGGAGAAAGACCGCAAGGCCAAGGAGACGTACCAAAAGGTCCTTGACCTGATCAAGCCGGCAGCGCTGGACATCAAGGCGAAACAGGAAGCCCTCGAGGCTGCCCAATCTGCCTCGCCGGTCGACGCCGCGGCCGTCACCGCCGCCGCGGTCGCCCTGCAGGAAGCCTTGACCACACCGACCCCGGTCCAGGCCAGTTACAAGTTCGAGTACGCCAAGGTCCAGCACCACCAGCCAAGTGACATGATTTTGAAGATTGCGTACGTGCGCACGTCTACGTTGACGGTGGAGACCCTGGACAAGAAGGACGCGAACATTGCCAAGTCCATCTCGAAGTCTTTCAACGAAAAGATCGTGTTCAAAGTGGACTCTTGCGACAAGCGCATTGACTTCGGCGCCGAGCCGGTGTGGCCGAGTGGCGACACTGTCAAGGCGTACGAGAACCGCCTCAAAGCTCCAGTGGAGGAGACTGGGTACCAGTCCTCCAAGGCCACGTGCGGACGCATCTCCCTCGACGCAACTATGGCACTGCAAGTGCCGCAGAAGCTGACCTTCTCCGCTTCCACCGGCCCGAAAAAGGACGCCAACCCGCGGGAGGAGAACAGCAAGGACAACAAAAAGAAGAAGGACAAGGAGGCCAAGGCCAAGTGGGACGAGCTGACCGATGACCAGAAGACCGCAAAGACCGTAAAGGAGTGGGATAGCTTCTTCGGCATCGCCGATGACCAGCAGGGCAAGACCCGCGAGCAGGTTTTGGAGAACAAGGAGGGCGCATTCTTTTCAAAGCTGAAGTTCAACTCCGCCTTTTACATGAACGACTTGCTGCAGGACAACACCCTTACCAAATTCAAATACAGCATCAGACAGGACATCACCGAGGTCAACGCTATCAGCGGACTGGAGATCCAGACTTACCCAGGTATAGACAACTTGTTGAAGCGGCTTTGTCAGTGTGTGTTTTCCAGTGATTCGCAAATTGATTTCTTTATGCCCTTTTTTGTGCATAGTGCCGGAAATTCTTTTGTACTTTCTCCAATGTTCGTTCCTGACCGCTATTAAAGGTGACACCGCTGCGGGCGTGAAGAACGGGTGCAGTCTCGCAATGTGCAACGTGAATGACGACGAGTGGTCTTCCAACTTTGGCTACTTCAAATCTCTGATCAAGGGATCCCGATCCTGGCGCAACATGAAGGAGTACGTCGACACCGACCGGGCCGAAAACGCCGAATTCAAGCGCAACGCCTTCGCCTTCTCCGAGTTGCACGGGTACTTACTGGATGATTTTTGTTTCCCTTTGACAGAAATCATTTTCGGTCAATCATGATAGAATAATATCTTTGCTTGTTGTTCTAAGTATTCGTTCGTCCAAACCAAAGGACCAAAATCGCTAAATACCGCAGATACACCGGGTCCCCGCTTCCGTGGGTGTACATTGGTCCGGCCTTCTTTTTGGGTGTTTTTCTGAACGCGGGTCAGACCTGGATGTCCGCGTACATCGCGAAGGTTTTGTCCTCTCTGTGGAAGAACATCTGCGCCGCCATCTCCCTGGTCCTCATCGTGCTGCTCGAGAAGATGTTCATTGAGGACAGCATCAAGGCCACGAAGAACGACTGGGCGCGAATCATCTTCGGTATGATGGGAGTGATCCTTACCGTCCTGGTCTTCCAGATGTCCCCGAAGGAAAAGAAGCACTAAGAAGCTATCGGTCTTTTAGTTGTCAACAGTAGAGAGAGAAAGTGCAGTGCGTTTACTAGAGATTGAGATTTGATGAAATACTAGAGAATATAATTACATCTTCACGACGCCGAGATTCTTACATGGTAGAGAATCAACATTTTGGTAATTTGGCTGTGCTTTTCTTTTCGAGGGAACTTGTTCTACACAACTAACGATTGAAGCGAAAGCGCTCTCCGACTTAGTACCACACTTACCCATGATAGCAATCGTACATCTTGCGACCACCACACGCGACGACTTCAGCACTTTGAACTCTTGACGGTCTGTTGCAATAGCTTGCTACAGCCTTTGAGCCTAGACAAGACATCAAAGGAGAGTTGCTTTCGAACTAAGTGCCACACGGACACATGACCATAGTAAAAGACCACACCTAAAGACTACGGAAAACATCTTGGACACAACCATTGGTAACAAGTGCATCACAACCAACCCGAGGATGGGGACACTCATTGTGTCCTGTCACACTCCAGACTTTTGATAGAAAATTAATGCCCCAAGAACAGTGAATATGTTAGAAAACAATGTCAGCACCGATAGAACAAGGAAGTCCAACATAATTAAAGAGAGGAAAAGCATGGGAAGGTAATCGATTTTTAGAATCTGCAGTGCGAGAAAACCGATCCCGATCGGTGGCAAGTTTGCAACCGGTGGGCCTCAAAGATCTTCTGCATGGCCGATATCTAGCTGTCGATATTACCTGCGGTCCCTGTTACTGTTTCACCCAACAGCAGGTGGATTACATCCAACCTGCACAAATTTGGTGCTTTTTTCAGCAAGATAGATTGACCTGCAATGCCGCCAATGGACAAAGAGCTGGTTTTAGCTGTAAGACGCTTGCTCCAGTGAATTGTTGTAGGGATTTCACGGCGACCGCGGGGGCGCCATAAGTCTCAGCTTTTTCTCCGCAAGCTACTATGGTCGCTCAAAAGCCGCTGTGTACTGTGAATCCTAATCATTTCCCGCACCAAAAATTTTACGCGGGTCATTCGACGCTGTTTATGCACCAGGCTGCGTGCGAACCTTTCTTGGTCTCGCGCGCAGCTTCATTTAGACGATTCCAACGCAAATTTTTAGTAGACTTCCTAAGAATCTTTGCATCTAGAAAATTCTTTTGTACGCACCAAAGAGATATGTTGGGAAAGATGAAGCGCCTGAAATAGTACTGCTATCGGGGACAGCGGTATGCTAAAACGCTGCGCACTGTTATTTTGCTGTGGAACAATGTCTGACATGTACATATCAGATAGACTTAAGTTACAAATCTGGGGCTAAACAGGGTTTCTGAAGGTTGCTGATTTCTTCCATGTATCGATTGCACTAGTAGCCCATGAACGGAACATCGCATTTGGTAAAAAGAATTTTATGAATGAAGACTTTTCATCGGGAATAAAGAAAAAGAGCACTAGCAGTAAACAAACGTTTCTTTCTGCCAGCGCTGCGTTCCTAGTTGTTTGTTAGCATCCCTAGAACAGCGGACCGATCGCTTTTTCGAAATTTTCTCGTTTCAAACAAGGAGAGCCGATTTTCGATACAACTTGCCGAAGAGCAGCCTACTGCAACAATCTGTGCTCAGGGGGACGAGCCTCGCGGGGGCATAAATTGCCGTCGCGTTTCGTCGGAAGGGCTTTTAGCTGTCGCATAAATTACGACGTAGCTAAAATTTGTCTGGTGTCAGGTTTGGGGCGGACTAAAAAACTCTATTTCCGTGCGCGTTCATTCTAGCGATTATGCAGTATAGTCGCAGCTGAAACCGAAATTATCGTACCTATTTTTTCACCATTTAGAAAGAAAGCGGAAGAGTTGCGGGCACCTGATAGTTTGCGGCTTAGGTCTCTTTGTGTAAGTAGTTCGTCTTGTCTCACCTATGTTTTACCGGAGCAGCATGGTCTACTGGTTTTGGACATTTCTACTCTCGAAAAACTCGTGAATTCTATCACCATGCAAAAGAGCATTAGTGCTTGTCGCTGCTGTTAGGGTTATTCATGATGGGATCAAAATTCGATAAAAAGGCTTTTCCATTTTTTGAGACTACAGAACTTCCTTGTCCTAAAAAACTCGAATAAGGGACTGCGTGGAAAAAATTGAGCAGTGTCCAATTGGACACACTGCAACAAGTTTTCGTCGCGCCACTCTGAAGAACAACACTCACTACGCTATTTGAACATCGGGCTTTCACACTTGTGAAGACTCCACACGAAACAGAGAAAAAGAAAAGAAATGTAGTCGCAAAAGGAAAAAGAAGCGGAAACATATACGGAAGGGCGGGAGAGTGGTCCTGCTGCTGGCGCTTCTAAGCTGCTTGTTTGTTGTTCGTGTCCTTGATTCGCCATCGTCTGTGCGAGCGAATTATGCACTCGTGTAAAGATCAATCGATGTAAAGCATTGCCTGGATTTTCTACGACACAAACCCCCGCTGCTGTTCCTGCTCTAGCTTCAGGAATTCCGGCGCAGAGCAAATATTTGTTTTTTGCAGCATCGGAATTTTCTCCGAATTCCGCGCTCGGTAGTCAGTGTAGTTTTTCTGAAATCGGTAGTGCAAAAAGAGCAGCTTTTTCATCCACATCGGTGCAGCTGGTCTTTTGTACTGACAGCAATTTCTCCGCCTCCCTAACAGGGGTGTCAACAGTTACAGGCTGTCTTCGGTAGCTTTTTTCTGTTTGTTTCTCGGTCACACACAGCGCGTCGGTCTCGGATGGATGCAAAAACTCGGTCACTTCGCTGGTGCAAAACGTCTCTTGTAAGGCTGTGGCGCCGCTCTCGGTCGTGTTGATGTCCGAGTGCAGCAAATCGTGGACAGCGATCCACTGATCCCGATTTTGTATTGTCTCGCAACATAAGCATTCAGCTCCACGACTCTTCTCACTTGTACTCGCTTTTGCTACCATCTAAGTAGGGGTCGAAATCAAACACAAGCTTATACTTGATTAGCAAAGGTCTTTTGAGTTTGCCGCGAAGTAACAGATTTTATTTCTCTCTGAAATTTTTGAACCAACGACAACACCATGAAACTACTCACGCCTCCTAGGGCTCTCCTCGCGGCGGTGCCCTTCCTCGCTGTTCCGCAGAGTGCGCTCCAGGTTTCCGCGTCGCGCGGTCAACACTTGGTCACGGAAGCACGCGAGGGCGTAATATTGAACGGCGCAACGCCTCAGGCACAGGCGCTGTTGGAGTGGAACGTACTAGCAATAAAGGCGGACGTTGTTCCATTTTCTTTGATGCTGGGCAGTTTCAGAAGGCCAACGGACGGCGGCAGTATGAAGTGCAGCGCTCACGTGCTGCGGCTCAAAATGCAGGCTGTTTTTCTGCCGAATCAGCTACAGGGCGCCGGCAATGCCATCGATTGTCGGCAGGGGGGGCAGTTTTTAGCAGACCAAGAGGTATTGCTTCATTGGCATAGCAGACAAAGCAGCATAGATTTGCAACCACTTTTCAGTTGATGGGCTCCAATTTTTCTTCTAGTTCGGGAAGCATCTTTGCCTGGTCCTATCGTGCCTGATATCGTAAGCGTATGTAAAAGCATTTTCTTACTTCCCCAAAAAATCATCTCTTCCAGATCGCGAAAGAGTCGTGGGAGGAGTCGTTCTTGGACGTGTGGCGTTATTTTGTAAAGATTCCGGACCCCAAAGAATTTGTTCGGGATATGCATTCGGCAGCGGAAATTTCGAACATGGATTGGGCGACGCTGCAGCCAGCGTTTCTCTGCCACGACCCAGTTTCTTGTGACCGCTATTACCTGAAGCAGTTACTCTATTCCCTGATGGCACACGCGGCGACCGGTGCGCTGTGCTGCGACGGGCTGACGGAGAGTTCCGAAGCAGATACAGATGCGGAACCACCACGACAACGAGGCCCAATCAGCGATACCGAAGCTGCTGCGGACTCAGCGCAGGCGTTGCTTGCGCGCGAGTTGATGGAGCGCACAATCAGAATTCCCGAAACTCGTCGTGGCAGCTCTTCGGAAGGAAGCACGGAGCTGCCCTCGTCTCCGGAGCGGCGCGCGACGCGGCGGGAAGCTAGCCGAGGACGGAAAGTTTTGAGAAAAGGGGAAAACGGGAAAGCGGTCGCCTACACCCACAAGGTCCGAGGACGACGTTTCAGGCGGCTACGAAAAAACCGCTTCTTGCCCGATCCTCAGAAGCAACGAGGCGTGCCGCTATGGGAACTCCTCGGCCTCGATCCAGAAGACGTCGAGCCGGACTTTCAGGGGACGCCGAAGCACCCCGATCGATGACATAGGTTCCGTCGGTGGAAAAGGAAAGGGCTCGCCGATGGAAAGCGAAAGCGTTCGCCTTCATCGGTTGTTGTCGTATCATGCTGAAGTTACCTTATGAGCGATGATCTAGGGCTTATTTTTTCATTGAGCCGTGATCTTCATCTTCTCTCCCCGTGACACGATTTTCATTGGAGTCCTGAACCGAGAATGACGATGAATACATGCGAGAAAATCAAATGGTCCATGGGACCGCTCGCGCTCTCGGCGCAAGCGCATGTTCGCTACGTCATGCGACTGCTGTTGATCTGGTAACCAAAGCGTACGCAAGCGCGCGCGAGACCACCAACAGAAGGCAAAGATCCATAAGTACTTTTTTGCCGCGGAGCTAGAAAAGGCTTCTTCAGATCTACGTAGGAAGTTTCCACTCCCCTGCGCTGAGCTGTTGTGCAGATGAGTCTGATCTAGTATTCAAATAAGAGATTTTTTGCGTCGCAAACTCAGCAAGATTGCGCAGCGTTGTCAGATCCATATGTTTTTTAAAGCCGGGCTTTTTATTCTGAAGATGACACAAGGATCCTGTCGCGCCATGCGTTACTACAAAGCACGCGCTGATCCTTTTTTTAGGTCGACGCGAACAAGTTTAGCGCCTCGCATGTGCTGACACGGAAGCACAGAAGGTCGTCGTCTTTTACTTTTTACATGTGACGAATCTGGAAACTAACAAACAGTCATCTTGATTCATCCCCCTTTCCAGCGACAACTTCAGCTTCGTTCTCCTTTAGGGTAAAAGTTTTCTGCTTAATTAGTAAAAATCAAAGCAAATTGACAAATTGCCGACGCACGCGATTTATTCCGGTAGAAAGTTTTGCCACCTAGAAACAAGCAACAGTAAGAAACAACAAGCGAGGTAGCCGCTGCGAGTATATTGCTGTTTTTAGAGTCGAGAACGAGAACTGATAGTGCAATTGCAAAAATCTGTTGCATTTACCACAACGCGAGCGCAGCGTTGGTGCTTGTTGCGTTGGGGTTTCATGCCATTCGCTTTTTTTTTTCGATCAGTGCGATCGCATTTGTCTACAGATTTAGTTTTCTTACGCGGGTCGAAAAGCGTCTGAGCCCAGATAATTTGCATCGCCGCTGCTACGATCATCTCTGGGGACAGCACACGAACAAACGCCGACCTTCACTTCACTACGTCAACCATAAGGACGACGCATTTTTTCACGCGGCCACAAAAAGGAGTGGAGACGGATCCTGCGTAATAGTTTGGCGCGCTATTAACGAAAGGAGAGGCTCATTTGGGATCAATATATCAGCACTTCTTGTTCGCAGGAGTGCAGCCGGTTCTTGAGGACAGACTTCAGGGGTAGAACATCAGACGCGGGTCTACATGATTACAGCTTCCCTGTCAACAAAACAACGTACGTGCCGCCGCTTTTCGTTTCTCCAGCGGAGAATAAATGGAACAACTTTCGCTCCTGCGCAAAATTCCGGTGGAGCAAAAACACACCTCGGACTACAACGGCACAAAAAGCTTTCGAAAACAAGAAGAACAGAGTAAAAGCAGCGAGATATTAGCTGCTTTTGCTCACATCACACGAAAAATGGTTGCCGCGATCAACTACACCGCCGCGTCTGTTCGCTGGACGCTTTTTTTCGCATTCTTCCTCCTCCACGTCGGTATTGGCCAGGTGAGCTGCTTTCAGCTAAAGAAGGCTGCAGCTGCGTCTCCTTCCTCCTCCAGCGGGAACCAAAATCCGCAACAGCGGGGGTCCCCGGGGTTGCGTCCGGTGCGAGAAAGTAGCAGTCACATCCGGTTTCCGCCACTGGAGGCGGAGGGCGCGGGGGCGGCCGCTTCCAGCCGGGACCAGAACATTGCCATGCTCATCCACAACATCGAGCGCATGCGGCTTTCCACTAGTAACCCGGGGCACCTGCTGCACCAAAACGCAGGAGGTACTATCGTCGGCGGAGTTGGTGGTGGTCTGCGACGTGCCGCCGGAGCAGGTCTGCGGCGCAACGAGCGCAGCTTCGGGTCCATGAACAGCATGAGCAGTTGTATTGCCAGCAGCGGAAGTAGCTCCACTCACGCGCCGGCGAACCTCCGCACCGGCGGGGTACTAGTTCGGGGCGCGGGCGTCCTCGCGCACGAACCGATCGGAGCCCCGCAGCCGGCGGGCGCCCGACAGGCACGTCAGTCGCCGCGCCGCGTCCGCCAAGTGCCGAGGGGAAATTATAACCAGGCAATAAATCCGCCACAGAACAACAATGGCTACAACTCGGACGTGCCGACGGAGGCGCCCGGAAGTGACGCGGAGGCACTGGAGGAGTTCATCGAGCTGCGGGCCTCCCGGGACCGCAGTCGTTCGCGGTCGCGGTTCCCGCGCCGGCGCCCGCACAGCTTTCTCGGCGGCTACCGGCCGCGACACCAGTCGGTGTCCGCATGATACGGCGGGGCAGAAAGGAATACTTAGTTTGGGTATACAGTGCTATTCCTGAAAATGAACTGTGTGACCTGGTCAACTTTTTTTGCTATTTGCATAGGCAAGGCTTCACAAGAGGAAACTTTTGATTTTAGAAAGAAAAAAAGCATATAATTTTATAAAAGAGAAAAAAATAGTTCCATATTTGTCGATATATAACACCGCAAGGGAAGATGAACCACTTCTAGGCTGCGTTGGACGTCGCCAGCACCCTGGCCGGTCGAGCAGCTGGCGCGCGCTTCCATGGAGCTGTGCTGCGAGCAAGTAGTTATGCTTTCCATATTTGTAATTGTCGCGCACTTGCGCTGCTGACTTGGAGTGGCCACGACCAATGCCGCCAGTGCTGTTGTTGTTTTTCGATCGATCGTGATTTCTTCCTCCGTGTTAACCATCGACACACAGTTTTTCTTCTGCAACTTTCTGAATTATAATTAACAGTTTACGAGTATTGCGCTTCTGTATCTGTTGCAAATTTTATCTTCAAGAGGTCGTCCTCCAAATCCACCGCACTATATGCAAATTTACATAGAGTAATTGATGCTCATGCAGCCCGATCGTGATGCTTATGCGACTCCATCTTGATTATGCTTACGCTTTCACTTTGATCGCCTTTCTCCCCCACACAATGCGAAAAGCGCACCCTTATCAGTTAGTACAAGTTGTGCACTACTGCAAAGCTATCCTCAAAAAACGGCTACAGAGGGATTTGTGGCCTTTCTTCCCCCTGCCATAATTTTTTGCGATGCCACCAAAAATTTTATCGAGCCGCAAGTTTTTACGATGCAAATTTTATGAAATCGGCATGACTTTAGTCTCGCCCACTGTAGTAGTTTCCACCCCTACTTTCAAACTCTTTCTGGATTCACCTCCTGATGTTTCGCGCAAAAAAAAAAGAGCGCTCGGGCGATGGCAACTTGAAAAGTGACAAAGTTTTGTCATTGCCGGAGTTGGTTCTTTTATTTTTTTCTCCTACACAAGACGAAGGGCTGGCTACAGACGGAGCTGTGTGGTCAAGCCATTTTATTTGTGCCCTGCCGTCCAACTTCTTTATGTTATCCTCATTTGCCAGCACTGTAGCTGTGAAATTAATTGATTTCAGCGCACAAGTTCAAGTTGATTTTTGTGTCATTGCTTGCGCGCACTCTGTTAGAAAAGCTGGACACGTTGACTCCCGGGTGGTTATGTGAGGCGCACACCACAGCTATAATTGACAAACCAGAATAGGCGGAAATGCATTGTGATGAGATTAAAAACTACTTGTAGAGCTTGATAGATTGAGCGCAGTACAAAAGAAGTGTATAGTAAAGCTGATGAATAACAAGAAGAAGAAAGAGCGTCGCTCTTTGCCTCATTGTGATTTTCCTTGCGCCGGCCTACAAGAACACGGGTAGGAATTTGGAAGCAAACAATAAGCAGAACTAGATAGCGAACTTGCGGGCGATGCGGTTGCGCCGGAAAATAGCTTTGGTACGCCATCTATCTTTTCCAACTCGGCAATACACACTGACTGTAGGTGTAAGAGTAAGTTGTTTCTCAGAGAAGAAAAAAGTGTTGACGTAAAACATATCGTATGCAGTTTTTATTACTGAAGAGCAAGAGCGTAGTTACATTAAGATTTTGCAATGCATGAATTAAATAGAGCTCTGCTATCCAACTTGATTCGCTAAAAAAGGTCATCTGTCTTTTTCAGCCAGCGACAGGAACCTCAAGGACTTCTGCCTGAGCGTGGCTTTCTTGTTGCCATGACCGGCGGAATGCATCGCATATCCCAAATGGGTGTTTTTTCTGTGTATTTTTTTGCGTCGCAGGCTAGTTCTTTGTTTTTCATTCTTTTTCTTTTTTCTGTTTGATGCGGAACGATGACGATCTGACGCCACCGCATCAATGCCTGCGGAAACTTTTCTTTCTGATCTCGCTTCAAACAACCACTGTTCTTTTTTATTTTTGCGATGTGTGCCGCAAACTCTTCTTTGCGATGCGCACTTAGGGAGATGGAAAAGCGAGAAAAAGCGACAAAAGATGATAGTGAGCATCATCATACTAAAGAGATATCATTAGCGAGTGTAGTGGAGCTGCTTGTGCACCCTGAAAACATCAAAGAAACAAACGCGCGACTATTTGTTATCGCCACAAACTAAAATCATGGCCCCATTCATTTTTGATATCTCAGCGGCAGTTAAGACGCGAAGACTTTTCTGATGACTTGTAACTCGCTAGTAGATTGCGCAAGAAAAACCGAATGGAAGTACATGAGACATACAGAGGGTACAGGCAGAAGAGCAGTGCGCAGCACTCTTACTCTTTTGCCTGTGGTAGCTCCGCTTGGCACAGCTTGGGTCTTGGCCCAGTTTTAGTAGCGCCGGAGGATGAACTTGAACAAGTAAGCCAAGCTAGCCACCCATGAACAGGCCCGCCGTGTTGGCCCGCGCGCATTGTCTGAGATCATTTCGGGGAGGGAGGGCGCCCCCCGACATCCGCCCAAGGTTTCCTCGTTGGCCCCCCGTCTCTCCTCTGTTTATGGAAACCCCTGCCGACATACCAGCGGCGAAGACATTGGGCGCAGTGGGCGAAAATAATGCCAAAAAATGCACCTTGGAAGAAAAAGCCGGACGGGGGCCAGCTTTTCCGGACACGGCCGGAAACCCTGGCCCGCCAAAGCGCGCGGACCCTACACCACCAACATTCTGCCTTTTATTTCCGAGGCAACCCAAGCACAGGCAGAGGTCCTTCGGCGCAATTTCCGGAGAATTCTCTGCCCGGCGCCGGGCAATTGCTCCGGGACGTCTGGGGGCCTCTTTGAGGGGCATCATTCGCTGGGGTTTCGCGTTTTTTTGGGGGGCATCTTTTCACCCCTTCCGGGGGCACCCCTCGGGGCTTGCCGCCGGCGCTTTCCAGGTAGATGGTGCATTTCCTTGTAGGCCCGCAGTCGCCTGGCAGCGGGGAGGCGTCGCGGCCATTTCTGCACGGCGGCCCGGCGGGCGGCCGTGCAGATCAAAATTTTCAGCATACTTGCAAAAAGCGTCGTTGACGCCACCATATTTTAGTAGCGCCGGAGGATGAACTTGAACAAGTCAGGCAGATACTTACGGATGCACCTCGGTGCATCGTTTTCGAGTAAGTGACGGAAAGGACGAGAGTTCTATGGAAAGGGCTAGCAGATCCCTGGTAAGCTAATGCAAGGCGGCACGACTGGGCCCGCATTCAAGGCGGGGGTCGTGCCAGGGTTTTTCTTTCGATTGGCTGGACCCAGTCTAGTTTGACTGTGGGGCCGATGTAGGTTTGGCATGGTAACGGTTGTAGGCGGCAGGGCGACGGCTGGACCTGGTCGTGATGAGGTGACCAGGGGCCGGGATCGCGGAAGCTCTCCTTTCAAGCTTTTCCTCAGATGGAAGTTGTGTCGGATGGACTGTCGCGGGGCTTTCTGGCTTCTGGCGCGACCTACTCGTGGTTGGCTCTTTTCTGGATCGGGGAACATGGGTCCTCTTCACGCACAGTGCCTTCTTTTCCGAGTTGTGCATTTGTGCCCAAGTAGGCAAGCTGGTTCAAGGAGCGGCTCCAACTCGGGGATTTGGTTCCGGTTTCTCACGTAGGCAGGAGGTAGGGCCGGCCTGGGCCTTACTCGCAGCCGGCCTGGGCTGTCGGCTTGGGGTGCTCGCTAGATCAGCGAAGGGAGGGAAACTCCCGGGCTCACGCTCGGGCTCGGAAGGAACTGTTATTAAGGAGCAGCATTTGTGCTAGAGGCTGTTGTTGTATGGCTCTTGCTCCTGCTTTTCGGAGTTCGCCCTCCGCGCTTCAAGAAGGGGGTAGAAGAATGGCTACAGTGACTTAAAGAATAAGGCAGCTGGCAGGTGGGCACAACGACCTTACGCTCTTCGCTTGGCTCTGGGCATGCAGTGTCGGTTTGAATCCGTTATCCTATGACCACGGGGGGTTTTTGGTTTTCGTTTGCTGCGCCGGGGCCAGGCGGGTGCTCTGCATTGGGTGTAAGGTCGTGCCCTCCTGTAGCCTGGAAGGTACAAGCGGCCTGGGACACTTGGAGGCCGGAGCTTTCTCGTTTTTCTCTTATTTATTTCGCGGACTTGGACACGGGATGGGCGCTGGTGTAGCATCTACTAGGTTAGTGGGAATGGTCATTGGCATTGGGCCGTGCCGCGCGGAGTATTGGCAGGGGCTGTTGGTTTGCAGGCGTGTTTGTTTTCCTGCGCCCTCGGGGCTACGGAATCACCCAGAAAGGAGGCTAAGGGGCTAGAGGCCCCTTTAGATTGCCCGGGGAAGGTCTTTCTTTTTGCCTCGGCTCCTGGGCAGTGAAAACCTTCCAAAGGTTTGGCTTCCCGGTTAGGAGTACGACTGTGCAGCGTTGGCTATTATTTCGCCGGTGGCGGCCGCGGGCGGCCCGCGGCCTACTCCTAGCAGGTCTAGGTAGGCGCGACCCTTAGTTGTTCGCATGCAGTTGCAATGGGTTTGTCTGCTCTCCCCCCTGGTGGTTTTGCACGGTCTCCCATGTGTCCGGTCTGGCTCAGCGCGTCCCTTTTCATGTGGCAGGGCTCTTACAGTTACGCCTCGGAGTGCAAGGGACTATGGTAGGTGGTTTGGAACTCAGGGGGAAAGACGGTTGCGCCCTACGCCTTGGGATTTCTGGTGCGAGCGTGTGGCGATTGTGGTATTCACTCGTCGGCCAATCTCGGGTCGGGGGCGAAAGCTTGCTTTGTGGGGATTTCGCGGCTTATGGGGTTTGCCTTTGCCCTCGGCGGCCAGCATTTTCACTGCGCACACCCACGGGTGCTGGAGGTTGGTGCCTATTAATTCATCTTGGAGCCTAAAACTCGACGTGGACAGGGACTAGGGCCGCAGGCGGCCATGCCACTACTGGCAATCGAGGACGGGTCTCCCGGGGATGCCGGGCGGACGGGGTAGGGCTGGCTCTGTTACCACAAGTCGCGCCGCGCGCCCGGTGCGTATTCGAGGGGGGGCAGCAGGCCCCGCGATGCTTGTCTGTAGGATGCACCGACTAGGTGTTAGAACTCACTCTCCAATCAGCTGGCGCACTTCTCCTGGCTAGGCGGCCACCTCTTTATTTGGGCCTGGTGACATTTTTGCCCTGGAGGGGGGCAGGGCTGTTTCTCTACTTTGTTTTAGTAGCGCCGGAGGTTGAACTTGAACAAGTAAGGCAGATACTTTCGCCTGCAAAGTAAGCGAGCGAAGTCAGAGAAAAAGACCTCGTCGCGCAGTAAAGCAGCGAACAAGTAGGGCTGCAGTTATACCTTTTGGAAGAAGTTGGAGTTGCGCGACAGGTCTATTCGTAATGCATCCATGATCTAATGGAGCGTCGTATTCATTTGATGGCGCGTCGCGTGGCCAGCAGCTACAAATCGAAACCGCCCGAGAGTGGAGGTTCTTTGATGTGAGCTTCTTGGTGAAGAAATATAAAAAAGGCAAATAGCGGGCAGCTACAGGGCGAAACCTGACCAGTTGAAAGCGAAATATACTACGTAAATATAGAGCAATCGGCTTCCGACGACACAAGTCCAAGTATAGCTGTAAACACGATCACGACCTGTAATTACTAAGCTGTATGGAAGCTTTTGTTTTGCAGAAAGAAGCTGCCTTTTCTTTGCTTCTCCACACTGAAAATTGTCTTTCGGGAATGAACGGGCATCCTCTACTTTGCCGATTCATTGTCGCGGCATTTTTTTTCTGGGACGAGGATTCGCGTTCTTAGAAGAGTCCTGTGTTTGTTGTGCAATTGGATACCCATCATTCCCCAGCAATAGCTGCGAGGTTGTTTTTCTTTCACCGGAAAGAAATTGTGCGCTTTCATTTTGATTTTTTCGCCCGACTTGTTCTACAGATAGGCTTGCGCAGTCCTCGATCTTGACTCTGTTTGTGATTTTTTCACCCCTTCCAACATCATTTTTGCCGCCCCGCTCGAGTCGCCCTACGAGTGGATTTGCTTTGCTCCTGTGCTTTTTGTCGAAAATCGATACTGATTTGAGCAAGTGCTAAGGTAGGCTACCAGATCCAGTGTAGTGCTTGGGAAGTTGTGCATTTTTTTGGTATTTTTGGATGTAAGTGTAGATAGTAAAAAATCCTCAAGAGGAGCAACCGATAGAACAGTTGTGACAAGCAGGCACTGAAGAAAGAGCCACGGCCACAAGCGGCTTGTTTATTAAAGTCGAGCGATTGCAGCTGTAGAGCCTTTCACTAAGTGCGCGGTGGATCGCAATCGCACAAGCAGCGGAAAAGAGAGGTGATGTTTCCTGTCCCGTGCAACAGCATGAACTATTTTTGCCCTTACAAGAAAGAGCTAGGTTGACAAGCCAAAATCTCAACTGCGCCCATTTGTCTCAACGTTTAGACAAAACCCCCCAACGTTGACCCCGACGTCTCAACTTCGGCACCGTTTAGGTTTAGGGATTAGGGTCTAGGCTTTGGGGTTTCTGGTCGTCGGCCCGGGCAGCCGCCGCCGGCCGGCCGGCTGGCGGCGGCTGCCCTGGCCGACGACTCTCTCCTTTCCCTGCCCTGTGTTTCCCACCCGCGCCCCTGCCCGTGTGTGTTCTTGCGTCCTTGCGCCCCTTATGTCTCATCGACCCCGCCTCGCATCAGTGATGGCGTGCGTACCTCTCCCCCGTTGCCGACGACCGTTGTTTGCGGCCGTCTGGCAATCGCCGAGACGATTGCCCGTCGGCCTCTTGAACGTTGAGACAAGAGCGTTGAGATTCTGGTCTGTTAACCAAAAAGTTAGCTACCGCCACAAAATAAATGTAGATAGAGCTTTTCTTATTCCACAGCACTTGAATGTTTCAGAGAAACCGAAAAAATCTTTGAGGTACTACTGTTCTTTTGGGCTTCAAAAAATGGAATTATGGGGTCGTTCGTGCAACTCTAGCGAGGCTTCTTCCTTCGGAGGCATGAAGTCAAAGGAGCGTGCTATGCTGTGTTCGCGAAGTTGATATCGAAAACTGAATCCCGACGAAAGGGCACTGCAGAAATGATCTACATGGGTCGAAGAATCATGAAAATCGCAAATAAGTCCAAGAGCAAACTGACATTCCAAATCGATCCAGGTCAAAATCTCTTTCTCCTTTTTTTTCTGTCAAAATTTGTTTGACGCGGAGCTGCAGTCTATTTGTCCTCCAAAATGTTGCAATACTATCGAATTTCATCCATAATGTTGTACAGAGTCCCAGGTCTCACCTTTACCGTAAAAGTGAGAATATACGTCTCCAGTAACCTTTACCAAACAAAAGCCGACACTTTTTCATCATGTTCACCATACGACTATTTGAAGCTGTATTCAAAAAATGAGAGTAGTCAGTTTACCACATCGTCACTTTGGCGAAAAGAATTCGAAGTCTGTGTAGGATTTTTCGCGGCCACAAGAACAACTCCTGGTTGATTTCCCTAAGAGCTGCGCAACAAGAAGTAGAAGACTAGTAGTACTCCGACAAGCAGCACATAGCTATAACGAAATGGCGTCCAATGCGGTGGTGGCGGCCGCCCAGGCGCAGGCCGCGGGTGGCGACGCCCGGAAGGAGCAGGAGATGCGGGCGCAGGGCCGCGCGGCACCGGAGATCGACCAGGAAACGGGGAAAATGATCAACCCGCACAATCCGTCGTTCATCACCAACGCGCCTTGGTACCTGGCGCAACAAGGATCGAGTTTGAAGCACCAGAAAAACTGGAAGACGAACGTCGCAAACAACGACTACTCGTCGCTGGACAACTGGTACCAGCGGGGAACGAGGGGCGACATCAAGACCAAATTTGTCAAGGGCGCGTGCAAGAACTGCGGGGCGACCACACACACGGAGAAGGACTGCACGGAACGGCCACGGGCGAAGAAGGCAGTGTTCACCGGGGAGGACCTGGCGCCGGACGAATTTGTCATGGAAGGGTACTACTGAGAAGTGTTTTGTTCTTATGAAATTTTTTATTGTCAACTTGTTGCGCTCACTCTTTGTTCTTTGTCTTCCCTCGTACTAGAAACACCACATAAATTGTACTTGTGGTTTAGTCGAACATTTGTTTCTACCTTTTTCAACAATGTGTAGTCGATTGTGATGAGAAAAAGCGATGTTTCTCACGATGGTCATATGAGGCGAGAGCCCATGAGTCCAAGACGTAAAACCCAGCTCACTCTGATAATTTCTATTGCAAGTATTACAATTTGACATGCATCTGTCTTGCTGGCGCAGCGTGAGACTTTATGTGATGAGAAAAAGCGATGTTTCTCACGATGGTCATATGAGGCGAGAGCCCATGAGTCCAAGACGTAAAACCCAGCTCACTCTGATATTATCAAGAAGTCATGACTTGCAACCCTCTAATAGAATTGATGGCCGGAAAACTTCCCCGAAGGCGTTCGCCGGACCGAGGTGCTATAATTAGATAGGCAAAGTGAAAATTTGTCAAAAGTGAAAATTTGTCAAAAGTGAAAATTTGTCAAAAGTGAAAATTTGTCAAAAGTGAAAAGGCAAAAGTGAAAATTTGTCAAAAACTCCTTCGCTTCGCAAAAGTGAAAATTCGTTCGCTTCGACTCCAAAGTGAAAATTTGTCAAAAGTGAAAAATCACTGATTTTTCACTTCTGAGGGATTTTCATCAAGAGCCGGAGTTGCGGTAGCTAGTGACTTCCCAATCGGTAGGCGGTCAATGTTATCTTCTGGCTGTAGAAGACGCCTCGCCGGCTTTCAATCGGGTTTGTGCAAAAGTTGAAGATAAAGTAGCGACTCCTGTTCATCATGCACTGTAGAGTTGTAGCACCCCTCCGACCCTCGTAGATTGGAGAGCCTTGCTGGATCATAGACGAACGAAAAAGAGGGTGAAACTGATTGGATTTGCGCGATTTTTGTCCCTCGAAGATGTTCAGGGAAGTTTTCCGGCGAAATAGGGGGGGCTTTGGGAAGTTTTCCGGCGAGAGCCCATGAGTCCAAGACGTAAAACCCAGCTCACTCTGATATTATCATATTATATCAAAGCGTGCGCAAGCGCTCGCAAGAGCGCTTTGCGCGCGGGCTTGCCCGCGCGCAAAGCGCTCTTTGCGAGATGCTCATCCATCGCAAACGCAGCGCGAAGGCTTTGCCGTTGCCATATGGGAGGGACTCGGGAGTATGCAACCACTCGCAAGAAAGTGGATTTTGGAGAAGTTGGCTCATTTTTTGAAAAAGTAGAAAAAAATGCGCAGTCAGATCGGGGAGAAGGGTAAAAAAAGGACTTTTCCGGCTCCGCCCGATCTGATTCCGAAGAAAGAAGCTCGATGATTGGACTGCGCCCGATGCTGTGGTGCGTTTGGTAGCAGAAATTGCGTCACGTGCAGACCTCCGCGGCCGATCTGTATCCAAAAAAAAGAACAATGAAAAACGCACTTTTTTGCAGAATATAATGGGCCCAAAAAATCGACCGACTTCGTGCATTGCCCAAAAGCCGATAGACATCCAAAAAACAGTTTTTTTTGGAAAAATGCAACACCCGATCTGAAATGGCCGGTAAAAGACGGCTTTTAAATTTGTCACAGGCTTAATGCCGTCGTGATTGAAGGAAAAAAATCGTATGTAGATTCTGCGGAGGTGTGTCACACGAGCACGATTCTCGTCCACTCGGAGGTTCAAAGCGGAACCCCTTCCCCCGACTGGAAATGGCCGATTTGGGCGGCCCTAAAGGGCCGCCGAAAATGACAAAAATTGTGGAACTTTTTGAAATTTGCGTATTTTTACTGGCCAGCATGCCCTCGTGCATAACAGTATGCGCGGCGGAGTGCTGCTTGCCAAAAAACGCAGTCTTTTGCGCGCCCTTGCTTCCTGGTTAGAGGATGAGAGCGCGGCCCGACGCGGGCTGCAGTGTTGGACCGCGGCCCTTGGGCCGCGGTCCTCTGATAAGCTCACTCTGATAGTATCAAGAAGTCGAAATTGAAAGAACTGAACTGCTGACCACTCTTCTTGTCCTCGTCTAGAAGGAAAAAATTCATTGCACGTCTAATATGTGCACCACAAATTCTGATCAAGTACGAGCAATGGCACGTGAAATAAAATCCGACAAAACTACAGGGGCAACTTTGATTACGACATGAAGCGCGACCGGTGGAACGGCTACCAGGCGGACGACTATACCCGAGACGTGATCGAGAAGCACGCGTTGCGCGAGGAGGTGAAGCAGAGAAAGCGGGAACAGGAGCAGAAGCAGCAGCTCGCGCTGAAGAAGCTCCGGAAGAAGCAGAAGGAGGAACGCGCGATCAAGAAGCAATCCGGCGAAGCAGGAGGAAACAAGGACAGCGATTCTGACTCCGACTACGATTCGGACGACTCCGAAGATGCGGGCGACAAGCTCCGCGGGTTCGAGAACAACGGGGACCTGAAGCGGATGGATGCGGCGCAACGGACCACGACGAGGAATCTCCGGATTCGCGAGGACACGGCGAAGTATCTGATTAACCTAGACGTGAACTCCGCGTACTACGATCCGAAAACGCGTTCCATGCGTATGAACCCCCGCGCGGATCTGCCGGAGGACGAGCAGCACGCGTACAAAGGCGACAACTTCGTGCGGTCGACCGGTGACTCGACCGATGTGCGCGACCGGCAGATGTTTGTGTGGGACGCGTACAAACACGGGCAAACCGAGCTCCACGAAACCGCGGCGCCGACGCAGGCGGCCCGGATGTTTGACGAGTTCAAGAGGCGGAAGGACGAGCAGAAGGCGGCGAAGAAGAACGAGTTGCTGGACAAGTACGGTGGCGCGGAACACTTAAACGTGAACCCGGCGTTGATCTTCGCGCAAACGTCGGATTACCAGGAGTACAGCCGGTCGGGGCGGGTGTTGCACGAGCGACGGCGGACGCTGGCCAAGTCGCAGTACGAGGAGGACGTACTGGAGAAGAACCACACGACCGTGTGGGGCAGCTGGTTCGACGTGGCCACGCAGAAGTGGGGATTCAAATGCTGCAAGTCCACCGTGCGCGAGTCGGAGTGCGTGCCCCAGCTGGGAATTTGCGCAGAGAATAAAGAGAAAATTGAAAAATTCATTGCCATCGAGGGGCCCGCGGCGGCACCGGTGGGCAGCCCGAAAGCGACCGTTGCTCCAGCACCCGCACTTCAACCGGAGGGGCCATCAGCAAATATGTCGTCCGGGGGTGGTTCTTCTTCCACCAACGGCGACACTGCAGCTCATGTCAATACTAGTACGAAAGCCCCTTTTTCCCCGAAAATAGCCTCCCCGAAAATAACCTCCCCGAAAACTACGGTAGCACCCCCGCCCGCCCAGGAGAACGTCACGACATTGCTTCCTCCGCTACCCGAGGAAGAAGAAAACGTGGCCAAGTTCCGGAACGATTCCCGGGAAAAATCCGGGGCAGCCGTTGCGAAAGCAGCTGCAGCACCACCGGCATCTGCAGCGGCAACGGGCAGTCGCGATGATGACAAGAATATTAAAGCCGACGCCGATGACGAGAATAATGATATCCTGTGTGAGCAGCCCGCACCAGTCAGTCTCGCTGACGTCGCCCCGGAGCAGTCCGATGTGATAGCGACGTCTGCTGGTGCGAACACAAGCGGTGGATTTTTTGGGTCCGCGAAACCTAAAGCAGCTGTAGCGCCGAAGGCGAAAGACGAAAACGCGACTACGAAAAAGAACAAAAGAAAGAGAAAAAAGTCCGTTTCTTCTAGCAGTTCGTCTGGTTCGTCGTCAAGCTCTTCCGGCTCCGACTCCGACAGTTCCTCTAGCAGCAGTTCTTCCTCCTCTGATTCGGAATCGGAGAAGAAAAAGAAGAAGAAGAAGCCTACAAAGCAAGCGACCGAAAAGAAACAAAAGGAGAAAAAAGCGAAGGAGAAAAAGAACAGTAAGCCGCTCGCGAAGAAGCAAAAAAAGGACAGCAAAAAGCCCATTGACCCGATGGAGGACGACAGCGGCATCGCACGCCCCGGGGAGGTCAACAAGGGCGCCCTGAAGTTGAGAGCGAAGACCGGAATCCAGAGCGGCATGGGGGTCAACGAGGATGAGATGGAGATGTATCGGAAGGACAACGTGCGGGCCGATGACCCCATGGCGCAGTTTCGCGGATAAAAACTTGGTCAACAGCAGATGAATTTGTTCCAAGGTCGACTTGGTGGCACGAAATTCATCAGATGACTCCTGTAGTTGGAAACTATACCAATCGGAATGAACTTTTGTACTGACAAGAAATGAGTTCGTTTTTCATGTCGTAACCAAAATTTCGATGTTGAAACAGGTGGTGCTGCAGTGAGTTTTCTGCACTTCGTATGCAACGAGTGACCACCTCCCATGTTCACGTTGACCAGATGTTCAATGTCGACCACAGATCCACCTCATTTTTCCGTATGTGAGGCACCGGTCCAACTTGGGCCGACACAAGGCACACGGCGTCTCTAGCAAATAAGTACGTTGTACTACCATCATCGTCCTGCTCTCCTGTGCTTGTTTGTGACAGAACCGCGGATGATGTCGTCGTTTCGAATGCGTCAAAGTCGTTGATTTATTAGTTCAGCTTGAGCTTCAGTTTGTTTTCAGCGAGAAGTGAAATGCGAGTTTCTGTGTAGTCCTTTCTAGTTTTTTGGAAAAATAAAGCCATGGAGTGCCACCTGTACGATGTCCAACCCGAGGTTGTCCTGCGGAAAGGCGTCGCGTGCTTGGCCAGCCACCTTCTCGAGAAGAAGCATGATAAGGACCACCCCCTCGGCCGCTTTCCCGAACGTCCCAACGGCGGGCAGACGGTGCTCCACGCGCACTGGTATCGGAGGTTGCTTCTCGGCGAGCTGGAACTCGCCTGCAGTGCGGCGTCGGACGTCAGTTACGCCCAGGGGGACGTAAAGTGGTTGTCCTTCGCACAGTTGCTTTCTCTCCGATCCCGGCACTTCTGCGAAACGCAAGCGGATTTCTACTCGGCGCACCGAAACTTCTTGGCGATAGTGGAAGAGCGGTTGCTCGTGGTGCTCGGGGAATGGCTAATTGCCAGCTTGCGGGACGAGCAGGGAAAAAGTTGTGGTGATCTTCAGGAGGGCCAGCGGAAGAACAGCCGTCTAAGGTCGCCGACGCTTTCTCTGGACACCGACCGGTACGTTTTTGGTCGGGAGACGCTTGTGCAGAATCTCGACTTTGACAAAAGCGAACCGACAAAGAGGGAGAGCTGCAGGGACGATGCGGCTGTTCATCTTGGAAGGGAATCAAGTGCTCCTGCAGTAGGAGCGGGGAATCCGGAGAGTGACGAAGCTCAGCACGACCTAGCAGTGACGACAGCGCCGGAGGAAAATCTTCACGTCGAGCTCGCTGGGGGCACTGGAGGAGAGGGGGGCCTGCAGATTCCAGCTGCAAAAGATGGCCCTCCACAAGCCAAGATCACCATCTACACGTTCGTTTCAAAATACCAGGGGCAGTCGTTGATCAAAGGCACAAAGTTGCAAGAGGAATCCGCCGCCCCGCGCACCTTTGGTCTGCGTGCCGTCATGTATTCCGGGGCCTGTGCGCTGTTGCGAGAGGAGCGGGAAAAGCGGTTGCCAATCTACTGGTGTTTCGAAATACCACCAGACTACGATTGGGTTTTTGCACCAGCTGAAACTACGGGTAGCAGTGCGATCAAGCAGATAAAAAGTCCAGTTGAACCGCTGGAGGTACTATCTTCGCGGTCGCCTGTCAAGGATCATGAAGGTCGCGCGCAGGGTCCTGTAGCAGCTGCTGGGCCAGGAGAAAAAGATTCTTCCGGAGGATCTCCAAGAGCGGAAGCTAGTGGCAGCTCAAGCGCCAATCTAGACCTCACACCAAATAAATACGACCCACGAGCTTCCCCGGAAGATTCTCCTCCGGACGAAGATCCGCAAGATTCTGCATCGACCTGCTCCAAGGGCTACTTTTTCTACAACTGCGACACGTGCAGCGGCATTTGGCATCTGCAACCCCTCCAATCCGCCGTGGTCGTGAAAGAACAGGTCATTTCTCAGCAGGTCTCCCGCGCCCTCCGCTGGGATTTCTGGTATGGAAACGCGACGGAACTGCGGGTATCAAATGCAAAAATGTCTGGGTCGGGAAGAATGCAACCTGTCATGCCAAATCTGAAGCATGCAAAAATCTGTGTTGCATGATTACCAAAAGTCGCCCAGTTTTGACCAAGTTGGGAGGAAGTTTCTCATGCAGGATAGGCATGAGAGAGATCGCAGAGAATCTGTCATGCTAGGTCCTGCATTCCAGACCTCATGGGCCAAGGAAAAGCTGCATGACCCTAGATCTCCTGCGTCCGAAGCTGCTTGCGGCGACGGTGCAAAGGTTTTTGATGAGGCGCAGTCGGGTATGCATGACAAATCGCGTATTCTTCCAGACCCAGACACTTTTACAGTTGATAGCGGGAAAAGTACAGCCACTCGCCTGCGCTGAACGCCGGGACGGTGACGGTGTGGGAGAAGGAACTCTCGGAGAACCCGAAGTCCGACAGGTACAATTTGAAGAAGAAGCAGATGGTGTTCAAAAACGAATTACTCGCGCGGATTTCCACCCGCCCGCGCGGGATGGAAGAGTGCTATGTATCAAATGTAAAAATGTCTAGGTCTGGAAGAATTCATGTTTGTCATGCTTGTCTGGCATGACTCTTAAATCTGTCATGCACGTTACCCAAGAGCTCCGTTTTTCTGTGATGCAGAAGCGCAGTTTGTCATGCAGAATAGGCAACACCTAGGAGCTCAGAAACTTGTCACGCTGAGCCAGCATTTGTAGCTTCATCATGAGACGCCACCCAGCGTCACAAGTTTCCAGACCCAGACATTGTTGCATTTGATACTACGACAACATCGCGTATCTGAGGAACAGAAAACAGCCGGACGCGAAGGCGGCGGGAACAGATGACGTAGTGGTGGCACGCGGCTGTAAGGCGACGATGTCGACATCAGCAGCGACAGCAAAGCAAAACCAGTTGCAGCAGCAGGCCCTCGCGCCCTCCATGGCGAAGGACGGAAAAACGTGGCTGCAAACCGTCTTCCACGATTCCTGTTCTAGCCCGACCCCGCAGCAACGGCGGTCGAGGGAGCTGCTTCAGCTACCATCCATGGACGATATGCTCGCGACCGGACCGTTGAGAAACAGTGCGGATAAGAAGCGGGTGAGCGAACGGTCGAGTCGGGCGTCGGTGCGAGAGAATGATGCTGGTGGAGGTTCTGTAGTTGGCGACGGTGGAAATGGACAAAATGTGTCAAGTTCCTCCTCGAATCGTTCCAGTCGGTCTTCGCAGCAGAGCCAATCGAGCGTTACAAGTACCGGATCGCGCGGAGGGCGGCTGAGCCAGCTGTATACGAAAATGCGGAACGCGTTGAGAAAGAACAAGGTCCTCGACGGGGAGGAGGAAGATTGCAATTATGCGGAACATCACGATCGCGACGATATCCCCTACGAAAGCTGTCGAGAAGACTGCGGGCCTTCTAAAAATACTGGTGTGACTCAACAGCCAGCGAAGATGAATCCATCTTCGCCAACATCGGTGAAAGCACAGAAAGCGAGTTTCGAGGAAGCCACGAAATCGACCAGTGTAGTGGACAAGAGAAGTTCAGGACAAACTGGTTCAGCCTCGTCGCGAGGATTGCCTCCCCGCCCGCCAACCGGACTTTCAGCGCTGAACAAGCCACCGATTTGTAACGTCAGCGTCGGGCGGAGAAGCGATCTCCAATCGGGAAGGGAAAGCTCGCCATTTGCGGCGAGAAGTATGAAGGAGACCAGTACTGTCAACGGTCGTTTTTCCCCTGCCGTCGCTGCGTCAACGCCGAAACTGTCGCAGCAAAGCCACGGCTCGAACCGGGGCAGTTTTCTTCGGCCGCCGACAACAGCGTCTGGAGCCGGGCGGCAGAAATCCCGATCACGGAGCATCATCCGGACCGCGGCCCGGGTGGTGCGAAAGTTCGGAGCTGGCACGACAGATAGCGGTTTCCTCGTGCGGAAGCCAACGAGCGGACTCTCGGGGTTCGACAGTTCGAAGCAAGTCACGAAACAGGCAGTATCTGCGAAAAACAAACTCGCGTTGCGGTACCTGCAGCGCATCGGCGCGGACAAGGGCCGTGGGAGTGGCGGATCGGAGCTGGTGTGAGGGTAGTTCTTGGACAGGGCTGACACGTCGAGTTTTTTCAAGTACGGAAAAACATGGCGCACATGATTGATTAGTGAGTTGCATAGAAATAAATACAACAATCAAACGCACGCAAATAAATCAGAAGCAGATCCGCATGCCGATGTCGAATTACCGATGGCTGCACAGGAAGTGTTTTTCTCGCAGAGGCCTCTGTCGAGTGACTTCCGGTTGAAATTCCGAGTGCGCTGGTCATTGCTTTCCGAAAGTCATCAAGATCCCACGTGCGCTTTTTTTGATCGTTGCAGGAGGGAATAGCTACGGCAAGCGTTAAGCACCTGAGCGATAATTTTTGGCAAGCAGTAGTGCAACAAAACTAAAAACAAAATGACGCAAGCCGGTTGGTTTCTCCCTTTTTTTGCTACCACACTCGTTGCCATGTGCTTGAGCGTCAGCTCGTCCGCATTTCCTACTGCAGCCCCACCCGACAGCCGCTACTGGCGCGCCTCGCCGGCGACCGCCCGCGCTCCGTCCCGCTGCTGGGGTGGACAGCACGCGGCGAGTTACGGCCATGGCGCGGTGGCCAGGATGAAGTACCAGCTGCGGGCCGGGCCGCAGGGGCTGGCGAAGGTGAATCTGACGTATGCAAACTGCTGCAGCAGCAATCGGGAAAAGGAAATCGAGTATGAATACGCGTCTCTCGTCAACTACGGTGCGCGCAGGAGCAAGAAGGGGCGGGGGAAGGGCTTCATGAAGAAAACCTACGGCAACCCGGTGTGTTGGGATTACCAGGTAAAACGGGTAGTGCGGGCGCAGTACGAGAACTGCTGCGCGGTCCGCTCTTCGTTTTCTACGAACAAGTGCGCCGAAAAAATCGCGGAGTTCGCCAATGCCCACTTCGTCGACTTGACCACCTGGGACCAGACGTGGCGGCCAGAGCTGGAGTGGAGAATAAAAACCGGCTGGCCGATGTTTCGGGAGAAAATTCGCGCTGGTTCTTCGGAAAAACGAAGTGCTTCATCAGCAGAAGAGACCAAGGAAATGCAGCTCGCCGAATCGTGCAGTTTAGCTGCGGAATACCTGGAGACAAGTGTGGTGAGTGGCAGGATACGTCGAAATTTGGTCCACGACGAAATCTTCCCCTGCGTCGCCCAACATGCGGACAAAACTTCGGCCGAGTCGTCTTCCGAAGTAATCAGCAAAGACACGATGCTCACCTCCCTTGGCTTCCACTTTCACTGGGACGAAAAAGTTGACAGCAAGCGGGTCCGCGTTCCGCTTCCAGTGCGTAATTTGAAGAGCAACCGGACGGGCAAAAGCTATTCCAAAGCAATAGAGGTCGCGAAGAAAGCGGCCGTGGCAGCCGCGAGTGCGGTGCCCCACACAACTGCGGTGAAAACGGCGGATGTGGCCGAAATCGCGAAGATAGTCGCTGCCGCAAAGAACACGAAGACGCAGTTGAGTAGATCCAACAAGCTATCCACCATGGAGTGGGTGAATCCGGTTCATCTAGCCGTTTTGGCCGAGGTTCTAGTCACGCGAGTGTTCGGCGGAGAAAGTTCTTCGTCGCCGATTTTCGACGCGCTACGGACGGCCGTGGTGGCGCAGGCGAAGAAGTTTGCTGGGGTCGTGTTACAACCAGCATCTTCACAGGCAAACAACAGCACCATGTACCAAACACAGCCGATGATTCGTGGGGTTTGCCAAGGGGCTAAGAAGGGCTACGAGGTGGAGATGCTGCGCTCGTTTTTGCTGGAGAGCCTTCTGAGGAAAGCGGGGATAAAGGTAGAGCAGGACGAAGAACTACAGGAAGAAGTTTTCGTCGTGGAAGAGGAAATTGTAGAGCCTAGTACATCTCCGACATCAAGAACACCTGCAGTTCCTGCGCCTGCTTCTTCTACATCAGCTGCCCCGGCAGCTGAAGCTGCTGCAGACAACAACGAAGATTCCGGCCTGTTCGGCTCGCTGTATTCCGCCATCTTTTCCTCTACTGAAGCCTCAGCCCGACCGTCTAATACAGAACGAGAATTGCCGCCGCAAGCACCTCCAGCTACCAGTGAGACGGCAGAGAAGAAGTCCCCAACAGGCAAGCCGACGACGTGGACAGCCTCGGTCAAAAACTTCTTTCTTCACACCAACTTCGTGGACATCATCGGCACGGACTTCCTCGCCCCCTCCTGGCTCGTCTGGGGCTTCCAGGACTTCGCGACGGACCTGAGGCCGGCGATGCGAAATCGGTGGCGGAAATTCGACCGAGGGGACGGGCGGGGAGCACGGCCAATATTACCGCTGTACGACTGGATAGTACAACCGAACGGTAATGCAGCACAAAGAGCACGACCTCCACCTGATGCCGGTGCTGCAAAAACATCTTCTACTTCACCACCCGCACTTTCTTCCAGAGCAGCGGATTCGTCGTCCCTCGCCGACTTCATCTACAGCAACGCTTTTGACCACGCCATGGAACCGAGGTGGCTGCTTGAGGAGGTCTGGTCCAAAGCGCTTCGGCCTAATGGCCTTTTAATCCTCCACTGGACGTACGAGAACAACCCGATCGGGGTGGATCAGGTGGATATCTACGGCGCGACGATTGGGCAGCTGTGTAACGTGTTGCGGAAAGCGAACTTCCTGATCATCGACGTGTTGCGGATTCCAGTCATGGACTTCGTCATCCCGTTGGAAGAGCTGGACAGCATCGAGCAGAAGGTGTTGAACAAGGGCGGGCGGGGAGTGGATGGCGGTAGTGAGAGAGAGGGGGTGTTTTTAACCCCGGGGGAATATGTGCACTACCCAAATGGAACGAGAAAGCCCTACACGGTGCTGAGAAGAGATGAAGCAGATTTCGTGATTGCGAGGTATCAAAGGTGAAATATCCGTGATGCATCTTCGTCGCTGACCAGTTGTCCCTGCCGCTTGGAAGCCGTGCAGCTTTGGTGCGCGTGATTTCTTTTCAATTGTCAAGAAAAGAGTGTAGACCTACGCTGTCTGTATGTGTTGTTCCTGGTCCAAGTGAAGCAGTGGGAGAACTAGAACGAGCGAGCGCGACGGGGAAAGAGCAGAATGTCTTCGAGTGAATATATTCATTGAGAGGGAAGAGTCAAAGCACATATCCAGCGCACGGGATATATAGCTCTTTTCCGTAGTTCCAAGAAATACCTGGGTTGTACCATAGTAGATGGCACGATGTTTTTGTGAGGCGTCAGAATGCTCTGCATGTATTGCCGCTGAAGATGGTCCGTGCGCAGGGATCACTAAAGCGCTTCCCGGGGAGATGGCTACCGTTCGAAGAAGCGCGTTCTCTGGTCCGGAGTCACAACCTGCAGAATCGTGACGAATACCAGCATTTTAACCGATCTCTCCGGCCGAAAAACGTACCGACGAAGCCATGGGTGATATACGCAGATGAGTACCGTGGTTTGAACGATTTTTGTGGTTACACGAATTATGGGCGATGGCGTCGCGTGTCGACGGAGCCAGTACCTGATAGGAGCGTCTGCGATGCTGCCGCCGCAGTTCGTAATCGGTTTCGCCAGGAGGACGGTGTGAGATGGTTCCGCGATCGCGTTGCTCACCTTTGTCCAGAATTTGAGTTCGTCGCAGCACCCGCTCTCTGCTGTGTGAGCGTTTTTTTCCGGCTGAAAACTGACACCTCTAGCGGAGCAGTTTGGTTGCCTCTTCGTCTCTCGTTCTCCTGTGCGCCGAGGAAGCTGCGTATTCCTGTCAAGCCGAAAGAGCAGACTGCAGAGTACAAGTTCAAAATAGGGCGCGGTCCGGCAACATCGGATGTGAGCGCGCGTGTGGGGCACCTTCTCATCGGCTTGCGCGACGAGCTTCTTCAGGTGCGGGGGCCGACGGTCGTTGTTCAGCGACAAATCCGATGGGAAAATGTCCGCGTCACCTGCATGGAAAACATCAGCGAGGCCGGGTATCTGTCGAGCGTTCTTGTGGCTCTTTGGAAGGAACACGCTGACGCTGCCCGATCTGTGACCGACTGGATGCCGGACGTGTACCGAGACCACCGCAAGCGTCTGCGGAGTCAGTTCATAAAAAAGGTTCACGATTTGGTGTACGAAAAGTGCGGTTTTCATCTACAGTGCTGCAACCGTTTTGGTGATGCAACTGACGCTGTTCTCGACGGGCACGTCAGACTTTCTCATCGAATGATCAAATGGAGCAGAAGACCGGCGAATAACCGAGTTGAGCTGTCTCACGATCTCGGTGGGGTGTGCACACCGTATCGTTTTGATCCCGAAACCTCGCCCCACTTCGTCGTTGCGCTGTACCCTCTGCAAACTCGCTCGCGAACGCGCTTATCGAGCGAGAGATCGCCTGCGGCGGCCGAAAGCGATGAGGCGGAGCTGCGAGGGATGTGGGTACTACCTAGATCGGAATTCCTACATTGTTTTACACATGCAGAACACCCAGCATATGGTCGTACTACTCTTCCAATATACAGACCCGATGCGGTGTTGTCAAAGCCAGAAGCAATCTGGAACCAGAAACGGCAGCTCAGATTTTTCATCGATCTTTCCACGCCTGAAGAGCTAGAAATCGCTGTGGGTAAAGTAAAAGCAATCATAGATGCGCATCTCGGTAATTGCACTACTAGACCGAACGAGATATTTACAGGAGAATCGGAGGTGCAACGGATTCAGGATCTGAAAGCATCCAAGAGCGGGTAACAGCACAAACCTTCGAGATACTTTCTGCGAACAACGAGTGTTCCTGTTCTTACTGTAGCATCTCTCTGAGAGATACACCAAGCGTTTTTCGGTTCCTTGACAACTGAATTATCTGAAGATGTAGTGACGTTGTGTGATATGCCAATGAACGACGATGAGTATTAAACGTAGTCTGATTGTGGGTCGTAGATTGATTATGATGTGTCGATGTATCAGCTCATTTTCTTATAAAATGTACATTATTCTTGTTGCATCTCAGTACCCAACTCCCAACCCGCGTTGTCACCCCCAGCAATATTTACTCGGGCTTGCCAGCTTTTACTTTTTCGATTTTATCAATTTCGTTTCTCTTCAATCGCAGTTGCAGTAGTTACGTTTTTTTGAGGACCTGGGCACCGGTTTGCCTTTGCAAAAGGGACCTTTTGTAGTTTCAAGAACGAACGTCAGACAGAACCTTTTTATTCGAATTCATACCCAAATCATACCCTCTCCTACGCAGCAGTCAGTCTCGTCTCCGGGCTGGGACTTCGAATTCGAAAAAGATTCAGCAGTTTTTCCGCACCCTGGTCAAGAGGCGCAAGCCGATTGCGTTTTCTGGCCTCGGAGTTGCGGTTCTCTCCACAACTACACCAGGCTCATTTTTCACACCCACGACCTTGATTCCCTTCACTTCGGCGAAGAACCCGCCCATCACAACCGGCGCCTCCGGCGAGATAATCACCGACTCTATGGGCCGCTTTTTATCCTGTGCAAAAGTATCGTAGTCGTACTAATTGCAAATATGCATGACAAATCTCCTTTCTAAGGTAAAACAGCATTACAGATTACACCTTTCTTCTTGCCAAAATTTGTGATGCAATTTATACTAGTACGATACTTTTGCAATGCATACTTTTCATCCGGGGACGATTCGGACATGGAGGTGGAGACTATCACAGGAAAAAGTGTTAACGTTAACGGATTTTGTGATGCAGTAATGCATCACAAAACGTTCCCAAATTTGTCATGCATAGCATGCATACTAGGCAAAATCTGTCATGCATATCTAAAACTGTTAGGCAAGATATGAAATCCACCAGGATCATAAGCCAAGCAAATTCCCTACGACCTAAATTGAATGCTCATTGAAATCAGGCTCTAAATTTGTCGTTCAAATTTGGATCCAATGCGAAATCAGCATGTTCATACAAATGAACAAAAATGAAGCTCAGTCTAATCCCACGCTGTAAGCTAGTGACGACCAACGATGGTTGATCGGATTTCTCATAAATTTAGGGTGATTAGAACAAATTTGAACTTTCATGCTTTACCCCCTTGACTGAGACGTCAGAGTTTGTGTGTTGTTTGGAGCCCTAAACTTTTCCCCACAGGCTGTNCTGTTAGGCAAGATATGAAATCCACCAGGATCATAAGCCAAGCAAATTCCCTACGACCTAAATTGAATGCTCATTGAAATCAGGCTCTAAATTTGTCGTTCAAATTTGGATCCAATGCGAAATCAGCATGTTCATACAAATGAACAAAAATGAAGCTCAGTCTAATCCCACGCTGTAAGCTAGTGACGACCAACGATGGTTGATCGGATTTCTCATAAATTTAGGGTGATTAGAACAAATTTGAACTTTCATGCTTTACCCCCTTGACTGAGACGTCAGAGTTTGTGTGTTGTTTGGAGCCCTAAACTTTTCCCCACAGGCTGAGACGATAGTCACCATAGATTGATTGCGACTAAGAAACACTGAATCCCACCTAGATTCTGCTTGACATGCAAGATGGCCAGTGTTCACACCGCCCGCGTTTCTTCGTCGTTGATTGTCTTCACACCGTGAAAATCCGGTTGACATTCTATCGGCACAGCCTTGAGCGCTGACGCAAGACACGACCAGTGCCAACACGACAACAACTACCAAGCCTGGTCCCCCCGCAACGAACACGACAACACCTACCAAGCCAGGACCAGAACCAAACCACCAACCACACCAAGACCCGCAGGAAGGTACTAAAAGCGCGAAGAAAAATAGAGAAAATTTTGAATTTTTGGTAGTGTTTTTGAATAGAATTTTTGTTTGAATTTGAACTAAAAAATTAGGCAAAATAACCCCCAGCCACCGAGTTCAAATCAACCAACAGTGGTGATTTGCTGCCGTGATATCAATTGCTGAAACACGGTCAGAGGCTGTTTGAAAGTAAGAGAGAATTTGTAATCATACACCTACACAGGTGCAAGAGAGACAAAGCGACCAAAGGTGCGCGCTACGAAGCCCGTAACCTTTGCCGAAGCATCGAGCGAGGAGCAAAAAGGTACTAAAAATTGTACTTACATTCGGTCTGTTTTCTAAAATCATTGGAAATTTTAAATGCGAACACGCACGGCAAGAGCACAAAAATCGCATGTTAATCCTCCCCAACAAAAACTATTACAGTTTTGGGCGGCGGATTTAACGTACCGAGCAGCAGGCCGGTACAAGAGCAAGGACCCGACAGCAGGTCACGAAGAAGGTACTGAATTACATCGGTTTTTGAAAATAGAAGTCTAAGCGTAGTTCTGATTTTGTCTGTAATTGCATCGTGAATTCAACAAGATGATCGCATGTGAGATGCTGAATACCATCTGAATTCGATTGCAAATTTCTTGTACAGGTAGCCGCCTACGCGTGTACCGAGTACAACAGACGACACAACCGCGACGCGCGTGCTCATCGTGAAAAGATGGGGGCGCCGGGTGATGACCATCGTCCGAGCACTTCCGGCACCGTCGGAATGCTGTACGACGCGGAACACGAGGGAGAAACTGGAAAGGACTTCCAGACGTTCACGGGTAGCGTGATCGCTCAGGCGTTCTCGTTGAACATCGGTCCCCAGTTCAAAGAAGACTTAGAAGGAGAAGTCTGCGTGGACAAGTGGGATGAGGTCGATCAGTTAGCCTGCGATCAGTGGGTTGCTGACGGCAAACACGAACAGGACTTCTGGCCCACCTACACAACCGAAGTACGCGCTGCTTACGCGAAGTTGTGTGGTGCAGTATTCAAATCCTTAACCGGAAAGGCCCGAGCCAAAGCTCAGGACATTCAGGAAGAGCCCGGGGCTGGCGCGTGTGTAGTCTGGTTGATGCTTCAGATCAAGGAAAAGGCTAACCCGCAGACCGCCGGTGCCCGCCGCATGTTGATCAAGGAATATTTCAACAGCAAGCAGGGTGAAGATGAAACCGTGGAAGAACATATTGACAAACTGAAGAACTTCTGGAATTTCAAACTGGGCGCTAAAGTTACGGCCGAAGAGTTACGCTATCACTGTATCTTCGGGAACATGCGCGAGGAATTCGATGAGTGCAACAAGCGTGCCTTGGCTAATGGATTCAGTTTCGAAGAAACCAAGAATCATATGGTCGAGGAAGAACGCGCTCTGTCTAGCAACGGAGAGACCACGAAGCACAAAGCTAATCTGGTCCGCAACAAGAATTCTCGCAACCAGCATGGCCCGCGCCCGGATCACGTTCAGAAGAACCGTGAGAAGCAGATGTTCTCCAATATGTTGAAGAAAGAGATGCCGAGTCTGATCCAGCAAGCCGCTGCGAATCTGATCGCGCAAAATCCGAACTTGACCCAGAATCACACTGCTGGTAGCAATGACGACAGTCATGCGGCCAATTACGCAGGAGATTCCAAGTGGTGTTCGAATTGCAATTCGGAATCCCACAACACCAAGGATTGCTGGTACAAAAACGGCAATAAGGTCAATAACAAGTCTTCCAATAAGAATTCCGGTAAGGGTAACAACACGAATACTGTTCGCAAGGGCAACGACAAGCCGAAGGGTGGAGGTAAGAAAGGAAAAGGAAAGAAGGGTAGGAAATACTGAGTCTTAGATGGTGTTTCGAAGAAAAGTAGCTTGTTACACAAACTACAAAAAGTAAGAAAACTATTCTTACGGCTGACGAAAACTCGATGTTATAATACAAATTATTCGCGATGTTTTTCAACTAAATTTTTAACAAAAATACCCCCCCAAAAGAACCCCCCACAAAAAGAACAACCACCTGGTGATGAACCACCAGTGACTACAAGTCATTTTGAAGAAGATGAATGTGTGTTCGACAGCAAGCTTGACATCTTCAATCCAGATTCTTCATCATTAATCGATATGGATGATTTATTCTCGAATCTCGATAAGAATGAAGATGAAATTTGTACCAATGATGCAGCTGGTCCAACGAGACAGCTGAAAGGAAAACGAAAAAGAGCAGAGCTGGAGCTTGCTGAGCAATTTGCAACCCCAGAGATGGCAAATATGACACAACAAGTCCAGGCTCTTGAGTCGACCGATCGCGAAATCCGTAAGATTTTATTTCCTCGATCTCATGTTTCGGATGCGTCCAAAGCCGAACGAGTTGAGAAATGCAATCTGTCACAAGATGCAGTATTTTCAATCGTAGCAAAAGAAAGCGAGCAAAATCATTCGCCCGAGTACACAGCAAGAAAGCTAGCACACCTCTACAGCGTTCGCGAATCAGCATTGAGGAAGGTGCGCGAGGCGAACGATGCTCATCGGAATAAAAAGGACGAGCAGCACCGAAATCATGAAACAGCTTTTAATTGTGTCGATGATGCAATTTGCGACAGTGGCGCAACAAGTCACATGTCGGGCCGACCAGAGATTTTCGAATCTTGGGACGACAGTAATCCAGTGCGAATAACTGTAGCAGACGGAAAAGAGTTGGATGGCCCTGGATATTTTGGCACATTGAAACCAAACGCACTTGGTTGCAAGCGTGCAATATTCCATCCATTCCTTCCACAGACCCTCCTCAGTGTCGAGCAACTGAAGAAAGAAGGCTATAGAGTTGTTTTCGACGAAGGGGGCAACTACTTGCAAAGTAGGAAGACAGGAAAGAGAATTTTTCTTCACAAAGGGATCGGAACCAAGCTGCCGGCCGTGGCACTTGGGTTCAACGAAGATCCAGGTGAAAAGGGTTTGTTGTGCGAAGAGATCGAGACAGAGTCCACTATGATGACAAAGGCTGAGAAAATGCTTCTTGATCATCAGCGTGCTGGACATCGTAGTCTACCAGGAATAGTAGTCCGATGTCCTGCCTGCGATCTCGCGAAAAGCAAAGGCGCGCAACATGCAAAAGCGAAGAAAGAATGCTACAAAGTTGAAAAATTCAATGACCAAGTTGATTTTGACTTTACTGGACCGTGGGAACCTGACTACTGGTCGCAAAGATGGGTGCTAAATGCCATCGATCAAGCAACCAGCTGGCCTCGTTCTTTCATCTGCAAAAGCAAAGCAGAAGCAGGCGCAAAGCTGCAGGTCTGGATAAATGAAGAGGGACCACCGAAAAGAGTGAGATCCGACAATGCCAAAGAGTTCAAGGAACCAGGTAGCACTTGGAAAAAGACAGCACAGAAACAGTCCCCGCCGATTCATACTGACTACTCAGCTCCATACGAACCACAAGAAAATGGAAAAGTTGAAAGATACAATCAAACTCACCAGAACGGAGTGAGGGCAATGATGGTCGGAGTCGATAAGCGTATGTGGAGTTATGCAGCACGCACTTTCTCCCACATATTCGCCCGAACCCCTACAGCCAAAGGAGGCGAGTCGCCATTTGAAAAACGCTTCAAAAGAAAACCTTCCATCAAGTATTTCCGACGTTTCGGATGCTTGGTATACGCGAAGGATCACTCACAGAAGTCGAAGCTTGAAGACCGGTTTACCCGTGGAATCTTTCTAGGCTACGCCCAAGAAAATTCTACATACCTGGTAGGCATGTGGTCCGCAGATGGTCGATGTAAGAAAAGCTCCAAAATCCGCTTCGGAGTCCACGAGGTGAAGTGTTGTAAGTTTGATGAATCAGTGCTGGTCAGCAAGATAGATGATCTGAAGCCGGACGCTGACAAGTTGTTAATTGATTTTCCGAATCCGGCGCGTCTGGGTGATAGTTCGCAGCTCGTAGAGCCGAATGTGCCCGCTGTAGATCATGATCAAAGCAGTCGTGGTCAGGACGCTCCGAGGACCGATCGTTCGAAAGATGAAGAAGATGCGGACAAACGCAGTTCGAAGGAAAAAGAAACCGTCGAAAACGACGAGGGCAAGAGTTTCGAAGGGGGTGAGCAACCTGAGGAAGGGGGCGAGGAAAATCAAAACCCTAATCAGGATTGGCTCGATTTGTTTTCAGAGGAGGCGCCTGAAAAATCCCCGAAGCAGAAAAAGAAAGCTGAGAATGGAAATCGAAAAAGAAAGTCTAATACAGTTGATGCTGATGAAAAAGAGAACGAGACACAAGAAGCGCCTAGGATCCTCGTTGAAGGACCTACACGAAAGAAACATCGCAAGAAGGGCCGAGGGCATGACAAGAAAAAGCGCAAAGAACGCAACGACAAAGGCCAAAGTCGTGGCCCTCGAGCAAAGAAAAGGCAGAAAGTCAATCTTGTGTCGTCATCTGACCTTTTGAAAGATCTACCGATGGAATTTGAAAAAGAAGCAGAAGCTATATTCCAGATTCGTCATGAATTAGAGGAGGACGAAACTCCTTACCTCTTTGGCTTGCAGCACACTTGGGCCAAGTGTCTGGAAAGTCCTGACGCAATCAAATGGATCGAGTCAGATACGAAAGAACGCCTAGCGCTAGAAGAAGCAAAAACGTGGAGGCATGCAACCGCAGAAGACATCAAAGAGATGGGTGATAAGTTAGAGAATATCCCGACGGTATGCATCTACACGAAGAAGAGAGACGGACGCTACAAGTGTCGTCTCGTAGCACTAGGAAACAGGCAAAAGATATCTCTTCAAGGAGAAATATACAGCCCAACTGTGAGCCATGCCGCTAACAGGTATCTACTTGATGAAGCAGCAGCACGCGGATGGAAAGTTAGACAGTTCGATAATTCAAATGCGTTTGAGCGTGCAGCTCTAGGTGACGAGATCGAGTTATGTCGCCTGCCCAAGCACAACAGCTGGAGCAAGAACAAAGAAAAAGGCGACGTTGTCAGGCTGTTAAAGTCGTTATACGGTCTGAAGATCAGCCCACGCCGCTGGTATGACGAATATTCCGGCAGACTCAAGAAGTTAGGCTGGGTTGTATCCGAACACGAACCAGGTTTGTTCAAGAAGTTTGCAAAAGACAAACAGGGAAAAGAGCAAGAGCTCTGGCTAGCAGTTTACGTAGATGACAACATTATCTCAGGCGAAGATGATGACCTTGTCGCTGCAGAAATGAATGCAATTTTAGCAGAGTTCCCAGGAAGAGAAATTCTCGCAGAATATGACAAGGAAGGCAATGAGATCCGCGACCTTCTCGGCGCAAAGTTGACCTTCAACGCGAAAAAGAGAGTCATGGAAATCACTTGCGAAGACGCAACTGATAAGCTGCTTGAGAAATTTCACATGAAGGACTGCCGCGCAGTAGTTTCCCCATGTTTACCAAATTCCCACGCAGACTTGGACTCGCCGTCGAATTCCACATTTCCGATAAGATCGCTAGTAGGCGGAATGTTGTATATCAGTTGCGTTGCCCGGCCTGATATCGCATTCGCAGTACAAAGAGTAGCGACGCAGGTAGCTAGTCCAACCGACCAAACGGTAAAAGATGCTAAGCGTATTCTGGCGTATTTGAAAGGAACCAAATCGCAAGGATTGGAATACAGCAAGCAGCAAGAGAAAAAGTTCAAAGAAATCTACACAAAAGCCGCAGAGCTAGAAAACAAGGAATACAGAGACACTATTGCTTTCTGCGATGCAGATTTTGCAGGATGTTCTGTAAGTTTTCGATCCACGTCAGGAACAATCCTATATCGACGCGGAGTTCCCATCTGTTGGAAGTCGAAACGTCAATCGATTCGAGCTACGTCAACAATGGAAGCCGAGTATTGCGCGATGTATGACTGTGTAAGGATGACTATGGACCAAGGATATTTGAACTGGTTTTCAGAACAAGAGTCAGGATCTCTACCGTTGATCTTCAACGACAACAAGTCCGCGCTTGCGTTGAGTCAGACAACCGTAGCCACGAAAAGATCCAAGCACATGAGTCTTCGACTACACCTAGTACGAGACTACGTAAAAGACTTGTGCTATGTAAACACGGATATCAATCTAGCGGATGGATTGACAAAACCACTTCCAGGAGAGAAGTATATCCAAATCTTCAAAGCTCCCGCACGAAAAGCTAATGAAGTATTTGCGAAAGCCCACTTTGTTGACTTCAATAATCTCTAGGATTGATTGATGCGAATTTCACACAAAGTCATCTCATCTGATTCATTTCGATGATTTAATGTTCATTCGGAAGGGGGAATGTTAGGCAAGATATGAAATCCACCAGGATCATAAGCCAAGCAAATTCCCTACGACCTAAATTGAATGCTCATTGAAATCAGGCTCTAAATTTGTCGTTCAAATTTGGATCCAATGTGAAATCAGCATGTTCATACAAATGAACAAAAATGAAGTTCAGTCTAATCCCACGCTGTAAGCTAGTGATGATCAACGATGGTTGATCGGATTTCTCATAAATTTAGGGTGATTAGAACAAATTTGAACTTTCATGTTTTACCCCCTTGACTGAGACGGCAGAGTTTGTGTGTTGTTTGGAGCCCTAAACTTTTCCCCACAGGCTGCGACGATAGTCACCATAGATTGATTGCGACTAAGAAACACTGAATCCCACCTAGATTCTGCTTGACATGCAAGATGGCCAGTGTTCACACCGCCCGCGTTTCTTCGTCGTTGATTGTCTTCACACCGTGAAAATTCGGTTGACAAAAACCTATGAAAACCGTTAACGTAAAACACTGTTTTGTTGGATAGAGACGCCCCACTCCTTCACCGGCCGCATGTGCGCGGGAAGTCGGTGGGAGGAGTCCGGCCGCCCGGATAAGCTGTTCGAGGACCCGACCGCCTACGCGCTGGCCGGCAGTTCTGGCCGCCGCCAGCCGATGGGGGCGTGGATCTTGGTGCCCCGGACCAAGTTCGGCGACGACCTGCTCATCGACCGGTACCACAACCATATCAAATGCAAAAGTGTCTGGGTCTGGCGGAGTGCGCGATTTGTCATACAGCTTTTCCATGACCCATGAGGTCTGGATCTGGAATGCAGGTCCTAGCATGACAGATTCTGTGCGATCTCTCTCATGCATATTCTGCATGAGAAACTCCCTCCCGACTTCTAACGCCACGGTATTGGCAGAGGCTAAATCTGTTCTAACGCCGCCCTGACAGGAGTCAAAGGTCAAAGCGATACGATACGACTTGGTCAAAACTGGACGACTTTTGGTAATCATGCAACACAGATTTTTGCATGCTTCAGATTTAGCATGACAAGTTGCGTTCTTCCAGACCCAGACATTTTTACATTTGATAAACCACGGCGCGAGGCAGTTGGTGTTGCTCGGCGCGGGCATGGACTCCCGGGCGTACCGCATGGAGGGGCTGGAGGACTTGACCGTATTTGAGGTGGACCAGCAGACCACCTTCGACGTGAAGGAACCCATTCTGGAAAAACCGCAACTCGACGGGTACAGCGGGAACCCCGCGAAGGTGTGGCCGATGCTGTTCAAGAAGCGGGAGGTGGTGGCGACGGAATTTTCCGAGAAAAACAAGTGGGTCCAGGACCTCGTCAGCAAGGGTTTCGACAAAACCGTCCCGACCGTGTGGCTTTTGGAGGGGTTGATGATGTATTTATCCCCCAACGACGGCAAGGCGCTGATGCGGCAGATCGGCTCATTGTCCGCCCCGAAGTCCGTCGTGTTCCACGACGGCTGCTCCCGGTCCTACCTCGCGCAGAAGATCATCGTGGGCGGCGCGCCGTTCATCGGGGGGTCGGACACGTACGGGTCGGAGTGGACCATGATGGGAGGCTTCGACTCGGTCAAAGTGCACGACTTTTCGGAGGACCTGCATGTCGACAGAAGAAACAAGCGACTCGTGTTGACCGCCGAGGGCCGGGCCACGCCGGACCGCTGCAAGGGGCGGCTGTTGGTGCTCTTTGTCGTCGCGGAAAAGACGAAATGAAAAGGGTTTTTCTTTGAAAATGTCGGCTTTTATTTTGTTCGACCGGCGAGCGACGGCCACAACGACAACGAATGTATTTCAAATTGCTCCTGAATACTCGATTTTCAATGTTCTTTTGGGCTCTAGTTCTATTCGCATTGATTGCTGTTTCCGAAAAACGCCGCGACGCTGTAGTTACCACTATTGTCCCTAGGAATGTACTTCTGCCTTATCGACTTCCGAAGCCCAAAAACCATTACTATGTCCAGATGCGTTTTTTGGCTCTATCTTTTTTTCCCGACGTCTCAGACCTTGTCTTGACGTCTAGATGACTTCTTTCAACTTAATGTAGCCTTGATTTAAAAATACTTATGCTATCAGTATGTAGAGCAGCCTATCGCGACTAAAATCAATGCAACATGCGCCAGGATAGCCAGAAGGAAAATGAACTTTCAAAATTATTGTTGCAAGCGATGCCTGAGCAGTAGCGACCGAAGACAGCGAATGGCATTTATTGACAACTTGATATTTGAGGTTTAGACGAACCCGAAAATTTTCACGTGTGTGCAGAATGCTGAAAATGAAAATGCTAAAGATGAACCCTAACTATTTGCGGCGATTCTCTGATCGCAAGGCTTTTCTCCACGGAAACGGGAGTCAACAGGATGGATCAAAAATGTATGGAGTTCCACGAGCGCACATTCGACGGTGAAGTGGGACGAAGCGCCAGCATTGGTCGAAACGAATTGAAGAGGATCGTACGTAATACAGAAGCAGTAAAGGTCAGACATAAGTAAAGGTTTGATGATCATCGGAGCACTTGTAAAACTAAGATCCGTGTAAAAGTCCCCTAGGTCCGAGCGGAGATCATCCTCTTTGCGACATAATTAAAGATCTAGGAAGGGACGAAGAGCTCATTGTTCTTGTCTTTCATCGCCTTTCTTGCCCGTTCCGGTTGAACAAGTTCCTACTTACCACGGCCAAAGAATGATGATCTCACACAAATTCCTTACCTACTTTACTTTAGCGCCTGCGCTGGTCTCGCAAGTTCTTGACCGGCACAGAGCGTGAAGAAACGTCTGATCTGACTTTGGCTTTTCGTGGCTCCTATTCACAAGGAGAAGTAACACATGTAAATCGATCTCTATCTTCGCAATTACCAAAAATTCCGTTTTGCGCGTAAAGAATCGCACAAGAGAAATTTTCAATTTTCATATCACAGTAGCGACATTACATATGACAGTAGAGTAGTTATTTAGAAGCTCGAGTTAGAAAGCCGTAGTAGATCGAATCAGACGCAAATTTTAGAAATCCACGTATTCATTTCATCCTTTTATCAAAAAATCATCATGGCAGCCCGCGGCGGGAGCGCGGGTCCCAACGGGACCACCACATCGAATGGCAACAACCACCAGCAAGACGTGTTCAAGGATTTGACCCTCCGCCAGGCGGAGCGCGTGTTGTCCAAGCTGACCAGCTACCCGTCGGATGCGGTCGCTTTCTTCGAACTGTTGAAGATCACCACGCCGGAACTGGAAGAGGACCCGTTTTTCAGTTTCAACGGAAAGCTGGTGCGGGACCAGAGCTGGAAAGCGTTTCTCCTGCGCATGCACCCCGACAAGCACCAGGGGGACAGTAACGTTTCCCTCTCCACGGAGGTGTTTCAGAAGGCGAAAAATCTGTACGCGTCGTTGAACGAAAAAAACATCAACTGGGGTCGGGAGAGAAAACCGTCCGCGTACCATGCCGGTGGAACAGCCAGTGCGAACGGCGGTTCTTTCTTTCCGCAGGGCAGAACGGGGGCGGCGACCGGGGCGACCTCCAGTTCCTCCTTCGACCGGGCGCCGACGGTGGATCCGAGTGGGAGAACCGGGAATCAAGGTAGTAGTTCCGCATCTACTTCTACGGGTGCAACTAGAACCGGCGCGCAGGAAGAAAGATCGGCGGGAGCTACGGATTATTCCTCCTCCTATGCGAACAAAACGCGGGAGGAGAAGCGGGAGCAATTCCCCTCCGCCTTCAACATCTACGAAAACTGGCCCTGGCTACAAAAAAACGACGGGGAACTGACGGCGCTGGAAAAGATGGGCCGGAAGGGTGACTTGGTCAGCGCAAACTACGACCAGAAGGCAAGTGAGTTCGCATCTTCGTCGACGAGCTGGACTACTACGCCAAACAAGGACAAAAATGCGACGACCGGGAATAACGGCAAGCAAGATACAAGAACGTCTTCAAGCAAGCAAACCACAAATGGAGGTACCAATCCCAGTTGTTCACCTGGTGATACCAATTTCGGCACGTTCAGCTTTGGTGGCGGATTTTCTACTTCCACCAATGGGACAACAGGGGGAAGCAGGTCTACAGGAGCCAGCGCAAGCACATTCGGCAGTGGAGCGGGCCCTCCCCCTCCGGTTTTTGGGGGCGGCGGTTTTCCGCAAAATTTCGAAGCACCTCCGAACAGTCAACACCCAGCCCCGCCGGTTTTCGGAAATGCAAACTTTCCGCAGCCGGGGAACGCCAACAACACCGGCAAAGGCATTTTTGGCGACGGCGAGGGCGTGTTTGGAAACGCGAGTAACTTCGGCGGCGGGGGCCCAAGCGTGTTTGGCGGCAACGGGACTTCTGCAACGAATGGCAGTGGCGGCGGGAATATTTTCGGAAATAATTCTACTGCAACCGGCAGCAGCGCCAGTGCGAGCAATCTGTTCGGCAAGAAGCCCGGACGGGCAACTACAGGAAATAACGGACAGCAGGGCACGCCGGATAAAAAGAATCCTTTCGGGGGAACAACAAACCAAAACTTCGGCTCCGCAAGTTTTAACCCCTCGACCGGACAGCAGGAAGACCAACCCCCCTCTAGTACCGACGTGCACTGGCATCTCACGCTCCAGTTAATCAACCTTCGGGGCGCGATTACGCACGGCAGACCCATTGGGCTGCCCTTCACGAAGGCAAGTTCGCTGAAGGACAGGAACCTGCCGAAGCAATTTAACGTGCTCGACATGTGGACGGGCGACAGCGTGGAGGATCTGCTCCGGCCGTTTGGCGGGGCGAGAAGACTTCATGGGCGGAGCGAAATCAAGAAAGAGATTATGACCAACGGACCCGTGGTGTCCACGTCCTTCTACTTGGACGGGCAGTTCGCGGAACGAACCAAGCACCCGTTTGACGCCGGGCGAATCGGTGGCCTGCACGAACTGCTTTTGGTGGGCTGGGAGGTAAACGAATTTGGCGAGTGCTGGTTGGTCAAGGCCTTGCACAAAGACACGGCGTTTCACCCTTCAAGAATGCAAGGTATGAATTTACTGCTTTATTGAAGATGTAGTGTACAACTAGTGCTGGCTCTTCGGCTTTTTGCAAACGGAAGTAGTTCTTCCATCAAGCCTGGTCCTCGTGGAATCGGCCAGCGGGACGTGGTCATCTGACCCTATTCTGAATCTGATTTATGCCCCAGATGGTTATAGAACTAAACAAAGATCTTCTTCCCATGATCACATCCAAACACAGACGTCTCCCCCGACGGCAGCACGAGCCCGAGGGGCCGAAGTAGTTCGACAGGCAAGTCCACCTCGAGGAAGAAGCAAGACGCTAGCAACTCCAAAAATAACTCCTTTCGCATCGGTATCCTGAGTAAAAACGTACCCACCCCATAGTCAAGATGGGAGATCGGCTAGACAAATCCACAAGTTTTGGCTGTTTTGCATGACAAATTTGGACTCGTAGTGTAGTGCTGTTTGAGCTAGCTCAGCAGCATCACAGATCTAGCATACCATGCTGATTGGAGCATGACAAATTGCAAAACACGACTAGAAAATGCTTCTCATGGGGCTCCGCATGAGAAACATTTTCAGCATGCAGATTTGCACTACGACTCTGGTGTGGGTACGTTTTTACTCAGGATAATCGGTTTTGGGCAGTTCCAGATCGAGGATGAGGTGTTGACGTTCAGCAACGAGAAAGTGCTTGAGTCCGTCACTTGGCAGCCGGGGCCCTATCTGGAGATCGAAAACCAGGACGACGTGAAATGGCAACTGGGGGAAAAGCAGCTCTCCGTCCCCTTGAGCGCGGACATGCTGGAGAAGGTTCTGATCAAGCTCGGAGGGGGCAGTTTGAAAGGGTTGTTCCAAATGGCATCAACAGCATCTTCGGAGGATCCGAAAGTAGCAGCGGCTACTAGTAGAAGTGCCGTCTACCTGGAGATTCTCCCAAACAGTCGGAAAGCGGGGTCGCGCAGGATACGAATTACGGATTTGGAGCTGCCGGTAAACAGTTTGTTTCCCGGGGCAAAGAACAAAGCGAAACCGTACTTGCTGACCGGGGAGCTGGTGGATTGAGGACGCGGATCCCTCGGAGTTCTTACGTCGGGGAAATCAAGCAGGATTTGATGCCCCCCTGCGGCTGCGTTGTCGTGAGGAAGAAACTTTGTGAAGAATCAGAAGTACTTATACCGAAGTGCGAAATGTCTCGCACAACCACAAGATCTGCTCGTGATCCGGGTTCTTGGGTGTGGTTTTATTTCGCAGGATAGCCGCCAGAAGGTTCGGAACCGGAAGTACATTAATCGATACAACGACCACGAGCACCACTTACTTTTACGCGACAAAAAGAGAAAGACGACAGAGTAAATACTGAATTTCATCATGCGAAATCGCGGACTCGACAAGTGGAAGTTCGCGCACCCCTTGTTGAAAATTCAAGATGTCTTCGAAGTGGAAGTTCGCGCCCCCCTTGTCGTGTGAATGTCTTCGAAGAGAACCACAATCATGTTCGACGTCCCTCGGGGCCTTTTCTATTTTTTCGTTGCGGCAACCACGCTCGAATTTGGAAGTAGGCATGAGTCCTCTCCTCCGCCTGCATCGCTGGGCTTCGCCACCGCTCTGTCTGTCAAATCGTTTTTCTACAACTCCAATGCTCGACTTACTACATCAACCGCGTCGAGCAGCAGTGGCAGTAGTGCGCCGTCCTTTGTACCTCTCTCGTCCTCATCTTCGCAACACGACAGACTCAATACCAGAGAGCGACCAACCGACCGCCGTGTTTTACAGGCGTCGGAAGCTGCTGTGCCAGGAGGACGACAGACCGTGCGGGCGCCGGAGCAGGTGCGGATGTCGTGTGGGGGAATGGGTATTTCGCCGAATGAGGCTGCGGGTCCGAGTAGAAACAAGAGTGGCACGACGACACCGCTAACCTCGACAGACCTGCGGGTCTTTTTTGCCCTGCGCTGGACGGGATACAAGCCTAATTTCTTTCGGCAGGAAGTAAATAATCCGTCTCGCGGCAGGAAGGCACCTGGAACGTCAAAAGTCCTCAGTACGCCGGTGTTTCCTTGCGCAATTTGCCTAAAAGAGGACATTTTCAGCAATGCGGATTATCATGCGCCAGAAGACCACCCGATAGATTCGAGTAACAGAGGACAACAAGGCGGCACCGCAGCAGCGCCCGGAGAAGAGGAGCGAGAGCAGCAATCTACGCAAAATAAGCCCAGGAGCTCTTTTTCGGGCGGAGAATCTAGTACGATAGCCGGCGGCGCTAGTCGTGTACCATTCCCGAGTCCCTCCTCTTCCAGTTCTTTTTCCACGTTGCAACCCACGACCGCAAGCCGCGCGTGGTCGCTGCGAAGTTCGTCCATGACAAACGTGCCTGAAGACGAAATCTTCCCACACGATAGGGATGAACATGAAGCCACTTGTTCACAACTGCGCCCGCAACCAGTAGGGAGCTGTGTAGTTCGCAGCTCGGGTCATGCGGTCGTCCAGCAGCAGACTTTGCTGCCCTTCACTGGTCGTGACGAAAGTTCAGTAGACGTCGATCGTGGCGAAGTTATCAGTGTTGATCAGTAGCAAGACAAACACTTGTGAGATACATTTTCCGCATTACAAGTTTACAGTGAAACACTTTTTTCTCACGATATTCCCTTTCAAGGACAACACGAATCCCGCTGCCTCTACTATGCAAAGAGAAAAGTGTTACAGTTACACATTGTGTTGCAAAACATGCAAGACAAACGACCTCTGTCATGCGCAAAATGCTTGCGAGTCTCGTTGTGAAAACGAAATCGCGGACTCGACAAGTGGAAATTCGCGCCCCCCTTGTTGAAAATTCAAGATCGGTGGTTCTGAAATCGTGAGAAGCGGAAAATGAAATATTGAGATGTACTGAATGAGCTCAAACACGATCTTAATACCCCCTGTGGATTTAGTAGGAGACTATTGAATTGTAATTGCGTCTTGATCTGAATGCAGAAGCACTTGACGGTCACGGTTTACGGTGCATCTTTTGGAAACAAAGTGATAGGATCATCATCGTTCTTGCTTTGCCTGATGTGTGTTGCGGAGAACTAATGCTCGGTCAAACGGGAACAATACTCGGTACGAGGTCAAAATCTCATGAGGATAAGATCAAGAGCACGATAGTGTATGATGAAGGGACGAGGACGACTGATTGACGACCACCACACTACTTTAAGAAAAACAGAGGCACGAACATCAGGCCCCCGATCGTTAAAGTGATTCATTCCGCAGTAGTTAAGTCTTGAGAACATCGCAAAGCGCGACCGTTTTTACCTAGCTCAGACTCATGTTAAAGTAGAAGCGTTATCTCTAAATTTAACGACGCCTCGGGTTTTCTTCTGACAACCGTAGCATCCTGTATAATTGAACTATTTCTACAAAGTTGCCTTTTACCACACTTTTTTGGCAAGTAAGTCTCGAAAAGTTCCCTCTTCTTTATTACTTGTGACAACACAACAACTTCTGCCTTTGCGGCCACAGGCACGTTCGCAGCAAGGCCCATCTCAAAGGCGTGCGTGATTGACTTATTGCTTCAAGTTTGCCGCATTCGACTGCAGGGCAAAACTCCGCAAAATGTTGCTTTTCCAATTCCGTGTGGTCGTGTTGCTGCTGCCCATCTGCAGCCTGTTATGGTGTCCTAGCGTAAGTGGCCTCCTGAGTGTGCGCCCTTGTGAACAAGCTGGAGATGGAAGTTTGATCCGTCGCTTGTCGTGCAAGCGACGCCGGCGCGAGGCAAGCGCCGCCGGGGCAGGGGAGAATGAGAGCGGCCATGGGCCTCGTGGAGAAATTCCAGTTACGTCCAGTCGCAGCCGCTCGCGCTCTTGTCCGCGTCCGGTGACGTCCGCTCGCGGTCCCGCTCTGGTTCTAGATACGCCCAGTGGCCCCTTTCCCGCGACGAGTAGCGCCTCCCCTTCGCTTGGTCCTGCGCAAGACGAAGACCTTGCTCCTGCCTTGCCGCCCGATACGTCTGCTCTTTACAGTTGCTTGGATGTCTGGAGCCCCAGTTTCCCCGGCGTTTGACGGAGTCCGGGCGGTAACGTGGCACGCCTGGACGGTGGCGCAACTGTACGAGCAGGTGGAAACGGTCGTGCGGAACTATCCAAATGTGGTCCAAGGTATCGTCAGCCTTCTGGACGGAAGCCAATTGCTGGACCGGAGAGAGACCTCCATTCCGCTCACGGAACTATTTCCTGCAGACAAACCCATCTACCTCACCGCCATGCCCATTCGGACGACACCGTTTCCCGACAAATTGACACTCAGCAACGCGATCGAATACTGGCTCAGAGACGGCTATGACAATGAGGAGAACAGGGCGGGGCGGGAAGAAACCAAGAGCATATATGGGCCTGTGTACAGCTGGAACGTCTCGGGGGTGAGAAGTTTGAGTTATTTGTTCAGACACCACTGTTACAGGAACCAGGGAAGCTTTGGTACCGCATTCATGGTGGACGGTAATGAGTTTGACATCTCGAAATGGTGGACAAAAGGCGTGACAGACATGTCCTCTGCCTTTTGAAACTGCGCCGACTTTAACCAAGACCTTCGCTGGTGGGACGTGAGTGCTGTAGAGAACATGAGAGCAATGTTTTACAAGGCATACTGAATTTCATCATGCGAAAACGAAATCGCGGACTCGACAAGTGGAAGTTCGCGACCCCCTTGTTGAAAATTCCAGATCGGTGGTGCTGAAATCGTGAGAAGCTGAAATAAATGAAAATTAAAATGTACTACATGAGCTCAAACACGATCTTAAAACCTCCTGTGAAATTAGTAGGAGTCTATTAAATTGCGTCTTGATCCCGCAGCGCTTCTCGGTCACGGGTTACGGTGCATCTTTTGGAAGCGAAGTGATAGGATCATCATCATTCTTGCTTTTCCTGACGTGTGTTGCGGAGAACTACTACGCGGTCAAACGAGAACAGTACTCGGTACGAGGTTAAAATCTCATGAGGATAAGATCAAGAGCACGATAGTATATGATGAAGCAACGAGGACGACAACGACTGATTGACGACCACCACACTAAAAAAAAACAGAGACACGAACATCAGGCCCCCGCTTGTCAAAGTGATTAACCCCGCTGTAGTCAAGTCTTGAGAACATCGCAAAGCGCGACCGTTTTTACGTAGCTCATCGCAGGCTTGTATGAATATGTTGAAGAGTTGATACATAATTCAAAAGTATTAGCTATGGATGCTTTTGTAGATGTGTATAGGCGTTTTTTTGTTCGCATAAGAGTGGGCTTACTTAACTCCAACGGAGGCAGCTCGTCGTTAGAATGAATGAGTGAATCATCATGAAAATATGAGGTGCTAGCTTTTCTGTCTGGGATAACCAATTAATGCTGGAAAATGATCCCAGGATTATTGAATATATGCTCGGCTACGCAGAAAGTTTTCAAGAGAGAAAGAAACTGACGTGGAGGCAAAGACGCGAAGGCGGGCCGCTCAATTACTTGAGAAGGAAGAAAAATTGGAAACGTCGTCCTGCTGTAGCCGCACGTGAACGCCAATGACGGCTCTGGTAACGCAATGTATTAAGGCGCTTGAGTAGCGCGTCACAAAACATATGATATGTTTTCTCGAAAATGAAAAGTGCATACCTTTTGCTACGTATGTGAAGCACGAATAGGAAATAGAACATTAACCCCAACTTGCCAGCGAACATTTCAGCGCAGCTGTTCACTCAGATGAAACGAAAGAAATGTAGTTGCTGGGGCGCGCATGTTGTTATTCCCGCACTTCTTCCCCCGTGGTCCTGCCTATCAGACCGCTCTTTACTGTAGCCGATGCCGCTTGCTGCTCGTAAGAAACAGCCGCAACTCCCAACAAGCCAAACGAAATTTGTCTTCTTCTCTATTTCGGCCCGAGCTAGTATGCCGGGGGCGCGGGAGCGGGAGGGTATTCTAAAAGGCCGCCCCCAGCATAGCAGGAAACAAACAGAATTTACTTTCCTATGGAAAGTACTACTAAGCCACTTCGTGTGAAAATTGGAGGTAGAACTTCTTTTTTTCGCGAGTTTCGCCCCAAGATTTTGTTTGCCAACTTTTGGCAGCATCAAGTTTCGCACTTGCTAAAAAAAAAAGCAGGATGCACGAAGTGATGTGCCTTCCTCGGTTCGCAGCCGACGACTCTTCACATCGAAAGACTGTGATAAAATTTGAATGACACGACCCCACTGAAATAACCCAAAAAATTCTACAATCACGTGCTGGACTACAGCAAGACCTACGTCTCCTGGTCGGAGCTGCATTGTTTGCAATCGTGAGAAGCGGAAAGAAAATGTACTTACCAAAAAAGTTCAAACACGATCTTGATCTTGATTAGCTGCATATGTCGGACAGATAGTCGCGCTCGCGCACCATGAGAGGCGAGTAAAGGGTTGATCTTGAGTGCAAAAACACCTGTCGGTCACGATTTACTCTGCATGTTTTGACAGAAGCTCCTTTTTCTCTGGGATAACCAATAATGAAAAACAATCCTCGCATTTTTCGACATATGCTTGGCCGCGCAGCAAGTTTTGACCAGACCCGAAACCTGCTGACGGAGGGCGATCAAAGTTTTGCGGCGCTCCTGGCTGATCTGACAAAAGAGGATATCTGGCGAAATCCAGGAGTTGTTCGTGGTCGATCTCCAGAACCTCAAGTCCGATGGTGGCGGCGCCCGGTAAATGATTTGCGTAATCTAGCCGGGATTTGAATGCAGCCGAGGGAGCCAGCGGAGTAACAGAAATCTTACCGAAAAGGCCCTCCCTTGATGTTGCAATATCGCTGCGGCGCATGTTGTTATTCTTAATGCCGCACTTCTTCCTCCGTTGCCCTGCTCCTGCCTATCAGACCACTCTATATCGTAGCCGATGGTGCTTGCGGCTCGAAAGAAGCAGCCGCAACTCCCAACAAGCCACACGAAATTTGTCTTCTTCTCTATTTCGGCTCGAGCTATGCCGGGGACGCGGGAGGGTATTAAACACGGCCCGCCCCAGCTTAGAAGGACAAGGAAACAAAAAGAAATTACTTTCATTTCGAAGTATGGAAAGTACCACTAAGCCACTTCGTGTGAAAATTGGAGGCAGAGCTCCTTTTTTTTTATTTGGAAACAGAATTGCTTTAGGACGGTATGCGCTTCCTTTTTTTTTATTTAGGACGGTATGCGCTGTCTTCGATGAGCGAGTTTTCTCTCCTTCGGACATGTATTTTCGTGCTCGTTTTTGTTTATGCTCTATCGGCTTCTCGGTATCGCTCTCTCGCTCTTCGATCTCGATTTACATGACCCTCGATCTGTACGTTCTTCGATCCCTCGATCTCGATCTCGATCTCGATCTCTCGCCCTCGATCATTCGTTTGATGGGTTTTCTCGGTCTTTTTAGGATCTTAAATATCTAAGATCCCTACGATCATCAACACGTTAGATCTGTGAGTTCCTTGTTGGTAAACCGGTACCCTTGTCCTCTTGGAACACGATGTCACATTTCTAAGCGAGCACTCCCATCTTGTCCTCATTAGGTCTACTTCATCGGGTAGAGAGGCTCAGGATGGTGAGACGGCATGGGCTGAAGTGTTGTTCTAGTTTGCGCGCATAGCTATTTCTCTACGAGTGAAAACCAAAAGATAGCTACAAGCGAGGCCAAAAGTTATCAAAATCAAAACGTCAGGTACCCTTGAATGCTCCTCCTCCAAAAATAAAAATAGATAAAATAGTTCGCATGCGTGACACCTTTGTATTCTCCAAAATTCTCAAATCTTGACTTTTATTTGGAAACAGAAGAGAAACTCGGAACGAGTTTCGCCCCAAGATTTTGTTTGCCAACTTTTGGCAGCATCACGATCTTTCACATCGAAAGATCGTGATAAAATTTGAATGACGCCCCACTGAAACAACCCAAAAAATGCTACAATCACGTGCTGGACTACAGCAAGACCTACGTCTCCTGGTCGGAGCTGCATTGTTTGCCCCAAAGTGGTTCTGCCGAATGTCTGGTGTTCTTACGGAGATTTGATGATGCGATGGCGTGCCGTGGTGAATATAGTGACCACAACTTCATCTTGCGAAATCTTCTCAATTGAGAAAGGACAACTTCAAGGTCCACCACAGGAGTTCGATCGGTTTTACTGCACTTACACTTTCACAACCGTTACTCGTGGTTCTCTGATAGGAAGTAGATCTTCGATATGCGAAGTCGGTCGAAGTATAGAGTGTTGTTGGATAAGTATTTTCTTACTTTTCTGCTTGTCTTCCTTTGCCCGTAACCAGGTTCTCGTTGTTGCTGAGGACCGTTGTTCCACCACTCCTGCCCGTTCGACGCGACGACGAGTGCCTTGATTTCATGGCCTCCAACCGGAGGTCGTGCCCGGCTTCTGGGAAAACGAAACCCGCAAGAACGACCGAGCTCCGATGCCAAAGTCAGCTCGGGGACAAATACCCGGAGGGCGGTGTCGTCTGCGGCAGTTTTTAGGAGTACCAGATGCGCGGCTAGTACTTCGCGAACCACACAACGGGGATGAACAAGCACAAGGCTACTCTGCGACCGAAGCCGGCGCACCTCCACCGGTCTGGTGGCACGGAGAACGAAGAGGATGTCGTGCCGGCAACAAGCGATACTGCCGGCCTCGGGTCGTTCTTGTGCCGGGTCTTTATCAGGGGCCGCTCCTTCTTGTGCAGCTGTTCATTGCGTTCCTCCCTCTAATTTTTTTGCAACAACCAAACGGGGTAGAAGTAGTTTCGGGCTACAATACAGATCTGGTGCACAACCACTACAGCCGCGGGACGACGAGAGGAAGCAATGGGGAGAGCAGAGCTGAGGCCGCCACCGCGTCCGCCTCCGCTGCGCGAATTGGAGCTCTCGAGGACCGCCACCGCGCCGGAGATGTGGAAATGCGGGCATTGCATCGAGCACGGATACGTCGTCCGGACAGTGAAGGTAGACCGGGAGGAGCTGAGACGGGACTTCTACAATTATCGGGGGTGGATCATGGTGGTCTACATTTACCTTCGAGGGCGACGACGTCACCACCGAAGCACTCGACGACACCGATTTACTTGACATCCGAACATCAAGCGAAGATCACTCCCACGCGGACGAGGAACTCATCAAGTAGAACACTCACGCCGTCCAGTGTAGTTACGACCGCTTATCATCATTTGGAACAACGACCAGAGGTGAACATGGACACGACAACGCCGACCAGCAACCCATCTTCTTTTTTCCTAAGTAGCGAAATTTTGAACAGTCGTGCCAAGAAGCAAAAAGCCGTCTTTTTCCTCATTTTCATCCTCGCGGGGGCCTTTGCCGGTTTCGTGGTGATGTATTGCTGGCTGTATATGGCAGGAAAAATGAAGACAAACGGCAGCAAAATGAATCGGTTTTCTACAGCTACTTCCGGCGGTGGACAACAGCAGCCGCGGCGCGCTAGGCAAAACCAGCAATCGCCGGAGGGAAAAAATTATGCTGTGCAAAAGTATCGTACTCGTATAAATGCATCACAAGTTTCCTCAGCATGAGAAATGAAATTTGTAATGCTGATTAGCCTTGGGAACAAGATTTGTGATGCAAGACTTGCATTTATACGAGTACGATACTTTTGCAGTTCATAAAAATGCAGTGGGTGACGATGACGAACGAGTGGACGATGTGGATTCTTCTGAAGATGTATGGAATTGTCAGAATCGAAATTGACAAAGTCGAAAAATTTGTGATGTATAAAATCGATACCAGTTGGAGCCTCAGTTTGTAAGTGGCGCATGACAAATTTCGGGAGCACCCAGATCCAGTCTCTTATGCTGTTTGGGCAAAGAAGACTGCTCCTGTCATGCTACTCTGGCAGCACATTGCATACCCCTAAATAGGCTTGCAATCGGTCTCACTTGTCTGCTCCCCAACACAGGCTATGCGTGCCCTACATTTTACGCATTACAAGTTTTTCGATTTTGTCGATTTCGATCCTGACACTCCCATAAGATGAACAGGAAAAGCTGATGAAGCGGCGGATTAAGACGTTGCTGCTGAAGACGCCGTCGCCCGAGAAAAAGCAAGCTGGGAACAATTCGAAGAAGCAGTACTACGCGATCTCTCCATCGCTTTATCTCAAGATGAAGGCGACATCTTACCACCGGGACTTGATGGCTCTACAACACCCTACTTTATTCGCCTCTCCTTCGGGTAGTAGTATGACTCGCTCTTCAACACGACCAAGAAGTCCTAAAGATTTTTCGCGCACCGGCCGCACACCAACGGGCGAAACAGCAACTTCCGGTCGCTCTACGACAGACGCGGCCTCGTCGGCTACTCATCTCAATATTTCGAACTTGGTGCTGAAAAAATCACCAGTCAAGGGACAGCTAGTTGTGCCGGGTGGCCTGGTACAGGTACTTCCTGGTAGAAATGCAAACTTTTCGACATCTTCTACCAGAGCGAGCTGTACCAGTAGTAAGCCTCCTCGTGGTACAGGTCCTTCTACCGCCTCTGCAGCAGGTCCGTTGCTGCACCGAAACCCGACTTTATTCCGTGGCGGAAATCACGCGCCTCTGTCCGGCGCATATGGTCGTGGAAATAGTGTTAAAAACCTCCACCAGCGACTGAGCCCCGTGCTGAGCAGCAATTCATCTACTTCCAGGAAAGCCTCTTCGCACGGCCATGCGACCAAGCTGCACAACTCTGCTAGTATTCTGACGGGGCCAGCAGCACACCACTCGCACCACTATCACTACCACCTCCTGCAGCGATCCGCGAAGTCCGAGCCGCTGCCCCCGATCGCGGAAGATTCCTGCGAAACCGATTCCACAAGTTGCGAGGACGTAAAAAAGCGGAGGGCACTGGTGCGGCCGCTCGCGGAAGTGGCTGGTGAGTTGGGCATTTTTTTTAAAAGTCTTTTGTTATCTACGCATGGTATCTACGCATAGAAAAAAAAAAAACTACACCGACGGAATCATACGTCAAGTTTTATTGTTCAAGTTTGTGGAACAGCTGCTGGAAATGGAATGCTGGGGTTTTCTTTTTTCTACGCCGCGTCTTTTCCAAAGATTAAACAAAATGGTGAGCATGAACACATTCTCTGAGTATGGACACATTTTCCGCCACAAAGTGTGTCTGTGGCCACTCGAATCACGAGCGGTCCCTTGATGTGGACAAGAAAAAAGAGTATAGTTGGGGCTGAGTCCGTTACGGTTCGTTACGGCTCGTTTCACCGTAACGAACGAATTTTCGTTCGTTCGTTACGGTTCGTTACGGTTCGTTTCACCGTAACGAACGAATTTCCGTTCGTTCGTTACGGTTCGTTTCACCGTAACGAACGAGCTTGTTACGCGCCGGCACGCCGTAACGAACGAATCCGATTTTGGAAAAAAGACGCCCGTGCGTGAACACTGCAAAAGGTGAAAACTCCCTCGTCGTCTTTCCGCGAGACGGCGAAGAACGTCCGGCGCTGGCTTTGTGCTTTTCTCTTTAGCGAACAAGTCCGGCGAGATCTTCTGGTAGGCGGTTGCCCGTCAAAGAGAAATGCGGCGGCATGCTCGTCTCGGCGGTCCAAGCGGAGCGTCCGAGCGGAGCCCTGGACGTCCGTCCGATTACGGCAAGGTCGCGCGCTTGCTCGTGTTCTTCTAGGCGAAGCCCGAGGCATCCGAGCGAGCCGGCCCGGCTTGGTAGTGCGGGGGCCAAAAATCGTGCATGCGTGTCCTTCACGCGGGCGGCCCCTGGGTGCGTCACGTTCGCTGCCTTTTTTTGGCGCACGTTGCGCAGCTGACGGTCATGGTTAGTGGATGTCGAGCCACTGGGGTGGCGACACATAAATACAGAATACCGCCCTGCGGAGTATTCCCCGCGATGGTATCCTTCATTTATGTATAAGCTTTACTTTAACGGGAGCCGCCACGAGCCGGAACGGGGGGGCGACCGAAAACCCGCGGTCCGGCTCGGTAGTGTGGGGGCCAAAAATCCTGCATGCGTGTCCTCCACGCGGGCGGCCCCTGGGTGCGTCGCGGTCGCTGCCTTTTCTTGGCGCACGTTGCGCAGCTGACGGTCATGGTTAGTGGATGTCGAGCCTCTGGGGTGGCGACACATAAATACAGAATACCGTCCTGCGGAATATTCCCCGCGATGGTATACTTCATTTATAAACTTTACTTTAGCGGGAGCCGCCACGAGCCGGAACGGGCGACCGAAAGCCCGCGCGTTCGTTCGTTTGGTCGTTAACGGACCCCGCGAAGCACTTCGTTCGTTCGTTCGTTACGGGGAAACGAACCATAACGAACGAACGAATGAACGCAAATCCCTTCGTTCGTTCGTTCGTTCGTTTGTTCGTTTGGCTGCCAGAACCGGGCTCGTTCGTTCGTTCGTTACGGGGAAACGAACCATAACGAGCTCACGAAATTGCGTCCGTTCGTTCGTTTGGTCGTTAGCGAACCTGCGAAGCCACTTCGTTCGTTCGTTCGTTACGGTGAAACGAACGAACGAACGAACGAACGAACACGCATTCGTTCGTTCGTTCGTTCGTTCGTTCGTTTGGATGGCAAAGCCAGTGCGTTCGTTCGTTCGTTCGTTTGTTCGTTCTGATGCCACAAACGAACTCGCTCGTTCGTTCGTTACGGTGAAACGAACCGTAACGAACGAACGAAAATTCGTTCGTTACGGTGAAACGAGCCGTAACGAACCGTAACGGACTCAGCCCCAACTATATTGAGAAAAAACTTCGCAATGCTGCAGCAGCCATGCGCAATTGCATTTTTGCGGCCAAAGAAATACATCTCGCATGAAGAGTTAGCTCGCGTGAAGACGAAGAAGCACACGTCTCATTGGGAATGCGTGTAACTAGTTCGCTTTCGGAAAAGATATATAAAGTAGGCTTGAAGCCGTGTACTACGTAGATGTTGAATTGCGCCAACGCTGTCATCAATATTTCATGTTGAAACAAACAAGGTCCATGTTGCAAAGACGAGCTCGAGCAGCACGCCGCAGATCATACGACAAAGGTCGCAGTAGCAGCAGCGGGAAAAATTCACGTGGCAGGAACGACAAAGAGCACAAGCAAGCACCCGGAGCCTATTCGGAGAAAAAGCAACGAGACGGAAACTACCCTGGATGACACTTTTGAGGACGAATCGCCGGGAATTTCCGTTTGATAAATCTTCCTGCCCCCTTCCGCTGGAGGCCGCGGCCGGAGGCTCCTTGTTGACCGCCGAACAATTTTCATCTTCCACCTACAACAATTTATTATGTTGTCCGTCGAGTAGTCAAAAGAAGAAGAACACGAGCGAGTCCGGGTACGCGCTCGCTGCACTCACTGCTTTCCGTTCAGGGTCTTGACGAAAAGTCTAGTTCCTGTGCTGCAGAAGTTCTTGGAGTTAGACGTAAAAGTACACTTTTCGTACGGGCAACATAGTTCAAGTACCCTAGAGTTGTATTCAGGCCACAACTAATGCGCTTTTCAAAACAGGGCTCAGCAAGTAAGTAGCCGCGACACCGTATGAATTTTTCCAGGTCGAAACCCATCCGCGAACATAAGGACGTTACCTCTTCGATTCTTTGTATTTGCAGTTCAGTTGTATAAAATCTTCGAACCTTCGGGCTTATTCATTTTCTGTACTACAAATAAATTGGAGCAGCGCGAAGCGGCAAGATGGAGAAGAAGCAGAGAGAACGAGAAGTAAGTAGTACCAAACCCTTAGCTCAATAATGTACTCTTCCACTACAACAGGCACGCAGAAATGAAATGATATTAAGTATAGGAGTTTGAGTAAAAATATGTTGTTTATCTTCAACAACTAGAAGTGTCTATTAATTAATTGGACCCAGTTTCTGAAGAAGTGTGAAGCATCGATCTAGCTTCCATCACGGCTTCAGGAATTAGTGCGTTTCTTTGATAATAAAGTACCTTTCTCTAGTACTTTTTTTTCACGAAAAGTTTTCCACGGATGAATTGAACTCCTATTTGTTGATCGCCCCTTCAAATGATTAGTTGCCCCCAAGAACAGCATGAAGTAAAAATCACATGATATTTTTTTTCGTGTCGTGGCAAGGGCCTGAACGGGCGCTCTGTTCCTCGTCAGTTCCACGATGAGGCTGCAGGGGCAGTACTCGTAGACGAAGAGCGCGAAATCCCCTCGGGACGCTGCGGAGTGCTGCTGTGATGTCTCCTTGGACCGGAGCCACCCGCGTCTCTCCTCTGTTTCCTGCGCTAGGTTGTCGTGGTCGCGTTCAACCTTTATCAACGCGGTATAGTTGCTTGTGAAGGGGATGAGGAGCGGGAGGTGGTGCAGGCTGGTTAGGTGCTGCTTCGTTTCCTCCGTGTTCTCGCGGTATTCCTTCGCCTCGCGTTCTGTGATCACGCCTGTCCGCAGGAGCTCCTCTATCGCTGTCGGGCTCCGGCGGCGCGGCATATCATCGCGAGACGCAGCGTCAATATTGGCAAAGGAAAAACGGAGAAAAGCAGAACCCCCGGTGGCTATTTCTGTGTTGCCTCTTGCCACTCTTCTACTTTTTTGAGGTCTTTTGTTTTTGCGGCTAGCTATATACTGTCCCTGATGCCGTCTTTTACTTTTTTGGGATCTTTTTGTTTGGGGGTTCTGCACGAGACTAGAAAGTGTGGACACACACGACTACGGCTCACCACCTCGATCTTCAAGACAGTAGCGCGTGCTCCAAACCGCTGATCCCGAGCGTCCTTGTCGGGGCCGCGCGGACTATGACGACCAGCTATGGCTGGAGGACGGCAAGGGTGGATGTGCGTCGGGTGGTCACGCCTCTTTGTTTCGCTGCTGCCTCCTTCCTCGGAACTGTTGCTGTATTTTACTGTCTTCTGGACAGCTGAGGGAACGGCAAGCGTGCGTCTAGTCTCGTCTTCACCACCGGTTTGGGCCTTCGGTGGAAATGTGGGGCACGGTGGCGACGCAGGTGCCCGGCAGTTCAGCACGATAGTACTGCAGGATCTAGGGGGTTAAGCTGCGAACTGGCCCTGCACGGATTCCGCTCCTCCGGGACGGTTGTTCGTCTTCAGACACGACGGCACGCGGTTCCGGGCTAATAAAAATCCTCTTTGTAAGAGGATAAATCCACTGTCCGCTCCTGGCTGGAGACGAACAAGGACCGGGCTTGCGTAGTCTTAAATCGCCGAATCCCGACCCCAGGAGCCTTTGTCGGGGGCCCCTGGACTATGACGGTCGGGTTCGGTTCACTTGCTACGCCGGCTCCTTATTGTCTTTTAGCGTCTTCCGGCCAGTGGGGGGGACGGCAAACGCCGTTCGTCGGCAGCAGCAGGTAGTCTCTGCTTCCAGGGCCCGGCTGGAGGGCTAGAGCAGCGGGTTATCCTCCGGTGGCGCGGTGGTCGTGTCACCGTCGTATCACTTTCCAGAACTGGCGACCCTCCCACGCAGCAGATCGCTCGCGACAACTGCAAGAAGCAAAATCACCAGTAACAGCCCCCGGGCTTCCTTCCTTCTTGTGGTTACCCAGACTATGTCGGCCTGCTCTGGGTCACTGGTTGTTTCCTTTTGTCGCGCTGCTGGCTGGGTCCCAAGAAGATGGCTGCACTCGGAAGCTGTCCAAAGCCAGTGGGTGGTGCAGGCTCGGGTGGAAGCTGCAAACCCGATGACTGCAAACCCGATGACAGCAATAAACTGGTGCCGAAGGGACTTCAACACGGAGACGACCAAGAGAGAACACGGAGTTGGACAACCATCATGCTTTGTGATGGAGTTTCAAAAAATTCCCGGCTCTCAGTTCTCTCAGAAAAAAGTCCAAACGAGGACTCCCACACGCCGTGGGCACGGTGCAATTATTTCAACCGTGTTAAATAAAACAATTATTTCAGAACAGCATGAAGTAAAAATCACATGATATTTTTTTTCGGTTTACAACTCAGTTTTTATGTTTCTTATGGCATATCTTAAGCTATCACTGACGCAAAATGTGATGTTGACCTTCGGGCGGCCACTGTGTGAGTGTGACCTCCTTCTCCTTGCGGTCTATCCGATATTTTTCAGAGCTACTGTTTGCTAACCACAATTTCTGATGTGCTCTACAAAAATAAATCAAACTCAGAAGCAAAAACACCGGCAGGCTTGTTGCGGGCATGTGCATGTAGTGCATCAAGGAGAGACGTTGAGTGCAACAGTCCTCCAGTTGTGCCGTTCGTTACGTGCAGAAACCTCTCTCCTGGAATGGATTTGTAAGTGAGATGTTTTGGGCTGTAGAATCTTGGCGGGCGATCTTTTTGGCCGTTTGCTGAATTTTGGACAAGCTTTTTTGCTGCGGGTGGCGCATGGATCGATGAGAAGCCACGTGCAGAAGTAGAACGAGGTGATTGTAAATTGTTTTTTTACCGACCATGATCCCAGGTTGTTTGATTTCTCTTCTTTTATTTATTGCCTGATGCAGCATGGACAAGGTAGGTGAGCAGCCCGCTCTGCGAGTACGTGAACTGTCACAGGAGTAGAATGGAACACCTTGTCGATAGAGTCGTGCGATTTATCTTCCTGTATTTGTTGATGTCTGCGAAACTTGTTCTTCACTACGTACAACACGTCGATACAATTAGAATTACGTTTGCAAACACATATTGATACCTATGTTTGTCATTGTCGTGTGAATGTCTTCGAAGAGAACCACAATCATGTTCGACGTCCCTCGGGGCCTTTTCTATTTTTTCGTTGCGGCAACCACGCTCGAATTTGGAAGTAGGCATGAGTCCTCTCCTCCGCCTGCATCGCTGGGCTTCGCCACCGCTCTGTCTGTCAAATCGTTTTTCTACAACTCCAATGCTCGACTTACTACATCAACCGCGTCGAGCAGCAGTGGCAGTAGTGCGCCGTCCTTTGTACCTCTCTCGTCCTCATCTTCGCAACACGACAGACTCAATACCAGAGAGCGACCAACCGACCGCCGTGTTTTACAGGCGTCGGAAGCTGCTGTGCCAGGAGGACGACAGACCGTGCGGGCGCCGGAGCAGGTGCGGATGTCGTGTGGGGGAATGGGTATTTCGCCGAATGAGGCTGCGGGTCCGAGTAGAAACAAGAGTGGCACGACGACACCGCTAACCTCGACAGACCTGCGGGTCTTTTTTGCCCTGCGCTGGACGGGATACAAGCCTAATTTCTTTCGGCAGGAAGTAAATAATCCGTCTCGCGGCAGGAAGGCACCTGGAACGTCAAAAGTCCTCAGTACGCCGGTGTTTCCTTGCGCAATTTGCCTAAAAGAGGACATTTTCAGCAATGCGGATTATCATGCGCCAGAAGACCACCCGATAGATTCGAGTAACAGAGGACAACAAGGCGGCACCGCAGCAGCGCCCGGAGAAGAGGAGCGAGAGCAGCAATCTACGCAAAATAAGCCCAGGAGCTCTTTTTCGGGCGGAGAATCTAGTACGATAGCCGGCGGCGCTAGTCGTGTACCATTCCCGAGTCCCTCCTCTTCCAGTTCTTTTTCCACGTTGCAACCCACGACCGCAAGCCGCGCGTGGTCGCTGCGAAGTTCGTCCATGACAAACGTGCCTGAAGACGAAATCTTCCCACACGATAGGGATGAACATGAAGCCACTTGTTCACAACTGCGCCCGCAACCAGTAGGGAGCTGTGTAGTTCGCAGCTCGGGTCATGCGGTCGTCCAGCAGCAGACTTTGCTGCCCTTCACTGGTCGTGACGAAAGTTCAGTAGACGTCGATCGTGGCGAAGTTATCAGTGTTGATCAGGAGCAGGAGTGTGGAAACGAATGCACTGCGGATTCATGCTCGGTTCTTTTCCCGCCTCTTTGCTCCGTCACTACTCCGCTGATCTGCACGACAAGAGAACGCGGAAATGTTGTATTGGGGGAAGATGATGATGGCAGAAATTATACGCTTGTTCACCACGCAGCAGGCACCTCCACTGGTGCGTCCGGAGCTACGAACACAAATGGATGTACTTCTGCGACACCGGTACCGGTAGAAACAAGCACGAGAGCTTGTAGAGCGGCTGTTACTTGTTCAGGTGCGGGAATTATAAACCGTGAAGAGGTACAACTACATGATGCAATACCCAGCACAACATCAAGTGCAACGAAACCGCCATCAGCAAGCGCCGAAGATGACCCGAAGCTGCACAACCGGGTTGTCCTCTATGCCTGCGGACATTCCGCGTGCTTAAAATGTGCAGAAAAGTGGCGAAGGCGCAACCTCGCCTGCCCCGTGTGTCGCACGGGCGTGGATACCGAAAAGACGCTCCGGTACGTCCCGTTGCACCTGCAGCAAGCCAGTCGGTTGAGACAAAATAGCTGGCGGAGTGATTGCCGCTGTTCGGCGCACGTTTGCCCGAACCAAGCATGCTTCAGCGAGGAGGAGCTGTGTAGAGGCTTGGAAAGTCTGCTGCTGCGGAGCAGTAGTGGTGCTGGGGATCAGGAACATCAGAACACCGACCACTTTGAGGGGAGTAGATGTGAGATGAAAAACGAAATGAACCGCAGTTATACTATTGGAAACACGGCTGCTGCTGCTGGTACTAGTAGTTCTCTGCTACTGCAAGAACAATCCGAAGCGGATCTGACGAGAAAATGGGAAACCTTCGTCAACCGCGCGGAGCGAGAGTACGCCGCGTTCGTGGAAAGAGCGGCCGTCGAGGGTCCAGGTTTGCATGGAGAATGGCCTGCTCTTTCCTCTCAGGAGGAGATGACTGGCGACGAAAGTGACGCTCATCAACAAGGGCCGGCCCTCTTGTCCCCCGCCTCCGAGGACCACAGTAGGTCATCTACCGCGTTCATCGGAGCTGCGATGAACAGAAGCGGGCCAATATCTGGTACTAAGCAAGGCCGGTCGCAGGCGGATTTCGTCCGGCAAAAGGCAGTCGAAGATCTACTCAGAGGAGAAACAAGCCCTTTCACTGCAGGACAAATCTGCACGGGGATCGTCGCCCAGGCGTATAGGCTGGACCAGCTCGTGAAGATAAAGTCCGACGCAGCGAGACGAGCACGCTGGGTGCAACAGCGACAAGCGCGTATGCAGGCGCTGCGCGACGAGCGGTCCGAAGGGAGGACAGCAGAGTGGGAGCCGCTCAGAGCAGCTGGCAGGGATGATAGAAGAAGTCGTGCGCAGAATAATCATGTCGCTCAAGAAGAACTTGAACTAGCACCACCCGCACCTCCACCTGCCTACCCCTTCCTGCGAAGAACGGGAAGTAGCAGACTGCGCGCCGCGGCTGCCGTGTTTAATAATGCGGGGGAGGTGGAGCAGGGCGGGGCTGTTGACACTCGGAATGTCGGAACTGATGTCATCAACAGCGCAGGTGTAGGATCACTACCACTTCCGCCGGGGGCGGCGCCTCCGGCAAGTATTGGCGATGCGGGGGTACTCGTACAGGCGAATGAAAATACTAGTCCGTCAGAAGAAGCTCCTGCTGTCGCTGGCCTCTCAGAGCTAACTGCATTACAAGAAACGCATCGCCGCGCCAGACGCCGGAGAACGCACCGATTGAGGCGCGCGCAGGCGGTGGGCGGAGCCGCCTCTCTAGGAAGGTCCTCTGATGACGACGCGACTACGGCCAGCAATGCGACTACTAAGAGGAAGAGACGGGTCAATTTTCACCGGCCGCTCGGAAAAGATTTGAAAATTACCGAGGCGGAAGATCTACTTTGTTCTTCATCAGATAATTTCACGGAGGTTCAGATGAAGCAGATGGATGCATTTCTCGAGAGCCGGTGCGAGAAAGAAGGGCGAAAGCTTCTCTGCCAAGCCGCGGGAGGTCCTTGTTGCGTCGTGTTTTCCGATGCACTTTGTTGCGTTCTTTCCGGATACAGTTGCGTAGCAGCCCATTTCGCTGCGGTTTCCGCGGCGACGCAAGCGGAATTTTTGCGGCGCGTGGCTGCCGGCGTTTGTGCACAAAGTTTGCTGTGTGCGGGGTATCTACCGATCACCCGGGTGCCAGAATCCTGTGTGGCGGAGTGCGCTGCGTGTCTAGGCCCCTGCCCGGACCCTGGTGTGATGCGGAAATTTCTTGCGGAAACGTGCGGGAAGGCGCGGGACTGGTTGCTGTGGCCGTATTCCGCCTTGCTAGATCTCTGCAACACGCCGGCCGCAGTGCAGAAGGGGCTCCTGCGCAGCATCGAAAAGGCGGCCGCGCATAGGTGTGTGAAAAATGGTATGCACGAACACGACGAGGACGACGAGGGAGCAGGTTATTTTTGTCAAGAACGACGAGACGGGGAGCCTGCTATACAACTTCCCAGCTCGGAAAACAACATCCACGACGCTGAAATAGAAGCAACTGGTACTGGTGCCACTTCTCGAGATCTTGCGAACCAATTTTGTTTTTCCTTTTTCGATTCTGAAACGCGGGCGAAGCAATTTCTCGACCGACATCCAGACTTGAGAATACTGATCGCAGATCTGTGTGCCGTTGCACAGTGCTCGGAATCGTGACGGGAATGGTTTATGTGCCTGCCACCTTTTACGATTGGATTTACCGATCGTGCGCCAGCACACTTGTAATCGCCGGGGAAAGGCGTGGAAAGTGATCCGCTTCACAAGATTTTCTCCGACGAAAATTCGATTGCAAGGGGCACCTCATCGGCAAGAGCGTTCTTTTTCGGTAATCAATCGTTCTTGAGTCGTTTTGACAAGACGACTGTATACGCGGACGTTACTCCAAAGAGCGATAACCACATCGGAAAAAATCGTCTATGGAACAACACTTGTGGGTCCTTTCGTGGAATTTCTGATCGTGCTTACGAATCGGCAGGGGTGAAGTACGTGGCTGGAAAGGTGTTATCATGGCTGAGTCTTTGTCTTGGCTTTGGACTGTCAAAAGGTACCAAGACGATACTTATTTTCATCGCTCACCTTATCCACACGGCGCGATAATGCTGTCACGAGAGAAGGATTTAGATTTAATTCTACAGCGGATGTTGAAGATTGTTTAAAATTAAGACTAACCTACATTTTTCGCCGAATTACAACACCATGACGATTACCCTTGGACAGAAGGACGGGCTTCGGCGTCTTTCCGCTGGACCCCCGATGCGCCCGCCGCGCGAGCAGAAGAGCGGCCACAGCTGGTTCGTCGCGTTGGCGATCGCCGCGGTGTCCCTGGCTGTTGGAATTTGTTTTTCTCCGACGTTTCTGCCCACCGAGTGCCCGAAGTGCAACTGCCCGCCTTGCGATCGCCGGGAATTGAGGCCGATGGAGGTGGTGGTGCGGCTTGACAAGAAATCAGCGGGGAACGACCCCGTGGAGGCGACCAAGAAAAATAATTTTGCTTTCTCTCCTATCTTGAGAAAAAAGAGTTTCACTGTAAAAGGATGTTGCAGGTTTTGCATCACAAGTTTGTTCTACATGACGGCGAAAAGTTGCCATGCCAGGTTCCTACGGGAAAACGCAGGTAAAATCCCACTGTCTTGCATGTGTAGCAAGACAAACACTTGTGAGATACATTTTCCGCATTACAAGTTTACAGTGAAACACTTTTTTCTCACGATATTCCCTTTCAAGGACAACACGAATCCCGCTGCCTCTACTATGCAAAGAGAAAAGTGTTACAGTTACACATTGTGTTGCAAAACATGCAAGACAAACGACCTCTGTCATGCGCAAAATGCTTGCGAGTCTCGTTGTCTGTGTGTTTTGCCTTATGACCTCTGCATTACAAGTTTTCTCCGTCATGCGAGGCAAATTTGTGATGCTGAATTCACTACAAATGTGTAACTGTGACACTTTTTTCCTTGGATATCTACTTTCGAGGACCACTACTTTTCGGCCGAAGTGCTAGACCCGCAGACTTTGAAACCGCTGCAATCGGACACCGAGCGGCTCGTGGAAGCGCTGAAAAGGGCCGACGGGGTCTTTGGGCAGCTCGCGGTGAAAAAAAATTCGCCGGCGGTACTAGGGCCGCGTGCAACTACTTCTACTAGTAGCCAAAACAGCACAGCTACAAGCACGACCTCAGCGGACGAACATGATGAATCCGAGATCCTCAGCCCTTTCGCGTGCGCTATGCGGCCCTGCGGCCCGCTTTCCGGTGATCCGAGAGACCGCGTTTCCGCTGCGCACGCCCTGATGAATTGGGTGCTGGAAAACGGTGGCACGTTTCACCCCGCGATACGTCCAGTGTACAACCCGGAGAAGGGAGGCATTTCCCTCATCACGACCGAACCGCTAGGCCTGTACACCATCGCGGTGGCCCTGCCCAGCTACCTGACGCTGAACACAAAGACCTTCCAGCAAACTCCGGTGGGCCAGATGCTGTTCCGGGGGCTGTACAAGGCGTTCGCCCCAGCCGATACCTGGGGTCGGGGCGCCCCGAAGGTGATTCGGGAAAAAGGAAACAAACAGGAGGAGCTGCTAATTGACATCCACGACGAGACGCTGCAACTCGCGCTGACCCTTTTGTTCTCGGACCAGTTCCCCCCGGGCGGGGCGGTCCCGCCCGACTTCTCTTTTCGCCCCTACTACGACTCCCTGCCGGCGCACTTGGACGAGGTGCCGCTGCTGTGGAGCGACGAGAAGCTGGTGGACCGGGAGGCTTGGGAGACGCCACTGCGGAAACACAACGTGCAGGGAAAGTCAGCCGCCTGGTTCCGCGACATGACGCTCAACAAAAAGCAGTACTTGCGGCTCGTCTACGACACGGTTTGCGCCTTGATTTCGGACTACCTCCGCGACGAAGTCTTCGAAACAAAACTGCCACGGATCGCAAAGAAGCTCGGTACGAAGGTTGTCGTCTTTTCGGCTATAATTTTCATTTGACTTACATACTACACTAGGACACCTACTGCACCATGGATGATGATGATGATGCTGATGATGATGATCCCAATAGAAAAGAACGACCAGAAGAACGGCGTCTACTTCCTGTTGTTGTGTTTTTTTTTGAACAAACGAAGACGAACAAAAGATGAGAAAGCATTGTTCAGCTCTATGATTATGTCTAATCGAAAAATATGAAATCGACAAGATGAAAAGCCTGTCGACATGATCATGGTTCTATTTGTACTTCCAGGTATCAACGGCCCGGAGGGAACTAAAAGTAACGAGCCGAGCGAGCTCGCGGACCTGCTTTTATTCGAGAAAAGCGGGCGGAAAAAGCACGACCTCGGGACGAGCACGACAAACAAGCGGGTCACGATCGCCCCCGAGGAGTTTTTCCGGACCCAGGTGTACATTCCGTCCTTCCGAAGTTTCCTCACCGCGTTTGCGCTTGTGGAAAGTCGGAACTTTGACGACAAGCTGGCGCCGCTGATGGACCTGTGCAATCACGATCACAAGAATCCGAATTTGGGGTACGGTACCGCCGTGGACCGAAAGGAGTTCATGCTCCGCGTCATCCGGGAGACGAAGGCGGGCGAAGAATTGCAGTTTGACTACTCGCTCGGCGATGATTACAAGTGGTTTTTGTGGCACGCTTTTAACCCGCACTGAGGAGGTCGTGAAGAAATTTACACTGAATAGAATTCTACTTGTTCGGTGTTTCGGTTTGGTGTGAATGTATGTATGATTTATTTAGAAAAAACAGCAGCAGCTACAGACCCGAGACATCAAACTCAGAGGAGTGGGAAGATGCGCGACACCTTCCTCTACCAAGTAAGTAAGTAGTTTATCGTTGTATTTTACAAAACTAGTGTCTAGAAGCATGACTATGACAGATTTTGATGCACAGAAATTGATGTTGAAATTGCACGGAAGTTGAGGTTTCTTCAGCGGCTCAAGCTGTACAAGCAAGCGGACTCTGTAAGAAGTTTGGACAATTGTTGTATTTTCGGTGCTGCAGAACCAGAAGTAGGGAAGACATTATCTTCATTGGCCTCTCTCGTAAGGAACGAGAGGGGCCGCCGCTTGTGCTACAAATACCCGATGAAGCGTTCCTCTCTTTCCACGTGGAGCTCCTTCTTGTGCAATTTTCAAACGCAGCCTCGCGGTTTCGCAGTGGTTTCTTCTTGGTACTTACGTGTATAATCTTGAAAGAGCAGATCATGAACGGACATAATATCGACGAGAAATTGATGGTGTTTTTTGAGAGTTTTGTTTGAAAACCGTCCTACTTCATCTTCGTACAAGAGACATAGCGGGACTTATCTCGCCCACTTCATCATCTACTTACTTCCCTCACTATTACAATTCGTGAATCAAAATGGTCTCCGCGTTTGCATATTTCGCCGCCGGTTGTTTCTGGGGCGTGGAGTTTCTCTTTGAGAAGCTTGACGGCGTGAAAACCGTGGAATCCGGATACATGGGGGGCGCTTCCAAAAACCCGAGCTACAAACAAGTGTCCACCGGCAGGTCGGGGCACCTCGAAGCGGTAAAGATAGAGTACGACCCGGCAGCGATTTCGTACGCGGAGTTGGTAAAATTCCTGTTTGAAATTCATGACCCTGCGCAGGTGGACAGACAAGGCCCGGACGTCGGCCCGCAGTACGCGTCAAGGATATGGTGGAGCAGTGACGAAGAGCGCCAAGACATCGAATTCTTCGTGCGCCAGCTCGAGGGAAAGGGAGTGAAGGTATACATAGAAGAATTTGACATATTTTTTCTATTCCTCCTGCTGCGAATGTACAACTCGGCATGAATAGAACTTCTGTAGCTTGTAATTTTGATGAAACACGGTGACTTTTGCGTGGGAACCGAACAAGTTTTAGAAGATTAGCTATGTGATCATTTTTATCAGGTCGCGACCACTTACAAAACGCACCGAGCCCAGGACCACACATTTTGGCCGGCTGAAGAATACCACCAGAACTACTACGAGGGAAATGGACACACACCGTACTGTCATGCGCACAAGGACAAGGGATTAAGTTTTGACAGCCACCCACGGCGGTCTTTGTTGAAAGGGACGGACACTGACACTGAACTGTAAATAGGATGATTTTATTTCGAATGTCTGCAGTTGCTATTTGACCATGTAAAACAAGTGCACTGTACACGTGGAGACGCGCATCAAAGTAACGACGCTGACCGAGTTTTGCGCACATGTGTGCTGCGAAGGTGGTGATGTCAAGTTTCTGTTATCTTATTCAGGAACCCTGTTTTGCCATCAAAAGCCGGCTGTGCTACTAGCTGGTTCCGCCGGCAGCTGGCTCTGCTGTGTATTATAACAAGCTGGAGTCGTCCGTGATCGTGAAAGCAAGGCTGCGAGCAAGTTTCGAGCGATTACTTTTTTTTGAAACGGAAACGTACGATTGCAGAGCGGCGCTGCAACCGCAAGTGAAGGTTGCACGCGCAGGACACCATCTGTCGAGGAGGGACAGAAGTAAATGAATGAGAACTTCAGGAGCGTTCCGAAATAAAGCAGTCGTTGTGTAAAAAAGTTTGACCATTCCGCCTTATGCGCGGTCGATGTAGCTGCTTTGAATGAACGACATGGTCACGTCGACGGAGCATTTTCCCGAGCTCGGTGTACGTCCACGTTAACAGTACTATACCGACCATGGCGATTCCGTTGCCTAAAACTCTCCTATCGCTGTTGTATTGGCGCGCCGTCGTCGCCGGCACCGGGGTAGATGAAACTACCGCTCTTCTTGGTACTACTACAGTAGCGGTGGCCGATGCTGTGGCCGGTTCACCAGAAGCTCCATCTGCCAGCGAACAAGAGCACCAAGATGCGGTTGCGGACACCTCCGCCCTCACGAATAAAGAGGAGCTTTGTGGGTTTCTCGTGTCCACCGATTCCTTCCAGGTCACCTGTCACACTCCGCACTACAGCACGTGCAAGAACCAGGCCAGCCTCGCCCAGCTCTGCCCCCCCGAATGCCCCTTCGTCGATGGCGATCCCTACTTCCCGTGTGTTGCCAGCTGCGTCAAGGAGGAGCAGTGCCGCCACCGCAACGGGCCGAGCTTCTCGTTCCCGAACAGCACTGCGCACCGCTGCCAGCCCTGCGAGGCGATCGGCTGCGCGCACTGCGACCCGCACCGGGCGGGCAAGTGCCACAAGTGCAAGGAGCCGGTTTTTCGGTTGGACGAGAGAACCGGGACGTGCGTGTATGTGTTCGAGACCAATTTTGGCCAGTACTTCACCATCTTTATCCTGACCGCGGTGGTGTTGCTGTTGCCCGCCACCTGCATGAAGATGTGGCGGCCGGTGGCGCGCGAGCTGATTCAGGAGTGCATTCGAAAGCACATCGTGCGGTGCAAACCCTTATCAAATGCAAAAATGTCTGGGTCTGGAAGAGTGCAACTTGTGATGCTGCATTTGGATTGCAAAAAAATCTGTATTGCATGAGCTGCAAAGGGAGTGTGATTTTTGCTACGCAGAGAGGGCATTTGTTGTAATGCGGAATAGGCAACATCGAGAATCTCTCAAAAAATTTGTGATGCTAGGGCACGCATCACAGACATCAAGACTCATGCAAAACCTGCATGACAAGTGACTCCACGGCAGCCGGATGTCCGTGACCTGGTTATAAAGGGCTTCGTCGATCGATTGTGCCACTAGGGCCTTGTGTTCCGGCTACTCCGGATCGCAATCGATGGAGGGCGGGACCTGCACCGGCGACAGGCGCTATCCAACCAACCAACCAACCAAGTCTCAGAATCTTCCAGACCCAGACATTTTTGCATTTGATAACCCTACGTGATCAAGGAGTTCAACATGGTCCAGCAGGCTGGGGACAAGTATCGTGAGGAAAAATCCCCCCTCTCCATACCAAAAAGGGATACTTGTGAAAATTTGCGATGCTGGTTTGTGGACACAAATCGTCTCTGTGTTGCAAGAAGGCCAATCCAGCGACTCCGCCACAGTATCCAGTCGGTTTGTGATGCTATCTGGCCTAAAGAGTACACATTTGCCATGCTACGCGCCTACGTCAAAGCCCTTCTACTTAGGCTTGGCGTGGGCCTGCAGTCCTCTACTGCAAGACAGACCTGATTTGTGTGCGCAAATCCAGCATCAGAAACTTCCTTTTGATACGGGGAGGGGGGATTTTTCCTTGCAAGAACAAGAGCGAGGACCTCATAGACAGCGGCGACGGGCAGCAAACCCGAGTGATCCAGACGCAAATAGCGACCGGTGCAAAAACGACAGCCCAAGGCGCTAGTAGTACCGTCGCGTCCTCGTCGAACAAGAATCAGCTGCGCCTGACGCTCGAAGAGGATGAGAAGGAGCGGGCAACGATCGACCGGGGGGAGTTAACCGACCGGTCCGAAGAGGACGACGAGGAATATCAAAGGGAAGAATCCCCCCTCTTCATATCGAAACGAAGTTTCTGATGCTGGATTTGCGTACACAAATCGGATTTGTCTTTCTGGAGAGGACTGCAGGCCCATATCAAGCCGGAGTAGACAGGTTTTGGCCTAGGCACTTGGCATGAAAAACGTTCGTGCTGTAGGCCCAACAGCATGACAAACCGCCGTATAATGCGGCGGAGCCTGTGGAGTTGCCTCCCTGCAAGACAGACGCCATTTGTGGTAACAAATCAGCAACACAAATTTGCGAAGACGTGCCCTGTCAATATGGGGAGGGGGGATTTTTCCTCGCGATAAAGATACTAGCACATTCAACGCCAACGACCAGATGCCCGAAAACAACCGCGCGCTCGCAATTTCCGTCCCGGGCAATGAGCCGGATTATACAAACGATCCAAATCAAGGTGCCACGACTACCGATCCGCCCCAAGTGTCCCCGCCGGCGCTGATCATCGAACAAGCGAGCGTGTGGAACACGAACATGCACCGGGACTACGTGTGTGGCGTCGGTCTCGTATCAAATGTAAAAATGTCTGGGTCTGGAAGGGTGTAGGCTTGTCATGCAGATTTTCCATGACCCATTAGGTCTGGAATGCGGGACTTAGCTTGACAGACTCTGCGAAGTCTCTGCCATGCCTATTCTGCATGAGAATTTCCGGCCCAACTTGGTCAAAAGCGGACAGCTTTTGGCACTCGTGCAACACAGATTTTTATATGCTTCAGATTTACCATGACAAGTTGCAATCTTCCAGACCCAGACATTTTTACATTCGATATCTCGCGCTGTACTACAACTGGCTGGTGTTCCTCGGGGTGTGGGCCCTGGTGTGCTGTATCTTGCTCTACTGCGTCAAAATCTCCTCCGACTTCGCGTTTCTCGCGACTTATTATGACAGCGCACAACTCCCCCTCCCCCTCATTTGTATAGCATGTGCATGAACAGCAATACAAGTATCAGCAAGAGTGCCGGTTTTGCATGACAAATTTGCACTGGAGTGTAGTGCTATTTGGGCTACCAGAACTTGTCATGCAAACAGTGCCAAGAGGCAAAGGGTGGATTGGGTACTTTGCATGACAAATGAGGGCGAGGGGGGGTTGTGCACTGTGATACTTATCCGGAAGCCTGTCCGGCCCTGAAGGACGACGGGATTGCGAAGGGGCTGACCTTATCAAATGTAAAAATGTCTGGGTCTGGAAGAATGCAACTTGTGATGCTGCATTTGGATTCCAGAAGAATCTGTATTGCATGAGTACCAAAAGGAATGTAATTTTTGCTACGCGGAGAGGGCATTTGTCATGCGGAATAGGCATCAAGAAGCTCTCAAAAAATCTGTGATGCTAGGGCATGCATCACAGACATCAGGGCTCATACAAAACGTGCATGACAAGTGTCAGAATCTTCCAGACCCAGACACTTTTACAGTTGATAGACCTACGTGGGCAGGACGGGGCCGCCGGGGTCGGGTGCTGGAGGAAATGCAGCGTCTGCTAAAAATTCTGGCGGGGAGGCGGATGTAACTTCGGATGTCGCAGCGAGTGCTAGGGAGTTGCAAGATTTTTTTCGTAGTCACTTGCAAGTAGAACTACAACCTGAGCTGCCGCAGATTGCAGATGCGGACCTCGAGAAGAACATCAAAGGCGTGTTGACGATTTCTGACAAGGAGGTCGTGGAACCAAGCAGAATGAGCAGATCTGGTGCCGCAAACTCTACGACAAAGACATCACCGTGGAGTAGACTTTTTCCGCACACGGACGGGTACGGATTCTCGAGAACTAACTTGATGCAAAGGACGCCAATGCCGGTCGCGGCTGTCCCAGAAGTGGAGACGGAACAATTGCCAGAAGGAAAAGTAGCACACCAGAAAAGCGAGGAGCCGATAATGAGTAGGGCAGAAGTGTTGACGGCCACGACAACTAAGTCGCTCTCCACTTCTGCATCTACAGTCGTGCTGCGCCGGTCAACACAACCCAACAGGCTGCTCAGCTCGAATGCAGAAAAAGCAAAAGCAGAGGAGAATGATTCATCGAAAATTGGTTCGGATTTTTTCTCGCGTCTCACCAAGGTAGAGAAAGGCATCCAGACCGTGCGGGGGAAACTTGGTACCGAAGCGAAAGTATGCATTGCAAAAGTATCGTACTCGTATAAATGCATTACAAATTTTCCCAGCATGAGAAATAAAGTTTGTAATGGGGATTTACCTTAAATGAAAGATTTGTAATGCATGATTGTAATACGAGTACGATACTTTTGCACAGGATAGAAAGACGTATTTGGATGGATCAAAACGCAAACGGACCCCGATACGTACTTTATCCTGAGTAAAAACGTACCCACACCAGAGTCAGGATGGGGAATCTGCTAGACAAATCAGCCAGCTTTGGTTGTTTGGCATGACAAGTTTGTCCGCGTAGTGCAGTGCTGTTTGAGCTAGTTTAGCAGCATTACAGATCTAGTGCCTCGTGCTGATTGGAGCATGACAAATTTCAAAACCGCATTAGAAAATGCTTCTCATGTGGCTCCGCATGAGAAACATTTTAAGCATGCAGAGTTGCATGACAACTATGGTGTGGGTACGTTTTTACTCAGGATATACTTCCGCAGAGAGCCCAACGTTGCAAATGGGTATAAGTAAGAACGTATTTCTTCTGGTAAAAATGCTCGAGTCAGTCAGTCACTACACTGTGTGCTCAATGTAGTACACCCTGAGCTAGTATCGCATATTTGATGAGGGTATGTGCGGCTGGTAATTCATTTTACGGCTTCCCGCACAGAAGTGACACGGACATTTCTTTTCAACCAAGGTTGCAGCAAGCACGTTTGAACTTTGCGCAGGACGCGCGGCGGGCTAGCTACGTTCTGTTTGTCTTCACGGTGGCCTCGCTGCTGATATTTGCGACGATTCAAAAGAATATGAACTGCAAATTATATTATGTCTGGGCCTGGAAGAGTGGAAGAATTGTCATGCAGGTTATTTTATTCCATGACCCATAATTAGAAATATAAATCAGGCTGGAATGCTGCGGGACCTAGGAGGCCAGATTCTGTGAGACGATCGCTATCGTGCCTATGGTGCGCGACTCAAAAGTGGATAACTCTTGGTAAGCATGCAACGCAGAATTTTGCACGACTCAGACTCAGCATGGCAAGTCCGTTGCAGTGTTCCAGACCACCCAGACCGGTATTTGCAATTCATAAAGAAGGAAGAGGAAAGGTTTGACGCCGCGCACCCCAACATCGTCGACTTCGGCGTGGAGATAAGCGGGCTCCCCACGGACGTGACCGACCCGGGAAAGCTGCTCCAGTGGGTCCACGCGAGGTTGAAGCAGGCCGAAAACTTCCAGGACGCCGAGGACGTGGTGCTCAACGTCTCCATCGCCTACGCCTACGAGCCCGACTACAAGATCCCTGGCGTGAACCTCACCTTTCGCCAGGTCGCCGAACGGCTCCTCGCGCGGGCAGACGTCAAGTCTTTGCGCGGTCTCTACCGCCAGGAGCAGTGGCGGCTGGAACGGGAGCAGCTTCGGCGGGGGGACAGCAAATCACCAGATAGTTGTGCTGCTGCGCCAAGGGGCGGCGCGCCGCTGCTGCCGCGGCAAATATCCACCTCCTCGCCGCTGGCGTCCCAATCGCTGACGTCCATGGCGTCCCAAGCTTCACGACCCGGCGGTCAGAACACTCGCGGGGGCCCGGCGCACTTTTCTTCCGTGGTGATTCCGCGCCAACAGCCGGGCGGCTTGGCCGGCCCGAGTACGGCTATGCGGGGGCCCGCGATCAACATGGAGCCGCCTACCCCTACCGTGGCCGCGGTGTCGCCGGTGCAGGCGCTGGCACTGGACGACGACGCGGTGCCAGTAGAGCGGCAGATTCCGCAAAGACACCACAACCTGCACGAGTTCTACCTGCCCAGCCGGTTTCTGTACGTCTGGGACTGGTTCCTGTGCTTCGTCACGCCGCATAACGCCGCAATTTGGCAGAAGGCGCTGGAAAAGAAGCAAGAGATTTCGTTGAAAGAAAAGAAGCGAAAAGAGGACAACTCCACGCAAGAAGGCAATGATTTGAACGACGGCACCATGAAAAACGACGAAGTAGATGAAAGGTCGAATAACAGCATTAGCCCCACAACTTCCTCCGCGAATTTTCATTCACCAAACCTACGGCGGGCGCTCGAGTCGGAGAACGTGGGGAACTCGCACCAGAGTCTCGTCTCTGCTGTGTTCCACGTTGCGGGCGTCGACAGGAATCGGGACAGTTACCTGCTGAAGTACTGCGAGGAGACAGGTCTGGTGGCGCCGGATTTCAGCGAAGAAGAGGCCACGCAAATCGCTAAAGCGCTTTCCAAGCTGAAAAGCTCGGGCGTGGCCTTTTTGGCGTGCGAAAAGGAGAAAGACGTCGACAGGGTGGTGAACACGCTCCGCGCGATGCAACATCCGTTGCAGGAGCGGAAACAGGAATACGAAAGGGTGGCCTCCGAGGGAGAGGACCCGGTGGCATTTGGGCTCACAGCCAGCGGCCGGCCTACGGAAATGTAAAAATATTGCCTTGCAGCTTTCGAGGAAGATGCGACGGTGATCGTTGCATTCTGTTGTCGACCAATACTATAGCCAAACTAATGGATTTTTCATTATTCTGAACAGCAAGTCCTGATGCAGTTGTCATACGAGTTCTGCTTCAAAGAACGCGGCCTCAGACAGTAGACTCATTCATCTATGTACGAGCTGTTCTCCTGAAACAAATAAAACAAAAATTTCTGAACAGTGCCAGCCTCTCGGAGGAGGCCCTGCTGAAGCATTTCCCCAAGCTCGAGGACAACTTCGCCGACTACAGCATCGACCGGGCGGAGAACGAGCCGGTGGATATCCTGTGGGACAACTACGACCAGAGCCGGTCGTTTTACCGCAAGTGGCTCCGCCCGTTCGTGAAGTTTTCCTGGCAGATTCTCTTCTACGCCTTACTGATGTACGCACCGTCGATCATCTACACCATTCACTACCTGAACGAGGCGCAGTCCCTGCCGACGCAATTCACCGTGACCCTGCTCGGTATTTTGTTTTCCTCGGGCAACGGGGTGGTAGGGGTCATGTTTTACTACTACTCGGAGACCATGCCGTTCCGGTACGCCGACCGGTTCCGAACCGCCATCATGATCTCCTACGCCGGGATTTCCATGTTCAACATGGCATTCTCCCTGTACTTGGTGATCGGGTCCTCTCTCACCATTGCGGACATCGACTTTGGGGCGGAAAAGGAGATGAAATCAGACGGCGGAAGTAGTTCATCGTCCACCTCATCTTCGGGCTCAACAAGTACTAAAACGAATTCCTTCACGAACTCCCTAGACGATTACACCGTCGGGGAAGAGACGTATTTGTCCATGACCGGCTACGAGGTGCTGGTCCCGGGGACTTTCCTGGTTCCCTACATGGTCTGGTGTATCACCGGCTACCCGCTGCGCCGATGGCTGCTATGCATTTTTGCAAAAGTATGGTCGTACTAGCTAGTGTGAATTGCATTGCAAATCATTTTCTCAAGAGAAATAAAACTGCAATTTGTCATGCTATTTCAGGTAGAAGATTGGATTTGCCATGCGTGGCTACAATTAGTACGAGCACACTATAAACTTTTGCACAGGATAGCTGCGGAACTTCAACAACTTCATCCCCTTCTCCGATGACGTGCGATCAGCCCGGGTGATCGAGCTGCGGGTCGCGGAGAAGTACTCGGAGCCGCCCATGATCTACGTCGCGTGGGACTACTCCAGCCACGTGATTCTGCCGCTCTGGTGTGTCGGGTTTTTGTACCTCTGCTCCCCGCAGTTCCAGTACCGGATCTTCTACACGCTGTTTCTCTTCGCCTGTTTCATGTACTGCTCCCAGAAGGTCCTGCACTTGACGCAGAGCAAGATCACCTACTTCTCCACGGGCACGCTGAGCTCCATGTGCTTCTACTTTTGGGGAATGATCGTCGGCGTGATGGGCGCCAACACGGAGTGGTGGGAACAGCGGTACAAGCGGCTCGAGGCTTTGGCGGTCGGCGACGCTGTGCTCAAGGAGATTCAGAACGAATCCGCGGCCGAGGGGACTGCGAAAAGCATGAACCCATTCTCGGGACTGTTCGGGAGGAGGTTGGAGGTATCTTTGCGCGGCGGCCGCGTAGAAGATGACCGCGAGGAGAGACAGAAAATGTCGAAAAATAATGATAACCCTCTGCCACCACCGAAAAAACCGACTTTATCGCGCGACGACGAGGAAAAATTGTTCGCGGCGAAAGATGAACTGCAAGTTAGGACGAGAATATACCGAACACGAACTACCCCCGGGGTGGTAGAACCAGTCGTGGTCTCCACTGGTGGAGCTAGTACAAGTTCCACTGCACCTACCTCCTCGCTATTGTTCCACCGCGCTGCCATCGCCGGCGCAGCGCTGCTGCAACAGCAGCAGCACCATCTTGTGCCAGTGGGACAAACCACCAAGTCGCAGCCGAGCAGGATCGTTGGGCGGGAAAGGGGGATGGTTATGCATTCCACCTCTGGAAGCAGAGCTTCTTCTTCCACATCACATCTTCCCAGCGGCCAGCAGCATCTCCAGGAAGAGGAGGACGCGCCGCTCCAGTTGCTGTACGGTTCGACCGGAGAGCTGCCACCGGAATCCTCTTCTGGCAACGAAGCGGACAGAGCAGAAACCGCCGCTGCCGCGAAGGTGGAAATGCGGGCGGCAGCCGGTGTAACGAGGGAGACCACAACCTCCGAGACGCAACAGGGCAGTCCGCTGCACGCGCGAAGAGCGCAGACTAATCACGACAGGTCAAGTAATGGAAGAGCTGATGATGCAGAACCTGCAACAGAGGAACTAGGCCTTCGACGCCTCCTGCTGCAAGAAAATCATCGTGGAACAACGACAAAGCAAGAGACCAGCGACAAGAATCGTGGAAGCAAAGACGACATCAAGCCGTCGACCTCGAGAAGTGACGCAGGTTCCTTTTCCTTCTTCTCCGCTTTTTCCCGTTTCGACCTGATTGACAGCGTCGTCGGGCAAGTCCGGGCAGCGCTGACAGACTACCGGTTTGAGGACGTGATTCTCAACTGCGTCGCGGCGGGCCTGTTTTGGAGCTTTGCCTACCTCGCGGTGCTGCATTTTTTCATGCGGCCGTTCCAAATTTCGCACCGCGCACAAATGCACCAGGCGAATCCGTTCACCTACAAGGAAGTCGAGTCGCGGTTTGGCTTCACGTATCAAAACACCAATCCCGTGATGGTATCAAATGTAAAAATGTCTGGGTCTGGAAGGGTTGGAACTTGTGATGCAAACTCTGGAACACACAAAAATTTGTGTTGCATGAGCGCCAAAAGCTGTCCATTTCTTGGCACGCAAGTAGGAAGTATTTCATGCGGGACAGGCATCATGAGGCGTGCTCCAAGCCTGTGATTCTTTCGCCTGCATCAGACGCCATTTGCATGATCCGAAATATGCATGACAAATCTCGCAATCTTCCAGACCCAGACATTTTTACATTTGAGAGATGGTTCTCCGGTCGCATTTCCTGAACCCGAATCTATCCTCAGTTACGTCTCCCGCCTTCCCGGGGAACAGCGGCAGCAGGCCGACCTATCGCCAATCCATGTTCTCGAAGGACACGCACGGTGCGCTCGACGGGTTCGCAGCATCTACCACACTGGACTACGTCAACGATGGGCGGCAGTCCCGGGTCATCATGCGCGGCACCGTGGCGTCCCCACTGAGCGGCAGCATCGGCTCACTGCGACGCACCACAGCGTCCCCCGTTGCGAGTCCGGCCTTGATGCCGATCCCGGACGTGGTGCCCATGGAGAGGCTGGTGCTGTATGCCGAGGGAAAACAGTACAACTGCTTTGCTGCTGGTTATTGTGTTTGCAGGGCGAGAAGTGTATTTAGTTATTACAGAGCCGGCTTTTCTTTGCACTGGCTTCTGAGAGAACATTGCTGCGAGCACAAGCAAAATCTTGAAAAGGTAAGTGTTTGCTGCAATGCAAAAAAAACCACATCAGGTACCTCCTTCCGAATTTTGATACGAGCTACGACCTGAATTCGCAGTATCACGACTTGTTCGACCAATTCGAAGACTTCCTCGACGATCCAGTGACGCAAGCCATATCAAATGCAAAAGTGTCTGGGTCTGGAAGAATGCAACTTGTGATGCTGCATTTGGATGTCGGATAAATTTGTGTTGCATGAGCAGCAAAAGGAATGTAATATCTGCTACGCGGAGAGGGCATTTCCATTTGTCATGCGGAATATGCACTAAGAATCCCTCAAAAAACCTGTGATACTAGGGCATGCATCAAAGACATCATGGCTTGGCAAACCGTGCGTGACAAGTCTCAGAACCTTCCAGGCCCAGACATTTTTGCATTTGATAAGCCAAGGAATACGGCAAACAGCTCCAGGACACTGCCCAGAAGACGCACATGCAGGTGACCGCCAAAATCGCGGAAACGCACCAGCAGGTCACGGCGAAAATTGCCAAGACGCACAACGAAGTCACGGCGAAAATTGCGCAGAAGGGCCGGTCGCTGTTTTTCGGCAGCGACGGGCAGGCGGCTGAAGAATTCGACGAGTTTCCGAAAGATTGAGGGGACAATTCTCGATGATAGGCGTGAAGTTGAAAAACCTAGCCCTCTTTGCGCATGCTATAGACAGAAGTCCTGCTCTTCCTTGCCTGCATCCATGGTTGGCATTCATAATTTCAGCAGATCGAAGATGCCAGTCGAAATCATTTGAACGACATGGTAGTACGATACACGGCCATCAGCACCTTCGGCATCCAATATCATCTTGCTAAAGAGACGAGGAACGTCGATATCAGCATTACCGCAAGGGCGTAGATCTGCTTTTGTTGTTCCTTGAGCCTTTAGAATTAGATAGTTGGAGAGGAGAAAATAAAGAAATGTGCAACGAAAGCGAGTGCCAATGAATTGGGTTTCTGCTATGTGACACTGAGCAAAAATCTGGAGATCAGATTGGAGTTTATTCTGCCTCTCCGAGAGGAGGTAAGCGCGTTTTTGAGAAACCGGAGGAAGGGGCTGGGAGGAAGTTGAGAGATTTACACAGCAGTCGTGAGCGGGGAGGAATTTTGGATACATACGCAAGCGCGTTTGAATTTTTCATCGCAAGAGGTGAGTAGTTCCAGACGCGGCTGGGTACGCTTGTACGTGTGCCCGCTGTGTGTCCTGGTAGTTGCCGCGGGGCAGCGTGCTGGCGCATGTCCATTGCCCGCGCTGGGGCACGTGTCCAGGTATATTCCCTGCTCGTTGCCACATCAATTCCGCCGCTAGCTGCCTCCTCGCGACTGGGTTTGAAAAAAAAGCGAAACTCGTTGCCGAACGGGCAAGAAGCCTTCTGGTTGTCACTTGTATGTTGCCAGCCTGGCAGTTGCGCTGGTGCTTATTGCGCTATTGCAGACTGAAGATGGCAGTGAGAGGCGGGCTACCCAGGAGAGGTCTGCATGTAGACAGCGACGCGCCTGGCCTATGTGTTGCCCCGATTTTGGTTTGGGCACTTTGCCCGGGGCCAGCTTCGGGCGGTGCCAGCGGTGGCCCCCTTGGTTGTTGAGCGTGCCCAGCCGGCCCCAGGCTGGCCGAAAAAACAAAGGGCCGAGGGTGGGAAGCCCTCGCCCTGCGCGCGCGCGCGCAATCCATGCCGCGGGGCGTTCTTACATGTGCCGGCCAGTGAGGTCGGCGCCCCCGGGGCAAGCGAGGCACCACAGCAGCGCGCGCCCGCACGCTCGCGGCAGCCACCCTGTATGCGCCGCCTCTGCGACGTTTTGTATGTTCAGCAAGCCGCCAACGTGGCATCCGCCAGGCGCGAGAGCAGCCACTCCGCAGACGCGGCAATGCATCTGTGTGGGCGCCGGCGTATCTTCGGCGTCCTCCTGGTCGGCCGTTTTGCGCCAGTCGCCAGCCACTCATCAGTTCTATTGCCGTCGGCAGTGTAGTTTCGCTTTTGAAAGGACGGCTGGGAGTTGGAAGCATCTAGACGCCCAAGGACATCAAGACCAGCACAGCTGGAACAGCACAAGGCAATCCGTGTATTGTGTTCGTATTCGATCGAGGCTTTTGGCGGAGATTAGAAATGCTCTGCAATGAGAGCGATTGCTACGCCTACGTGGATTTCTATTATCCCTCCACGAATGAACTTGAGATAAGTAACAAGAACAACTGAGGGACTTTTGCCTCTTTCAGACGACCTCAGCGAATTTGATGCGAGAAACTGGAGTGGCGGATTGAGGGAAAGATGAGATTCCCAGTTGAGTGTGGGCCGCATGAAATTTCTGTCAAGCCGATATCCGACAGGGCTATTTAGCTTGTTGGGAATTTGTCCTGCTCGGTGTAGCGATCGGCGTGGCACACCATTCAGAGCCGCGCGAGACTGTCTGGCCGGCCCCGGCGCATTGCGCGCGGCGCGCTGCGTAAGCCGAAGCGCATGGAATTGCGACAGAAGTGGGCAGGGGCATACGCGTAGGCCTGGCCCGCCGGAAGCGTACGCAGCCCAGGCACGCAGGGCGCGGGGCCCGGGGCCGGCGGCGCGGCCGGACCGACCATGGCCCGGATGCCCCATCCGGACAAAGTGCTTTGCGCCGCCGTTTTACTGACTTCGCCCCCCCCCCCAGCGCACCGCAGCGCCACCCGCCCGACCGCAGGCGTTTCGTGCGTGTGGCGCCCAAGCTTCTGCGCCCACGCCTTTCCGGCCGGCAAGGCCCGCGCCTCTTCGGGGTGACAGGTGGGGGCGGGCGCGACGGTAATGGACGTCCACACGCCCGCGGTAGCTAGTTGCCGGGCCGCTTTGCAGAATGGCGACATTGTTGCAGACGGCCCGCGCAATGAGCTCTGAGTGTCAGCCGCGAGGGCAGCTAGTTAAGTACCTAACGAGCGCCGCACTGAGATTGGCGCCGGTGCATCCGTATCACCTGCTCGTCCGGCCAGCCGTATCGCGTAATTCGCCTGCCACGGTCAGCCTTATTGCCGAAACATGTTGGGAAGGGCAGCTCGAGGAATGTAGTATGTAGAGCGGCAAGATAAAGCTGCCTACGCGGTCTGCGAGCCTAGTTTTTCTGAATCCGCGTCATGTGCGCACGCGAGGAGGAATCGAAGATCCGAACCGCGCTGATTTAGGCGGATGCCTTTGCGCGCCCGCCTGATCTGAGTTCGATTTTGTCGTGTATGTCGGTGATAGATTTGTAATCGCGCTAGGAGGGACAGGGACTGAAGGTTGTACTGGCAAAGATTTTAGACAGCCATGGAGCAAGCTCTCAGTAACTCCGTCGAAAACGATATTAACAAGATGAACCCTAATATCGATCCACTTCGTGCATCGGTTCTTTTTTGTATTCCATCTCTACGACAAGCACTACACTGTCCGATCACACACTGCTCGTGGTTGCTCTGTGAATTCGCCCGACTAGTTTTGAGCTGTTTTTTCGTTTTTTGACGGAGCTGTGTCGACTTGTAGATCGTTTCGCAAGAGTCGTGTCAGTTGCATCGAGTAGTTTTTCGTCGAACAATCGGCAACACCTGTCTCGCAAATTGAGGGCACGAGATCGAGTTTCAAATCTTGTTTCTTTGCAGAGGTCGCTCCGCAAATTTCGCTTCACTTGTGTCTGTACTTGCTCGTCAACATGCTTTTTCCGGCAAAGCAAAAAAACTGCCACAAGCGTTCCAACTTTGAACTCAGGCCCTTTTTCCCCACGAAGCAAAATAAGCCTTCGTTTGATGTGTGACTTTTCCTAGTCGTCGTGGACACTATCTTTTGTTGCGACGAGTTTCAAAATAAATCTTCTTTCGCTAGACCACTACTGTTTCTTACTTTAGTTGTTCTTTGCTTTTTTGCTTTGCTTCTCTGTAGTGTGTACGCGGCGGCAGGACGATTTCATAGATTTGCAATGATGGCTTCCTCCTGCGCTGCTTCGAGCTCCAGCGCCAAACGACCAGCTCCAGCTCCCGGAGACGCCCCTGCCCCAGGCGCTGCAACCACGCAGACCATCGTTATCAAAACCATCGGGGGATACGAAGTACAAATTGATGTCAACTCAGACGAGGTGCGATTTGTCAAGGACCTGTACGATGATAAAATCCTTTCCCACTCCGGTCTTTTCGATCCGAAGACGCAGCTCGTGCCTCCGAAGGACCGGGTTTGGTTCGTGAAAGAAGTTTTCGGAGAGGCGGCCTCGGACAACGCGGACGAGCAGGGGGGTGCTGGGGATCGCTCGCCAGAGAAATTGCAACTGGACCACGACGATACCGCAGCCGGAAGTCCAGACCGCAGGGACGATGTGCGCAGTGCAACATCCGGAAATGTCGGCGACAACAAGCATTCTACCAACACGGCGGAGAACGGTCAGGCTGCCAAGAGCGGCGTGACTGGTAAAGCGAGTTCCTTCGCCGAACTTCCGCACGACGAGGAGTTGGTGTACAGTTCACGGAACCAGAAAACGCCAACGACGGTTTACATCCTCCTCGTGTCCATGAACAATCCACACACCGACGACGGTAAGCTGTTTGGGCGCAGAACTTTCGGGGTGTCGACCTTCACCGACGCAGGCCGCACATTGGAGCGTATGTGGATTGCTACTCTAGCGCGTACGGATGATTACAAGCGCGGCCAACCTAGCGCATTGGAAGATGTGGTTTTGGGGGCGTACGGGACGCGCCAGCCGGCGATAGACAATTGGCTTTATGATCGGACGTACGACGAGTACCTGAACACTGCAAACTGTGCCACCGACCAGCAACCGCTACCTGAAATCGACAAACGTCTCTTCGAGCTGGAGAAAAAAGCAGTTCGCCTTGTGTTGCCAGTGGAAAGCGGACTCACCGAGGAACTCTCTCCGGCTCACGCGAGTTGCCTGCGAAACAATTGGAAGATCATTCGGCGGGTGCTGGCGCTGTCAGATGACGCCTGGTTGGTTCATGGATGGCCGGTAGGACCCAAAGACAGCAACGCTGCTCCTGGTGTACGTCTGAAGACGAAAACTCGCAGACAAGCGTATGCTGAGCGTGTCTTAGCCGCTTTCCTGTTCAGACCAGGTATTGAAAATAGGTACTATATTGGTCGTTTCTTATCTTGAGTGTGATCGTCTGATTTGGAAGCAGGCATCAGTCATGGACTGCTTAGGTGCGATCTTTGGAAAATTTTTGAATTTGCCTACTTGTTCATCTCGTGAGATAAATCGTCGGATGCAAAAATTAATAGGAATTGAATTGATCTACACTACCAGGTTGGGTCTGTGACCTCCCTCACTACGACAGGAAAACCGTACCATTCGAGCAGAGTCAGCTCTTCTTGGAGATCATCGAGCCAGCATTGAAGCAGATTGAGGACTGGCCGCTCGTGGACTTCAAACAGCTCTTTGTGTGGTGTTTCTACTGGGAACACTTCAGCAATACCTATCCCTATGTCGGGCCATTTGTTTGTTTCCACAGGTTATCGACTGACCACCCGAACTTCCTGCTCGCAAAAACGCGGCTGACCAAATTGTTTCGCAGTATAGAAGATAGCGACCGCGTGTGGGCGCAGTTACAGGAAGGCCTAGCGTACCGGCTTGCGGCGTGCCATCGACTTTTGTTTCGCATTGTCAAAAATGGATACGTCTGGAAGTTTATCGACTTCGTGGACGCTGCCGTAGCCGATGCCGGATTTTCGCAGGACCGACTTGCGACCCTGCGGGCCTGGGTTGATCGAGGGGAAAAGGACGTCCTGCAAAAGAAAGAGGAGTACCAAGAGGTGTACGACACGGCTACAAGGGCTACGTTGGGAACCCTTCGCCTGGAGGCTTTCAGCAAACCTTTGGATGCGGGTACAACCGCACCGACAACAGGTAATTATGCTGTTGCATGATCCCCTGTTTTTCGATTTAAGCAAGCTGCAATCATCATTTAACTGCGTGATGCACATGGAATAGTTTGTGACCGATCCTTTTCTCATCGATCCACGCTACAGATACTCCGTCGGGAAAAAAACCTTCAACCGTCGCCATGGACTGATAAATGCGAAGTCAAACGGTTTATTTTGGCAAATCTTCAGTGGAGTGGAAGAATAAGAAAAAGAGAACGGAATTTTGGTTACCAGCCAGAGTCGAGATAATCACGAATGATGCTTCGTTTGTAGGATCGAATAATACATTGTTGTACGTGTACTTGTACAACAACCAGGAGTAGCCTCGTTTCTTAATTCCCGAAGAAAATCAAAATCTTGTTTATCAGAAAATACTCTCAATTTTGCAATGGAAGTCAAACGCTGCAAGTACTGGTCGCCTAACTTTTTTGGTTGTCTCAGGATTGAAACTACGGGCGTATCATGGCTTCAGTGCCTAGTCGTGGCTTGAAGACGTATGCTCTCTACATACAATCCCCGTTTGTTCTGGGCGCCTCGCACCGTCACCTGTCGTTCTTGGTCAAATTGAAATCAGATTCGTTGCCTCGTCGGAAACTTCGGGAGGGCGGGACTGCAGTAACAATCGTCAGTTTTTTCTCGTGCAAAGCCCAGTTCGCTTTTGTTTTATTTCGAAGTGGCTGATCCTGATTCTTGGTCACCTGCTTACTTTTTCCTGGTAGTACCGGCACGCATCGTTACACTAAGACAGACTAAACCCCGGCGCAGCCACCGCTGGTATAAATCAACGCTTTCACCCTTGCAGAGGCCAAAGCAAAAACACTGAAAAAACACATTTGCTGCACAGAGATCTTTTTTTCTTTTTTCTGGGACCGGGGTTTTATTTACGTTGAAAGAAGTGTTTTGGAGAGGGTTGAGGTGGTGACGTCTGTTTTCTCGATCTCAAGAACATGAACAGCATGGTAGACCGCGTTCTGGAGGACCCGATAGGGTCGCTCCAGGAAACCGCCCCGCCGCCCCGGCTGAGACCACAAACTTCCAAGCCTGCAATGCGAACGAGAGCGGTCAACAAGTCGCCGCAAAGGCCAGGGACCGCACATGGACGTATTATACATGATTTTGATGTTTTTGTGACGCATACAGTAAGTACGTAAAATTATTGCAATGAATATCCGAACTGATTGCGTTTTCGTGTGTGCGGGACATCAAAGAAATTCGCCGCTCGAGAATGAATTTTGTTTCTGTATGTAGAAATCTCTATAACCACATCAGGCTACCAAGTTCTGAAGGCCGGTCCGACGATGGGCGCAAATATGGTAACTCCGCTGTGCAAGACCCACGTAAAAAAACCGCCGCCATTTAACAACTTCCTCGTTTTCGTCGTCGATGTCGAGGACGCAGAGCGAATGCAGGCCGCAAAAACGGTGCAGGAGTTGTCGGAGGATATTTTAGACGCCCTCGGATTGAAGCTCCCGCATGGAAAAGAGCTTCAGGCGATCTACTCTGGGTATCATGTATGAGAGCAAAAAGAACATGTTGAGTTCGTGCTCGGTTTTGTACGTGTTTTCATCGACTTTAAATTTTACGATTCTTCGATGTGCTATGCAAAATAAACTTCCGGAAGTTTGGGCCAGCAAAAATCCGTATCCTCCCTGCAGGTACGAGGGCCCCGAACGGATATCCATCAGTTCCGACGGCGACCTGGTTGACTACTATGCCCGATTTAGTAGTAGCGGTAACGAAAACGAGGATTCCGGATACGATGCGAGGAAAGATCCCGAACTCCAGGACGTGATCCGCGAACTAGAGAAGATGCGGCTGGGCGGCATTTTAACAAAAATGCAGATGACGAAGTACCTGCGACTACTCGGCGACAGCCGCATGTTCTTCCTGAAGACGCAGAAGGAGCTGTCGCAGACCCGGGAGGAGCTCTTTGACTTGCAGGAGTCGATGCCCGCGAAAATCGAGCTGGCAGCCAAGCGAGCGGTCGACAAACGGGAAGCGGAGCTGTTCAAGCAATTCGAGCAAGAAAAAGCCACACTGCTGGCCAAAATTCGGGAAGAAACGCAGAAGATGATCGGGCCGCTCCGGGACGCGGCGGAGAAAAGCAAAGCGGCCTTGAAGGAGCTACAAAAGGTATCAAATGTAAAAATGTCTGGGTCTGGAAGAATGCAACTTGTGATGCTGCATTTGGATTCGAAAAAAATCCGTATTGCATGAGTACCAAAGGGAATGCAATTTTTGCTACGTTGAGAAGGCATTTGTCATGCGGAATACGCATCAAGAAGCCCTCAAAAAATCTGTATTGCTAGGGTATGCATCACAGACATCATGGCTCATGCAAAACGTGCATGACAAGTTTCAGAATCTTCCAGACCCAGACATTTTTACAGTTGATAAAAGGAATACCAGAACAAAAAGGCGGAATTGTCTAAAACGCAGACCAAATTAGAGGGGATGGAAGGTATGAAAGAAGTTTTTGACAAGCATGGATAGTTTTTCCTCACTAGCATAGATACCATACAGGGTTCTTCAAAACTGCAGTTCGACAGTTCTCAATGAAAGGCATTATGTGAAATATATACACTGCTCCTTTAAAAAAGAAACCGTCCGCACGGCTGACTCCCGCGCGCAGGAGCTGGGCGAGCAGCTGCGCGCCGCGGAACAGCAAATCGCCGAGGACGCGGCGAGAAAGACGCAACTAGAGCAGCAGCTGGCCGAGGCCATAGATGTGATCGATAGCAACGGGCTGGAGCGGCCGGGCTCCAGTAGCAGCAGCGGGGAGCAGGACGGCGGGAAAAACAGTAAAAACAAATTTCTCTGGAACATCCCCAAGATCCAGACCAAGGTGAGCTGGCCGCGGGAGCGCAGCATCTGCAGCAGCGACAAGAAGCTCCAGGACCTGTCTTCAGTCGTCATCGAGTTCTACCCGGGGGGCGTGGAGGCGAGTTTCCCGGGCTACTGTGCGTTGCGGCTGCACGTGCCGGACCGCACGCGGCTCAAGTGGTCCGTCATCTTCGGGAAGAACCAAAAAACGCACGACTGCGGCCAGCGCAGCGACGATTTCGCAAAGGACCTGTGGTGGTGCCGAAACGGTATTCTGTGGCTATCAACTGTAAAAATGTCTGGGTCTGGAAGAATTCATGTTTGTCATGCTTGTCTGGCATGACTCTTAAATCTGTCATGCACGTTACCCAAGAGCTCCGTTTTTCTGTGATGCAGAAGCGCAGTCTGTCATGCAGAATAGGCAACACCGAGGAGCTCAGAAACTTGTCATGCTGAGCCAGCATTTGTGGCCTCATCATGAGACGGCACCCAGCATCACAAGTTTCCAGACCCAGACATTTGTACATTTGATAGTGGCCAAACGTGTGCAAACTCGAGGACATCAAGCGCAACATCGACCGGTATGAACTGCAAAAGTATCGTACTCGTATAAATGCATTACAAATTTCCTCAGCATGAGAAATAAAATTTGTATATAATGCGGATTTACCTTAAGAACAAGATTGGTAATGCATGATTGCAGAACGAGTACGATACTTTTGCACAGGATAACCGGGAGACGGACTCTATTCAGCTCGCGTTCGAGGCCCTGACCGTGAGTCAACTACCCGTGGCGGCGGCGGACGCGTCGGCATCGCGGTCCAAGTCGCTCGGGCGCCCGCGGACCGCCTCCGCCAACTTCGCCAGCCGGGGGAACCTCATCATGGAAGAGGGGCAGCGAAAAAAGCTGGAGAACCTACTATGGATTGTAAAAATGTCTGGGTCTGGGAGATTGCGAGATTTGTTGAGTATGCTAGTCTGGCATGACTCTGGGATCTGTATTGCGTGGCAACCAAGAGCTCCCCTAGCCTATCATGCAAACACGCAGTTTCTCATGCGGAATACGCAACGCAGAAGCATGAAAAAACTTGTCATGCTTGGCGGCGCATTACAGTGTCCTCCTTATTCAGTGACCTGCATCACAACTTTCCAGACCCAGACATTTTTGCATTTGATACCTCCCGCCCTTTGACAAGTCGCTGGTCAAGATTTTCTACGACGCCGAACTGCTGAATAACGCCTGGCTGCTATCCTGAGTAAAAACGTCCCCACACCAGAGTCAGGATGGGGATTTTGCAACACAAACCTAGGAGTTTTGGGAGTCACGCATGACAGGTTGCACTCCGCAGTGTCGTGCAGGTCAGCAAGTGCAGCCGCATCACAGATTCATCTGCTCATCCTGTTCACAGCATCAAAAATTCCAATACACGATTAGAAATGGCTCTCATGGGGATGCGCATTACAAGTCTTCCTGTCTTTGCAGATCTGCATTACAACTCTGGCGTGGGGACGTTTTTACTCAGGACAGCTGCAAGACTTTGTGGCGGGCTGGCTGGCGCAGAAGCGATTCGTCCAGCACGCGAAGCAGGTCTCGAAGGCGTAATGGGAAGGTGGCGCATGTTGTTCTCTAGTAAGTATGGTCTTCAGGTATCGTGCTAGTGCTATTGATAAATTGTATTTTTCTTTCATCTCCTCCTCGTCCTGAAAAATGAAATTTTAGAATTGGAAAATGAAAACTTCGTGGCCTTATTTTTCAATGTGATACGGAAAGCGAAAGATAAAAAATAAAAATGATCGGACGAAGGAGAACCGGGAGCGAAAGTTCAGTAAAAAAACATCGGCCAATAAAGTCCACGCACTGAAGCAAGAAAAACCTACGTACATTGGCGACCACTGCTGCAGAAGTGTATTACTTTGCAGTATAAAAAATCATGTGGTTTTTGTGTGGAGCTATTCTAGTACAACATGAGAATGTAGAAGTTGATGTGATAAAGGCCGTACCCATTCTTGTTCTATGTATACCATTTATTTTTTTATCCAAACTAGATTTTAGCATCAGTATCAGAGATGATAGCAACCTTTTCGGAAGAGATTTTAGCAAAGCAAGCTGCTTCACATCGCAGTGCGAGCAGCAGGGCAAGAGGCAACGCATGAGTTTCTAGTGCAAAGAGTTCAGCCCTTGTTTCGTATTTTACTTTTCAATCTAGCACATTGATTGTTTCACTACTTGTTTGTCATTTTGTCCATTATACAGTGTCGTGTCGTCCATTCAAATTGTTTCTGCAGCAGATTTTTAGCTTTAGGCAAAGATAGGAAGTACAGGAAACAGAAATAGCAATAACAAGTGTACCATAAAATTGTTTGACGATTTGCATTTGCTGAAACCGGCTCCGTCGCGGAATATGACTGTGGGATGAGGCCACTTGCAATTTGAATTTGATGCAACCAATTGTACAATAGTTTTGAACCGTGGTGAGACTTTACAGCAAGCTGAATGTGGTATGTCTATGGCAAAAAAGTCGCAACAGCCTAAAGGTATGTCGATCTTCTCGACACAGTACTTTCTACCAAGCTGTCTCACACGGACGAATGCGGCAATAGCGCAGGTTACCTATGCTTTTGGTGCTTGGGCTTGCCCCCCGTCAATTCGTAGTCGATTTCGTCACCTATATCGTGAGCGCACTTTCGCACCAGTTTCGCAGAAAAAACTAAGCTGCTTGTTTCGAACTGGTAACTTCGTACTGGTATCGAAACAATGTCGTCCCAGCGCCAAAGGTGCAACGATCGACGATTGCAGAATCGTTGCCGATGTCATAAATGTTTTTGTCACTTTCCAACGGTCGTCCGCTCGTTTTTGAAACCCTAGAACACACAGTCTGTGTCTTTCAACCGTAGGAACGCAACGACCCAAAACGCTGCGCTTTTGAACACCAAGCAAAGCCAACTCGTCTCCTGAAGCCATCCTGCCATGTTGCAGTTTCCCGCCTCTCTCGGCATCGGCCCGAGCAGGCATGACCCACACACGCTACTCAAGTACACTGCGGCGGAGGTATTTCCCTCGTTCGACCCCCATCCCTCGAGCGCAACCCCCCTGACCATTACGACGCGGCGACCCGCCGAAACGGTCGAGCGCACGCAGCGCATTCTGGTCTCGCAGCTGCAGCCCTTTCAGGCTTTCTACCTGACCGACGACGGATCGCTGCGACTGCGGGTACCCATGTTTTACCGCGACTTCAAAAATATCCCGACGCGCGCGGGCGTCGTCGCCACCAGCTTCAGCTTCCCAACCCCCGACGACTTCCGGATGCGCCCGACGCACCCGGGCGGAGAGAAAATAGACGTCGTCACGGAGTCCATTCCCTATGTGGACACCGAAAAAGCGTACGCGACACATGCGGAAGATGCTGCTGCTACCAGCGGTGCATCCACTTCTTCTGCCGCGGGGGAGGAAGTCACGACGCCCGCATCTCCTGTGGCGAAACAACCGGGAAGCGCAAGTACCGAACAGCCCGCAGAGGGGCAAAGTGTCAAAACCAGCGCGGTGGCACTCTCGAGTACGAACGATGGCACGCAGGACTGGACGGCCGTTGACACGGTGAACTTGCGCAAGTTTCTGGCAACGGACACGCTGGGCCGCACGAACCCGGATCACTGGAACAACTCGCCGCTGCGCCCGTTCCTGGTCAAGGAGCGTCGCACCAGCCTGCTGGGCGAAACACACAGCAAGTACTCGGGCTTTACGAAGCGCGTAACGGCGGACGGCACGGAGAAGGTGGCGCAGCGGAAATTTTCCGCGTTAAGCATCGATTGGTCACAGTACCTTCCGCGCGACTCCGAGTTGATCGCTTTCCGAACTGCGCACCAACGGGATAACTTTCCCGGCACTGGCGGCTGGCTGCTATGGATTGCAAAAATGTCTGGGTCTGGTGGAAGATTGCGCCTTGTAATGCTGTCTTTGGATTCCAAAAAAATCTGTATTGCATGACCAGCAACAGGACTCCAGTTTGTGTTACGCGGAGAGGGCATTTCTCATGCGGAATAGGCATTGGGAAGCACTCTAAAAATCTGCGTTGCTAGATCATGCATTAGAGGCATCAATCATCATACAAAATATGCATGACAAGTCTGCAATCTTCCAGACCCAGACATTTTTACATTTGATAGCTGCACCTGGGGCACAACAAAGTGCTCAAGATGATGCAGGACGCAATGTCCCTGGGGCTCGGGGGGAAGCTCGGCTCGCAGCTCGCTGCGGAAGTGGAGCACACGGCGAAATCCAACAACGCAACCCAGCCTTTTCACCAATTGGTTCCGCGCGCCGTGGAGCAGGGCCTGCGGGCGGTAACGCAGCGGCTGGTGGATTCGGGGCTCGACGCGAGCGGTACGAAGGTCTTGGGCGCGGCGGGGGTGGGGGCTGCGCAGACGCAGGCCCCGAGTCTGCGGTCCGAGTGCCTGAAGAAGTTCCTCTACGAGCCCGAACGGAAACTGCTCGCGGCCGAAAAGAAGCGGCTCGTTGATGACGCGAAACACGAAGAAACACGGGTGACAACAGTGGAAGACGGCACGGAGACAATGCAGGAATATCGCTACCGAGAATTGGAAGAGCAAAATGACTTCGCGACCGTGACACTCGACCTGGTACCGGGTCTGCGCGCGCGCAACATCGTCACTGGAGAGGACTACAAACTCGCTATGCACCTGAGTTCTAAATAAAAGCCTACCGACAACCACGAGTGCAAGTTGAGCACGACTGGTGCGCAGAAATAAAATTTCTCATGCGTTGTATGCGTACCTCCTAACAAGACTTTCGGATTTGCTTGTTTAGCAACTTTCCCGCCTTGGCTTTGGTTTTGGTACGCTTTTACATAGGATTTTCATTGCGGTCAATCCCGTGACGCAGGAGGTCGCCGTTCGGGGTCCGGTATCAAATGTAAAAATGTCTGGGTCTGGAAGATTCCGAGATTTGGCATTCAGTTTTTCCAAGCTCCGCCAAGACTGAAACGCAGAACCGAGCATCACAGGTTGTGCAGCCCCTTAGTGATGCCCATTCCGCATAAGAACTGCCCTCTCAGAATGGTCAGAAATAGGGGCCTTTTGCAAGCCATGCAACACAAATTTTTGCAGGATGCGCACCACGCATCACAAGTTCGCAGCCTTCCAGACCAAGACATTTTTGCAATGCATATCCGGGGGATGCCGACGACGCAGAGCCACGGGTGATGGCCAATCCCTGTCTGTTATTCTGAGTAAAAACGTCCCCAGCCCATAGTTGTCATGCAGATTTGCATTTACAGGAAGATTTGTAATGCGCATCCCCATGAGAGAAATTTTCCATAGTGTTTTGGAATTTGTAATGCTATAAACAACATGAGTAGATGGCTTTGTGATGCGGCTGCACTTGCTAAACTGCACTACAATACAGAGAGGAACTTGTCATGCGTGACTCCCAAAACTTCTCGACTTGTGTTGCGAGATCCGCATCTTGACTATGGGGTGGGGACGTTTTTACATAGGATATCTGTTACATCTCGAATCGCTGCGCAACCACCCGCGCCTGCGCAAGACCATGGTGGAAGAAGTATCCTGAGTAAAAACGTAACCATCTTTCCAGATGAATTTTGTCATGCTAAAAACGCGCCAGGACGTCCGTGTATCATGTGCTGCCCGATGAGGTCGAGCATTTGCTGGTGAGTGCTGCGTGGGAATGCGTCAAAACTCCAGGCTTTTCTATGTGGTGGTTGCGTTTTTACTCCGGATATAGGGATATCGAACCCTTGGGTCCGGACGAGATCGAAATGAAGTTTCGAGTGCCGATATCCTGCGGAGAAACGGACACGCGCCGTATTTGCCATGCAAATCTGTACGGTTACTTTTGAGAGCTGTTTTCTAATTAGTCGAGTTTGCAGGCCATGGTCCGACAATGAGGATCAGAAAATCGCTTTGTGACTGCTAATTCCTGATGCATGACCCCCGAAGGCGCTTGATTTATGGAACCGATTTCCAAACCCGATTGTGTGGCAGATACGTTTTTGCATAGGATAGCCGGTGCAGCGCGGCGTCCGATACCGGAGATCGGATGGCGCGGGCTCGTCGGCGTATCAGAGACGGGCCGGAGGTGTGTCGCTGCAAGACGCACTTGCGCGGGCACGCACACCGCCGGAGGGGGGAACGGAAGATGCCGAGCGCGTGGCGGCGTTGCACGCAAAAGGTAGCAGGCTGGGAAGTGGCAGAGCAACGTCAAAGCGGGACGCAGCCCAAGCAGGAGGGCCTACTGCAGCGCGGACCGAGTTTCAACAGGGCGTTTTGCCGAAAACGCAAAGGCTCGACATTGAGTTGCGACCGGAATTTGATGCGAGTTTTCGGAAAGTCGCCAGCGCGTTCAAGAAAGCAGGCTACGCTGATTTCGAAAGGTTCTTCTTGTGACGTGCAATTTTTTGACCACAAGTTGGAAAACGAAGTAGCGCTACTTCTTATTAGTAGAGTAGCCTGACAGAAAACGACTAGCACTTTGACGATATGACGATCTTGAATCATTCAATGCACTGGTGAAGCGTCAGCACCTGCGTCCCGCTCTGCAGCGACGTCGTGTTGCGACTAGAAAGCTTGCACTCATGTTCGTATGCACGTTATTGCTATACATAGGAAGTTGTCCAGGGGGGAGCAGGATGTGTTGCCTGTGTGTGAGTGATGAAAGTTAGAGCGATTTTTGAGCGAATTGATCTTGTGGACTGGTGTTACAACCTTCCTTGCGAGTGCATTGTGTGAAATGTGTTTCATGTTCCTACTGCGCAGGAGTCACATTGCCTAGCGAGAAGTCTTGCGGGGCTTCGCTCGCTCGGCCCAGGGGCTGTGTCTCCAGCTATGCCCCGGAAGTGTTGCATATGCATTTGCAGCCGACTGCTGGATAGTCGCGTCGCAATCGGTCCGAGATGCGGAGTGGCTGGCCGTCAATCTGACAACCAGCCTTGTTGCCGAGTTCCCTTTTTTCGCCGCTGAGGGGCGAGCAGCTCTTGGCTGCGCAACTCCGCATCATCGGCAAGAACGAGGACAACCCCGGCGCGCGCAGATTCAGGCGCTGGCCGGCCTTGATGGCCGACCGGGCGAGCCGCGCCGTCAGGTTCTGCAAGGGGCGCGACAGTTTTGGCGTTTGGGGTTTTGGCGCCCTGGCTCTCGGCGCCTGCCGGCGTTTGAATTTTTGGCGCCGCCCCTCGCGCGCCGTTCGTTCCGCCCGGACATGCTTGCCTTTTCGTGCGGCGCGGTTGCCCAGGTTTTCATTACCTGACGAGCAAAGTACCGCCCGCCGGGCCTACGATCGCGCGCGCGGCCGGCACTTAACACACAGGCGCAAGCCAGCGCCCGCTCCTCGCGTACGGCGGCGAGCACGTGGGCAGCGGAGTCGGCGCAGCCGGCGCCCAGGCGGTGGCTTGCTTGTTCCGAATAAAGCAATTTATCTGTCATCATAGAAGATTGCGAGTGTGGTCACGGGGTGCCACCTTCTGTTGTTAGCAAGCAGAGAGACTTGCACTTGTCCGGCGGGGCAAAGTGGTGTTCTGAAGAGCTATCATCCTCTTGTTCAAGGAGTTGGTCCAAGAGCAGAGCAGCTTCTTCAAGCGTCAGTGCTGTTTGAGAGCCGAAGCGATTTTTGAGAGAATGCACCCCATCCCATGGGGCGATTCTGCCAGCTTCTTGATGCATGTTGTGTTAAATTCTACTCAGCTTGATTGCGTTCTTACGACAAGCTCCTCTCTGAGGATCAAGTAGACCCGGCGTGCTAAGGCACTACCGCATCGGCATTTTCATCTTGCCGCAGAGTTCTTCAATGTTGCAGCGTTGGCTTCGTCCGTTCGACAGGAGCGACACGAGCCACGGGTAGAAGAGCGCAAAATGTGTGGCGAAAAATGAGTTACCGATTCCGCGCCGCCGGAGCAGCTGTTTTCCTCGTTCTTTCGACCGCCCCTGCGCAGGCCGCATGGACTACCTCAAGCATCTCGGATGCGCTCCAGAAACTGGGCACCACCCTCCTCGGCGGTGCCGGCCGCCAAGGGCAACTGAAGCGCGCGCGGGAGAGCGGCGGCACAGGGAAGTCCAAAGCCACAACCCTCCCGGCAGCAGAAGTCGCGCTAGCACCGACGCCTGCGTCAGAGGCGACTGCTAGCAGTACAACTGGAACAAATCATGCTGGTGACAGCGCGATTCTTGCTGGCGATGTTGATCGCGGAAGTCGCACAAGTGCGCATGCTGATGGTGTACCTACGGGGGAAATAAATGCAGGCAGATCTTCTTCAAACGGTAATGGTGTCGACGAGGCGACGGGCGTTACCAGCAAGCACCGGCGACAGCACCGTGTGGACACCGTGCAAAACCTGGAAGAGGAGCTTGCGTTTCGCGAGGAGCAGCTGCCGACATCACAGCGGGAGCATGTGGAGAAAGCGGTCGAGGATATCTTGGTAGAGGACAGCTCTAGCGGTAGAAGCAAAAGAGCGTCGTCGTCCACACGAACGACTGCTGCTTCTAATAGACCTGCAGCGCTTCTACGGGGCAATAAACACGCGGCCGTCGTGGTGGATCGTCGACAAGGCGATGATCGCTATCAGGAGGGGCAAGTCACAGTCGCTGGAACAACGTCTAGCGCGAGAACAAGAGCACGAACAGGCACCGATGCTATCAGCCTCCTTGCACTGAATTCTCGGGCGCTAAACGCACCTTGCAGCTGTGAAAACGGAGCCGCAGCTGCCACCTGCGAGACGGACGGCGAGACAAGGTGTGTGCAGTGCAACGATGGTAGAAATTTTTCTCTGATTCTGAAAACTACGATCTTCGATGAAATTCGGATCTTACTCACTGTGCTTTGAATCATCAACATCTGGCATTTCTCCCTACAACGACGGATCATAATCCGAGGCTACTGAATACTCGTCATCGAAGGTTATTCGCTTCTCGACTTCGCGTGTGTCGCCGATGGTATTCTTGCGGACGAGCAAACGCCGCCGGAAGAGAACGCTGTAGGAGCACAACAACTCAGTCGTGCCATTCTCCCGTCGTCCCCGACGAGAAGCCCCTCTTCCAGCCTGGACTCCGTGACCTTACTGGAGCAGAAGCGATGCCTGTGCTTTGGCGGCGGCCTGGGCGCTTCCGGGGACGACTGCCCGGCGCACGGCGCCGTGAAGTGCAGCGGTGCGTGTCCGGCCGGAATGCGCCAGAACCCGGACGTTGCGCCGACGAAGGAAGTGGTCAGCTGCCTGCAGAACACGTGTCGGTGCGACAACGGCACGCCGCTGGAAATTTGCGAGACGGACCAGGACCACTTTTGCACGGCGTGCGACGCCGGCTTCGGCCTCGACGTCATTTCCCAGCAGTGTCGCAGCGAGGCCGACGGCGGTTTTGGAAGTGCCGAAGATTTCGGTTTTGAAGACTTTCAGTACAACGACCCAGAAGAAGCAGCCCCACCGCCGCCCACATCGCAGCAAGAGCAGCTCCTGCCGGAGGAAAGTTATAACCTCCCCGCGGCAGACGCAGAGCCGCTGCTCAACGAGGAGACCGCGGCGGCTAGCGCGCGGGAGGAGAAGCTGGAGCGCGAGCGGAAAGAGAAGGAGCGGTTCGAAAAGGCTCTAGGCAAAAATCACTGCAGCTGCGCGAACGGACTGGCGGTGCAAGACGAGACGAGGTGTTCCGGCGAGCCGACGGAGCTGTGCGCGACGTGCACGACGGCCGGGTTCTTCCTGGACCTCCGAACCGAGCAGTGCGTGACGATTGAGTTTTTGCCGCGCGATGGGCCGGTCCTGTTCGTGAAGGACTTAGCGTTCAACGCGGACGGGAAGGCAAATCAGCGACAACACGTGCTGGCGCTCGCACAGAAGTACTTCTGCGACTACGAGGGAAGCGAAACAAATGATGCGGGAGGAGTTGTTCGGCCTACACGAGACAACTTTGCTGGAATGTTGGCAGGAACTGGAACAACAGCAAACCTGTACAAGAAGGGCGATGAGGAGTTGCTGGTAGGAACAGCACCAGGGCGATCAGGTAGAAGTTCATCGCCAAAAAAGCCACAGCTTAGCCAACACCAACAGGACCAAGACGATTTCCTCTCCAACTGGCTGAAAAATGCGAAAGAGCTGCATGGGGAAGACAAAACTGGAGCCACCGGTATTAAAAATCAACACCTCCCCCTGGAATCCATCGCGCTCTTCGAGAAGATTCGGAAACTGCACCAGACCGCCAGTCTCACCGCCGCGGCCATGAATGGGGACATCTGTGACGCTATCAAATGTAAAAATGTCTGGGTCTGGAAGAATGCATGTTTGTATGTAGTGAGGTCACGAACGTTCTAATCTAGCGATCTTTTTGACATGTCTTATCCAAAACGACCCGCAGTTTTCAACTGGCCGGAGGTGTTTTTTGACATAAAAAGTTTCCAATTATCAAGCGGCCGGGGCTTTGCCAACAAACAAGCCCGGTCGAAAACTATCGATTCGCACTTGATAAAACGACGCAGGGGAGCCGGCAAAAGGGGCGCCCTTCTGAGGCGCCCACCGCCTTGGTTTCTGGCGGTTTGGGGCGCCCAGAAAGGTGCGCCCAAAAATCAACAATCCGAAAAAAACAGCGAATCCGCATGGTATGGGCCCCATTTTGCCCCACATTCGGGCCCCGCAGCAGACGCCTTCAAGATCCGCCATTTCAGAGGCGGACTGAAGGCCAGAAGATGCGGCATTTTGGCAAAAAAAAACAAAAAAAATAAAGTCCGCCAAAAGCAAAAAGCCAATCCGCATGCTATGGGCCCGATTTGGGGCTCCCAAGAGGCCGACCCTGTCGCGGGCCCTGGCGGGGCCATAGCATGCGGGGAAGGTTTTTCGATTCGAAACCAAAAGGAGGCCGCCTCTGGATTGAGATTTTTAGCGACCGCCGTGCCGTCGTGCATAACATTACCCACGATGGCATGGTGGGCAGAGGAGTTGCGTCTTTTTTTGGCGTGAAGACAAAAAGACCGCCATGACCTCACTACCTCCGCGGACGCGGCTATTATTGGTCATGCTTGTCTGGCATGACTCTTAAATCTGTCATGCACGTTACCCAAGAGCTCCATTTTTCTGTGATGCAGGAACGCAGTTCGTCATGCAGAATAGGCAACACCTAGAAGCTCAGAAACTTGTCATGCTGAGCCAGCATTTGTGACCTCATCATGAGACGCCACCCAGCATCACAAGTTTCCAGACCCAGACATTTTTACATTTGATAGACGCGGTTGTGCTGGAGGAAAAGACGGACCACTGCAGTTGGGAGCCGCATATCAAATGAAAAAGTGTCTGGGTCAGGAAGATTGCCAGGTTTGTCCTGCACATTTTGCATGACTCCTGATGTCTGTGATGCATGCCCTAGCATCACACATTTTGTGAGGGCTTCCTGATGCCTATACCGCATGACAAATGCTCTTTCCGTATAGCAAAACTTGGACTCTCTTTGCTGCTCATGCATCACAGATTTTTTTCGAATCCAAAATCAGCATGACAAGTTGGATTCTTCCAGACCCAGACATTTTTACAGTTGATACCGCAACCGGTGCTCCCCAAGGACGTCGCCGACTGCGCGCGACGCTGCACCGAGGCACTACGCCCGCAACAGCAGATGAGCGCGATTTGCGTGAAGTGTCTGCAGGAAAGCCGGGGCAGTGTGAGCAGCATTCAGACGGCGGACCCGGTGGTGCAATTGGAGGAGCTCGGGCGGGAGGAGTGGAAAGCGGGCCAATCTTCAACTGAAGATGATCGCGAGGATGTGCTTTCGTTTCTCCAAGAAGCAACTGCATCTACTTCTGCTGGGAGTGGTAGTAGTTCAGCCACATCTGCCACCTTTTCGACCGGTATTAACCCTCTCGTCGAAGATTTTCCATCGGGAGGCTCAGGTGATCCTAGAAGTAGTGCCACTTTCTCATCCCGCGAAGCGTATTCTTTTCTGCAGACGGTGTACAGTACGGGATTGCAGAAGTTGACGAAGCAACTACCGATGTCGACTGCGGCGCGGGACGTGCTGAACACGGGAGCTGCCGCGGGGCTGAAAGGCGAGGAAAGGTACATTGTCGGCATGAACCATGACAGAGATTTTCTGGAAGGAGGTGAATCAGTGGGAGGTGTTTCCGGTCTACTCGATAAGGACCAAGCCGACGTGTCCTTCCTCGAATCTGCGGTCTCCACGCCAAAGCAGTTTTCCTTCTTACAGACCGGTATAGACAGACGTAGTGGAGGAAAAAGGGGGAGGAGTAGAAGTGGAACCTCAAATAATATCAAACTCGAAGAAGGAGCAAGTACGGCGGCAGGAGAGTTACAACCGGCCCGGCGAGACTGCGGTCGCATGGCAATCCAACTCCGCAACCGCGTCACAGGTAGAAATCCGATCGCTACTGCGCGACAAAGTGCTGCGCAACAGTTCACCGAGGAGCTGCACACACTGTTGTCGACCTCTTCGTCAACATCCGTCGCTGGACCGAGTGCCGAGCCGGAAAATTATGCAAATAAAGCCTCCGACTTCGGCGGCGCTTTCGTGGAGATAGAATCGTCCACCTCGCAGGCCCAGCATGTCCAGGCGTCTGTCGCAAATTGGCAATCCTGGGCGAAGTTAGCAGAAGTCGGTGGCGCACCGATAAAGGCGGAGTTGGTGCTTGGCGCGGAGGAGGACGCAGGCAGACGATTTGTTGATCTCGAAAGCTTGGAGGAGAATGACGTTGGGAACAACGCAGCTTCTGCAGAAGATGGAACATCAAGTAGCACAAGAATGTCAGCAAGCGGACTCAAATATTCCTCCTCGTCTTCCTCCTCGCAGTCCATCCAGATAGACCAGGACGGAGAGCTGCGGTTGCGGTCAGAGTTCGACTTGCAGTTGTTTCAGTACAGGGTGGTTCTGGGCGGGAAGGATGATAGAAGCGCAGGAAATACCGATAGAACAACAACAGATCCTGCTTCAGAGAATCAGGACCACCTGCTTCGTACAGCTGAACGAACCCCGAACGGCAAGTCCGATCACGTCAGCGACTCCGCTGAACATCAGGTTGAGCTTCTGGTAGACGGACGTCTCTGTGATGGGAAAAAGAGCTACCGAACAAGGGACGCAGGAGGCCGCACGGTTCTGATAGGAGACTGCGACGACCGTGGACGCGTGCTTACGGTCCGGAGAAGAGTCGATAGGAACGCAAGGAGAGAGGAGCATCCGAGGCGGGCGTCTGGAGCTCCTTCAGGGAAATTTTCAAGAATAGGTCAGACAGAAGAAAATGGGGAGGAGAGAAATGTAGGCGAAACGCCAAATCACGCAAACCGTAGTAAACCCTTGACGATTCAATCTGTCTCCCTGATGGCGTTGCCTTACTCGAAAAACCGTAATTAGCGGCTAATTTGGTACGGCCCACAGAACAAGAGCAAGCGAATGAAACTTTTTCCGCACGACTGCTAGCTCCTGCATTCTCCGACTTCCCGAGCTAGGTGCTGCAGGATTTCTCTCCTTCTGCTTTTTCCCTGGGAAAATTTTGCGTTTTATTCACTCGATGACGATGATGCGCAAATGCAAAAACTCTGAGGCATAAGTTCCCTAATGGCACGTGCCATTAGGGAACTTATGTTTTTGCATTTTCGAAAAACATAAGTTCCCTATTGGCACGCGCAACTAGGGAACTTATGGCTCGAGATTTTGGGTTTTTCTTTTTTTTCACTCCATCATGCGAAAATGCAAAAAGTCTGAGGCATAAGTGGAGCTTATGTTTTTGCATTTTCGAAAAACATAAGTTCCCTATTGGCACGTGCAACTAGGGAACTTATGGCTCGAGATTTTGGGTTTTTTTCACTCGATGATGCGCAAGTGGAAATGCAAAAACTCTGAAGCAGTTCCCTAATGGCGCGGGCCATTAGGGAGCTTATGTTTTTGCATTTTCGAAAAGCATAGAAATAGATATCCTATTTGAGCGCGTAAATAGGAAGCTAGTCCTTTGATGAAGCTTTGGTTTTTTTCCGCAAAGGGAGCGCTTTGAAGCTTTGGCTTTTTTCCGCAAGAATAGAAAGGGGGCGCCTCGCCCTGGCGCAAGGGTTTTCATTTCTGCTCGTGTTATGGGGACCACGCACGGCGCGACGCAATAGCTTTTTTGTTTTGTGGCTCGGAAAGAGTTACCACTTTAGCCGCTTATTACGGTATGCCGAGTATCCTAATACGTGCTCTTGCGCAAACGGGGAAGCGGCGGTCTCCGGCCAGACGCAAATTACCTGTCCGGCGCGCAACCTCGAGTTCTGTGTCAGCTGCGACGCGGGTTTTTTTCTGCAGGTGGAGACCGAAGATGCGTCGTCCACTAGCGTCATGACGCGGAGCTGCCAGCAGAACGAGTGCAGTTGCGAGAATGGATTTGGAGCAAAGGGTCCGGCCTGCAGTTCCCGCGCAGCCAGGCAGTGCGAAAGCTGCGACGCGGGGTTTCACTTAGAGAGGAGGAACGTTGACAGTTCTTCTCCTGTTACCGGAACTGCAAGTGGAACAGCACTGCTACTACAAGAAGGATCTTCGGCACAAGACGGCATTTCATCAGCGACAAATGCAGAGTCCATCTGCACTCCGAACATCTGCACCTGCGAGCAGGGCGACAAGGCCGCGGTGGGAAAACAGTGTCTCGCGCACAACGAGCATCGGTGCGACAAGACCGTGACCTGCAATGCCGGCCACTACTTCGACGCCCGCACGGAGACCTGCGCCCCGGCGACGTGTGCCTGCCCGGGCGGCGAACCTGCGGATAGTAAGGAGTGTGTGGAGATTTGGGCCCAGAGCTTCGCGATCGGCGGTGGTAATTTTTCCGGAGGAGATCGTAGTAGCGCACCGGGAGGTCGTGCAAGTTCTAGTACGTCGTTGGAGAACTACGGACGAAAAAAACCTTCGTCGACCTTAGCCGACCTGTTCTACCAGCCGGATCCAAGCAAAGTTTCGTTGCTGGAAATAGATGATTCGAGAGGTGGTCGGGGAGAGGCAGCGTTAACAAGCACGTCCCAGCACGAGGTTTTTAGTGACAGTACCGCAAGAACGTCCTCCGCCCTGGACACCTACAAATCCGTCGCCTCCAGCTCCTCCCTCCGCATTGCTTGCAAGTCGTGCCACGCCGGCTTTCACGGCCCAGTAGCCCTTGCCGCCGGAAGCACCGCCGGCGAGGCTCCCTACTGCGTACCCAACATCTGTCACTGCACTGACGGTGCACCGCGAAGCGCGTCCTCCTCCCCCGCATGTTCGGCGAATGGCGGCCACGAGTGTCTTTCCTGTGCCGCGGGGTATATTCTCCGAACAACGAGCTCTGTTTCCGGAACAGAAAGTGAGTCGTCAACGATGAAAAGTAGGACCAGTACTGTCTGTGTGGATGCCAGCAGGCAGGCATCGATCAACGGCGCGATTCTGCTGTCCACCTCGATGAGCGCCAGGCCGCTTGGAGCAGGTACTGGTAGTGCAATAACCACGAACGCGCTCTTCTGCGACTCGTCGAGAGAGGTCGAAACAGAGCTGTACGACGGGACGACAGCGTGCAGCTTTGTAGGGCCAGATCCGATGAACCGCTGTTCCTGCAACGCTTTTCTGGGCCACAGCGAGTCGGTGGAAAATTTGGCAGCAGCTACGGGGAGGAAGTCCGCCGGGGCCCTCACCGTGCCGATGCTGGTAAGTGATGCAAATATGAGGTGTTGATGTCCTTAGCGTGAGCAGCCCATTACAATTTGCATTTCATGATGTTTCGGATCATCTACCTGCATTTGTGTTGCGATTACTTCTTTTGTAGACTAGTCCAGAAAATCCCACAATTCAACCACAGGAAAATGGCTCCTGCTTCCCGGTCTCTTCCCTGAAAAAAGCGTGCGAACGCCTGGACTGCAGCCTGGTCTCCCCGGGGACCTACTACGATCTGAAGACAAACTCGTGCCAGCAGAATGTCTGCAGCAGCTGCGCAAATGGAAGAGGCGCGGTCGGGAACACTTGCTTGCTGCACGGCGGCGTGGATTGCGTCTCTTGTGACGAAGGCTACTTGCTGGAGGATTTCCGGTGTAGAGGGCAGTACTACGCTCTGGAGAGGGAGGAAGAGGAGGATCCGCATAATTTCTACAAGAAGCAAAAGAACAACCGCCCACAGGCCCTTGCGTTGGAGCAAGAGGAAGCCGCGGCTTTGTCCAAAAGAACCACGGCCTCTGTGTCTGCAGGAGAAGTAGAAGGGCGGCATCAGGACGAGTACACAGCCAGCAGCGACTTCTGTCCAGCCGGCGCGGAAATCATGGACCCCGATGAGTGCGCTGCGGCGTTCGATTTTTTGGTTTCCGAGTCCACGATGAAACAAGCGCCGAAAGCGGGAACTACATCAAGTGGAGAAGAAGTTGTGCGCCGGCAAAGTAGAGGAGCCGTTTTGTCCTACCTCCAGCTTTTGGCGAAAAGAAAAAGGACTTCTCTGAGAAATAAATCACACTACACAAGAACCTCCGTCCATCTCTACGACGGTAGCGACACAGGTTTCGAGGTCTTTGACAACACGAAATGCACGACGTCAAAAGGGAAGTTCCTGCACGCTGCGTCCCAGGGAAAATCCAGAAGTTCTGACGAGGAAGTGCAACTCCTTGAGTACCAAGATGGCAGCTTCTCAAGTACAACAAACCAGGAGCTCCAAACCACTGCGTACACCGAGCTTGTCAGGTCCGGCATGAGCACGCCAGCAGCCTGTGCGGAGGCGTGCAAAAACATCGCGGAATGCAGCGCTATCGTGTGGCATGAAAGTGGAAAAAAACCTGTGTGTGAGCTGCTCCGCGGGGAAGTGACGACCCTGGACCGGTTGGAAGTAAACCACAATGCGAAAAGAACCGGTTCGCACCCCGCCCCCTCGACAACGCAGTGCTGGGCGAAAGTGAGGGAAATGGAAGCCGTTCCTCTCGGCTGCGCGTTTTCTGAGAAGACTGAACTTGCGAGGAATCTCGGCGTCTCGTCCCCGTTTCTACGGCTGGGAGAGGAGACTACGGATCAGGGTAGGAAAACATCAAGGACTGGAAATTCCTCTGCTGGGCTGTTCCGGAAAATCTGCCGAAGGAATTCGCACAGTGGCACGAACGCAATCCATGGCACAACTAGAGGAGAAAAAAGCAGCGCAGTTGGTACCCTCACCAAGTCCACGCTCCAGAACATTGAAAGCAGATCTACCCGGCAGCAAGAAACTACCTACGCATTAAACGTGGCAAAGATTGAGGGTGTGAAGTCCTCAATCGGAACCATTCCGCGGTCTGCGGCGCTCGGCTCGTGGTATGGGGACAACGGTCGAGCGAGCAGCTCCGACAGAAGTTCCCTCAACCAAGTCGCGTTTCTGCAAGAAGACCCTCACGTCCGCAACCTGTCCCACGGCCAATACTTGGCGTTCATGCGAAAGTTGAGGACGACCAACCCAATCAGTTTATTGGCGTTGTCGAAGCGGATAGGTCCACCTCCCACGGGAAACAAAAATCATGCAGAAGATCATGATCTGACATTGCTAGAAGACAGCAGGCACAATAAGCGAAATAATGAGCGTGACAGCAGTTCCTCTTCTTCTAGTAGCGCCAGAACATCAAACGCGAATCTACTTCGCGAGCAGGTTCTCCAGCTTTCCGAGCGGGAAAACGCACTGTACACCACGGAAGGATCTGCCGAAGCCGCCATAGACGCCGACGTGAACACCTGCGTCAGTCTCGAGGGACTAGCCAATCCCTCGTACACGATGACGCTTCCGAAGCCGGTACAAGTCAAGGGAATGTCGATGAACTTCGGGGACCAAACACCACCGGAGAAGATGCTGTTTTTCGTGGACGACATTCCGTGTCCGACCAAATTGGATGAGTACAAGCTGAAATCCCGCAACATGCAGTGCCTGTTCGGAAAAACGGGCGAGAACACGCTGGGCAGAATCCCGCCGTCGAACCCGCTCGCACGGACCTGGACGGTCGCAGATTGCCAGGACGACTGTTGGCGTTTCGGGAATGGCTGTTTGGGGTTCACCTTTGTTTCCAAATCGAACGAACCCAGCAGTGTCGGACAGTGCTTTTTCCAAGTACGGTCGGAAAAGCTGGGGACGAAAGTTGTTTCCACGTTGGAGAAGGAAGAGCAATTGGAACAGCAGGATCAACAAACCGGCGCGAACAAAGTCATTGTCCCACCGCCAAACTCGGAGCAAGTGGATTGCTACGAGCGGCAGACCTTCTCTTCCACAGCGACATACACGGCAGCGAAGCTTGGAATTAAGGTCGCAGGGGGTTCATCGGACAAAAGTGCAGGAGGAAACAGCAAGCAGCAAAAAGATATTAAAGGCACGCCGACAACAGAGCAGTGCGGGGTGGCGGGGATGACGGGGCGGAAATTCAGACTGTCAGTTCCGTCCGGGGATAATCCATCGGCTTCGCCGTTGTCGACATCAACTGCCACCTCTTCTGATCCGCACCCGCGGTTGCGGCTTTGCGAACTGGATGTTCATGTCAGCGGGACCACAACCACGATGAGCAAGAACGAAAACGTCCGTCGTGACACCGGTCCGTTCCGCCAAATGCCGATCTTGACGCAGACCTGCCCCACCGGCATGGAAATCACGTCGAAAAGCATGTGCCGCGACGCGCACGCCTACGTCTTTGAAACAATGGCAAAAGAACAAGCGACTGGAGCAGGACCGAAAGAGCCGAAGATCGAAGGCGACGCCGCTTTCCCCGTCGGCTGCAGCATCGACACGACTGCGCCGGCGGCGACCGGCGCTGCGGACGCGGCTGTGCTGCGGTACAAGAGCCCAGTTATTGGTGGCGCTTCTGGAACTACACCGGCGAATAAGCCGACGAAAACCGTGTCAATTGGAATTGGCTTTGGGACCACGCAAAACACAATCAACCAGTCGTACGGAAACACAGTTAGCGGCAAGGACCTGAATAAACAAGGAACTTCAGCAGCGATTACAACAAACCCCACGACGGAACAAACAAGTTTTTCCCCTCCGACCTCCGTTCTTTCCGGCCGGACGCGTTTGCTTTGCCGTGGCGCCATGACGGAACCCGAGCCGGAGCTTGCGCTCGCAATCCAGACGGACGCCCCGGAGTTCAAATACGACGGAACCGCTTGGTCGGTGCAGAAGGCGACGGACTTTGGCAGTGGCAACTTCGTTATCAAATGCAAATCTGTCTGGGTCTGGAAGAATGCAAACTGCTCATGCATATTCTCCATGCCCCATGAGGTTTGGAATGCAGGACCTAGCATGACAGAGTCTGTGAGGTCTCTGTCATGCCTCTCCTGCATGAGAAACTCTCACCCAACTTGATCGAAAGAGGACAGCTTTTGGCAGTCATGCAGCACAGATTTTTGCATGATTTGGTTTTAGCATGACAAGTTTTATCAATCTTCCAGACCCAGACATTTTTGCAAGTCATATTCGTCACAGACGCTTATTTCAAGCCCGCGTCTACGGTGATTCTCTCAATGAACGCAAACACCGTCAGTTTCGATTTGAAGAAGGACCAGAAGCAAAAACCGACCTCCCCGGGCGGGGCGCGGTCTGTCGCCTCCAAATCGCTGTCCGAGTTAGTGCAAGCACCCCTAGGAAACGTGGCTTTGAACGGGAACGTGGTGAAAACAAACGGGTTATGGAGTGCAAATATGTCTGGGTCTGAAAACTTGTGATGCAAGTCCGTGAGCAATAAAGTGCTCTGTAATGCGCCGCCAAGCACGACAAGTTTTTTCGTGTTTCTGTGCTGCGTATTTCGCATGAGAAACTGCGCTTTTGCATGATAGGCAAGAGGACCTCTTGGTGGCCACGCAATACAGAGTGCAGAGTCATACTAGACTAGCATGAGAAGTCTCGCAATCTTCCAGACCCAGACACTGTTGCAGTTGATACGGGTTCATGGCCGGGGAGGTGTCTGCCGGAAAACTTTCGGTCCCGACCGCAGACGTGTTCAACGTGTACTCTACTATCCAAGTGGACCAAATGACCGGCGCACCTTACGCCTTCGCGCAAACCCCGGATGTTAGGCACGCGCCGCCCCTGGACAGATTGGTTTTCAACGGGTACACAACGGAAAATAAAATGCGGATCGGGTTATGGAGAAGCGAACTAGGGGATCTAGCGCAACAAGCAGGTCTTCTGCCGACGAAACAGACACAGACGGTGGTATCGCTGTTGGAACAGGAGGAAATAAAGGGGACTACTTCGAAGATGAATCACTTCCAAATCCCTACCACCGTCCTTGGCAACACAGTCTACTCCCAGACGCAGCAAGCTACCGGTACAGCTTTGCAGAACCTACCTACAACATCCTCTTCTACTGGTCAATCTAATGATAAACTCTCTTTGATGCCGCGGTCCGGCGAGGGCGTGGGCTTGCAGTCGATCGCATCCGGGGTGGCGGATTTCCAGGCGGACAAGAAGCAGTTCGATAGCCGGTTTCACCCCGTGCAGGTCTTCGTGCAGCCGCAAGGGCCGCACCTGGCGCTGGAGATCTTGGATGACGAAAAGGACTTCCGCTACGCCGGTGCTGCGTGGGACGAGTACGGCCCGAAAACGATTGGAAAAAGATCGAAAATCCATCCAGGATACAACTTTGCGATCAAGGCACTGCAGGTCGAGCAGAACGGGAAGCTTGGCCCGCTGTTGTTCCTCCGTAGCGAGGATCAAGGGAAGTCCCTGCGGGATTTGCTGACCGACACGTCTAGTGGCCGGGAGATCAGCTTGAAAAACAACGACCAAACGCTAGCCGCGAAACAGAAAGCCGCACAGCAACAGGCGATTTTTGCCCAGAAAAGTAGTAGAAGTGCCACGTCTAAGCAAACGGACAGGCAAACGGCCGATCCTTGCGACGTCGGCGACTACTTCGTGGACAGTGCGGCTTGCATCGAAAATGTGAAGAAGTCCGTCGTGCCGACTGCGGTGAACTGGCTGCACAGCGGCGGGAAAAGTTTCCCGACCGCGAGCAAAAATGCGGAGAAGGGGGAAGTTCTGTGCACCACGGATGAGGACAAAGGCGTGCACTTTTTCAACGGCGAATTTGTGACGGACACCAAGCAGTACCAGCAGGTGAGGCTGGGACGGTTTCAAAGTGGTATCGATCCGATATGGGATTCTCAAACGTTACATTCTCAACTGTTACATGGATTTGTCATGCAAAATTGACATAATTGCCCTGCACTTGATCAAGGTGCTTAGCATGACAAATTTTCGAAGGGCTAAACACCATGATACTCTGTGGAAAATCTGTGATGCGAAAGTTGCAACGTTGCCACTTTCACTGTTGCTGTTCTTGCATTACAAATCCATGTAACAGTTGAGAATGTAACATTTGAGAACGCCATATCCGAAAGCCTGTTCGTTCCCCGAGTCGAGTAGCGGGGTCGGGTTGTCTTCCGTCGCGTCGGGGAAAGAGTCCTCCTCTGGCGCGGTCTTTGAGCCGGTCCGAGTTTTTGTCTTCGCCTTGTCCGACTCCACGCCACTGGAAGGACAAGAAGAGCCTGCTGGTGGTGGTGCTACTGCCAATTATGCCCCGCCTGCTGTGACGCTGTTTGAAAGTTCGCGAAAGTCTTGGTTTGGATCGGAGGAGGAAGGTGAAAGTGGCAGTGCTAGTGGTACCCGACCGGATACAACAACGGATTCGGCATTGCTGGAGAGTGAATTCGCAGACGAGGAACAAGCCAGCAAATCACAGTCAGACCAAGCCCCTGTCGTCACCGCGGTGAAAAAGCAAGCAGAACTGCTGGGTTGCTACGCGATGGGCCCTATCCTGTGCAAAAGTATCGTACTCGTATGGATTGCAGTCATGCATGACAGATCTACTGGGTTCCTAGCGAATTCAGCATTAGAAATTCCATTTTTGCTTCTGGAAAAATTTGTAATGCTATTTCCACTAGTACGATACTTTTGCAATGCATAGGCCCGACGACCACCCAGTCGGAGAAAAATCCGGACTACAGCAAACCCGCGAAGTCCTCCTTTCAAACGTATCCTGTGCAAAAGTATCGTACTCGCATGGATATCATGCATTACAAATCCCTTTGTTAAGGTAAATCAGCATTACAAATTTTATTTCTCATGCTGAGGAAATTTGTAATGCATTTATACGAGCACGATACTTTTGCAGTCCATAAAACGGTGCAAGCCGCGAATTTCCCGGCGATGGTGCTGGTTTCCAAACTGACCCAGGAAACCTGCTCCGGCATGTGCGGCTCCTTTCCCTTCTTCGGGCTCTACGGTGGCGACGCGGTTTCCTGCAGGTGCGGCGACAAAAATGCCACCGCGGAACTCACCAAAGTGGACGATGTCGAGTGCAGCAAAGGGCTGTACGATATCGAAGGGTGCAACCTGGACGCCGAGTACTGCGGCGCGACCGATCGGATTGCCGTGTACAGCACGAGCTTTAACCGGGTTTTGACCGAAGAACTGTGGACGGACGGGGCGGACTTGACCGGCACCGCCGACCAACCGTCTGTGAAGCAAACGGTTCCCGGGAACTTCACAGCGGACACTTGCTCCGAGCAGTGCTTGGCGACGAACTGGTGCGCGGGGGTGCTCGTCGACCCTTCGTCGTTGACCGAGGGGTGCATTTTGACCGCGACGTTAGCTCCGTCGAAAACGACCCCGGGCACGTATGCGCATTACCGGTCGTTGCTCCCCACCGCACTCTACACAGACGGGTACGTTCGGGTTGCGAGTGGCATGGTGCTGGAGGGCAAAATCCTCCCCGATTTCGCGATCGTCACGGAGCGGCAACTGGTCCGGATCGGGGAGAGCGGGAACATGGTGAACAGCACGGCAACGGACGACACGACGGAAACGGTTATCCTGAGTAAAAACGTCCCCACACCAGAGTCAAGAGGGGAAATCTGCTAGGCAAATCAACCAGCTTTGGTTGTTTGGCATGACAAGTTTGTCCTCGTAGTGTAATCCTTTTTTGCTAGGTTCAGAAGCATCACAGATCTAGCATAGCATGCTGATTCCAGCATCACAAATTCCAAAACACGAACAGCAAATGCTTCTCATCGGGCTCCGCATGAGAAACTTTTTTGGCATGCAGAATTGCGTGACAACTATGGGGTGGGGACGTTTTTACAAATGATAACGGTGCGACTCTCCTCCACGATGTGTCGCAGTCTGTGCGACGACGCGGTGCCGACTATCGAGAGGAAAAATCCCCCCTCCCCATATTGAAAAGGCATGTTTCCGAAAATTTGTGTTGCTGATTTGAGGTCACAAATCACATTTGTCTTGCAAGAAGGCAAGGGCAGAAGCTTCCGCCCCATTATGGAGGCGATTTGTCATGCTGTTGGGCCTAAAGGGGAGCCGCTTGCCATGCTGAACAACTAGACGCGTGCGCCCCTACCTAGCCTGGGGGCCTGACTGCAATGCTTTCCTGCAGTACAAAGCTGATTTGTGCACTCAAATCCAGCGTCAGAAGTTTCGTTTTGATATGGGGAGGGGGGACTTTTCCTTTTAATACCGACGTGCGGTGGTTTTGTGTACAACAAGATCGGCGGGAATTGCGATTTCTACTCCGCAGCGACCGTGCGCGCAGTGCCCGCGACTTTATCTGATCCGGGCGGGATCGCAGCGTTTTTGCGGATTTCGACGCCGCAGAGCTTGACCCCGGAGTCCGTGCCGATCAAGGATCTTTTCGAGAAAGCGTTGCTGAGCGCGCCCATGCCACTTTGGCGGGAGGGGGCCGCGAAACTTGCGGGGAGCACACCCGAATTCCCCGCCCTCGTCCCGAGATTTTCCCGGACGGCGGACTTGATTTGCCCCACCGGGTACAGACGGAAGCTCGGGTTCTTCCAGCACATCGACTTGGTCACGAACGACGCAAACACGATCCAGAACGTCGGCATCGAGGAGTGCACCGCGGAATGTGAAAAGCGGGACAAAGATTGCGAGTCCTTCGAGTACAGCGTGAACAAAAGACACTGCATTTTGCAAGCCAGTTCCTACGCGACCTCAACGAGATTCGACGACTTTGTGCTCTGCATGAAGGCGGATATCGTCACCACGAAAGCAGGAGGGACTTTGGGTATCGAACCCGCGCAGAAGCACATGGGCTGCTTCGACTCGGACTTGCTCGCCAACCCGGAAACGACCCCCTGGACGCGCGCGACCAGCTACCCGGTGGGGGAGAGTGCGAGTGTCGCGGAGTGCCGGGAGTGGTGTTTGATTGCCGCGAAGCAGACGTTGATCACCGCGGAAAACGCCGATCGGGAAGCAAAGAATCTGACCGCGAACGCGACCGGTGCGGATGTCGGACCGGCGCCGACCCATTACTTCGCCGTTGGGGCGAGTGACTGTTTCTGCAGCTTGTTTTACCTGCCGGACTCGATGGACAGCTTGCGAAAGCCGGATTCCCAGTGCGGCCCCTGCACGGCGAAGGGCGAGGACCCCAGATTCCCCTGCGGCACGCCGGCGGGGGTGCCGGGGCGGCGGGTGTCCGTTTACGAAGTCAAATTGGAGGAGAACGTGGTGAATGCCGACACCGTATCAAATGCAACAATGTCTTGGACTTGGTCTGGAAGAATGCAAGATTTGTGATGCAGTTTTTCCATGACCCACGGGGCCTGGAATGCAGCACCTAGCATGATAATCGCTGTGAGGTGTCCATCATGCCTATCCTGCATGAGAAACTCCCTGTCAAACTGGTCAAAAGTGGACATCTTTTGGAAATCATGCAATACAAATTTTTGCAAGCTTCAGATTCAGCATGACAAGTTGCATTCTTCCAGACCCAGACATTTTTGCATTTGATACACCGGGCTGCTCAAGCTGGACGACAGGATCGCGATATTGAACGGCGGAAACGTCGCGGAGCAGGCCGCGACGCCGAATCGCAACGGCGGCATGTGTCTGTGCCCAGATGGGAGCATTGAGTACGCGGCCGCCGTGTCCGACGCAGACTGCACGGACCTCTTCTGCCACGGCGGCGTCGCCGGCACTTGCCGCCGCGCGGATGGCCCCTGGGCGGGGAGGAAGGTGCACTGCGGGCTGCCTTTAGTGATGAAGGAGAAGTCCGCTAGTGGTGACTTGGCACTGACCGCGGGAAAGTACGTGTTTCGCCTCGGGGACGAGAGCCGGTTTCAAAATCTGGTCCGCGCGGCGATCAGCGACACGAGCGGGTACGAGGCGTCGAAGGCCTGTGCGGCCCACTGCGCCTTGAACAATCGGTGGTGCGATTACTTTTTGATTTCCCGCGACCCGAGGAGCAAAAAGCCGTTCGAGCAAGGGACGTGTGAGTTGGTGTCGAGAACCGTGGAGCCGGCGTATGAGCCGGATGCTGTTTTAACCGACGACCAGCCGATGTCCTACGGATTGTACCGTGCGGTGAAGCGCGCACCCTTAATCGACGGCTACCGCTTGACCCCCGGCGTCGAATCGGTCTCGGGCGCCGACATCCCCGCGGGCAAGCCGTCCGCGGTGGACGACGACCGGGCGACGCAGGTGCAGTTACCCGTCGGCGGCAAGTGGGGTATGACGTTTCCGAAGCCGGTGCGGGTAGCGAGTGTGCAGGTGCGGTTCACGGCAGCGGAACTGTCTGACACGGGCGATTTTTCCGTCGAAGTCGACGAGCAAGAGTGCAAGACGCGAGCAAGTGAAGAAATCTCAAACGCGATCTCACCAGCTAGCGCGACCAGTCCGGAGGTGGTCGATGTGATCAGCTGCAACAACCTGCGGGGCTTGAAAGTCTCGGTCGTGAACAACGGAAAGGGGGACGCCATGCTCTCGGACGTGCAGATTTTGGGCGATCCGGGTGGTTTGCAGAAGGACGACAGCAGCGCGCGAGCGTACGAGTGCGAAGTCGGAACGATGGTGGCCGACCGGTGCGCAACGGAGGACTGCGGACCCGCGTTTACAGCACCGGGGGCCACGTCGACAGAGGTAAGTAGTAGGGGATTTTAGTTTTCCTTCTGTTGTAGTTTTCCTTTCTGTACAATTTTTGTTTTTCGATACGTCATCAAGCTTCACACGTGTTTGTGTTTGTGAAGTATTACCGACATCATGCAATTTATACTCCAATCATTCAACATTACAGCAAAACGGCGTTGCCTGCGCCGCTGCCTGTGACGCGGCCGCGGATTCTTGCGTCGCTTTTGATTACGAGGCGACCGCGAAGCAGTGTCGGCTTTTTGCCTCCATCGGTCCCTTTGCCGGCCCCTCTGCGTGGGAGAAGGGCTTGGGGCCAAACGCCAAAACCTGCAAGGTCGAGGGCTTGTGCACGTGCGAATTCGGCAAGCCCGCCGTCGGCACGCTCTGCTCTAACTTGCCCGAGTTTGAAGAGCGGTGCGCGGCGCCGGTGATGACGAGCAACGTGACAACGAACTCGACGACGTGCGAAACAGGCTTTTTCTACAACCTGGTGTCCAAAACCTGCACGCCGAAGCAGTGCGCCTGCCCGAGCTACAGTGACCCCAGCACCGGGAGTACCACCATGACAGGCTTCGCCGCGACGGGGGAGAAGTGCCCAGAACACGGCGCGGTGCACTGCGTTAGGTGCATCAACGGGTTCCAGCTTTTCCCCGTGAACAAACGGAAGGAGCTCCGCGAAGAGGTCGAAACCCTTCGCATGGAGTGCCGCACGGAGCACTCGATGTCGGTGCGGCTCGCGAGCACGACCAACTTCCTCCCGGACGCGTCGGCCAACGCGCACGGCCAAAACAACGCGGGCGCGGGGGCGTTCCAAGACAGCAGTATCGGGGAGGCGCAAATCGCCCGGTTCCAGCGGCGCTCGGGCGATCTGAGCCGCGCGTTTTGGGGCAGTGTCTGTGGGAACGAAGCGGACGACAACGCCGCAGACATGATGTGCCGGCAAGCCGTATCCTGAGTAAAAACGTACCCACACCATAGTTGTCATGCAAATCTGCATGCTTAAAATGTTTCTCATGCGGAGCCCCATGAGAAGCATTTTCTAATGGTGTTTTGAAATTTGTCATGCTACAAGCAGCATGAGAGACTAGATCTGTAATGCTACTGAACTATCTCAAACAGCACTACACTACGCGTCCAAATTTGTCATGCGAAACAGCCAAAACTTGTGGATTTGTCTAGCCGATTCCCCATCTTGACTATGGTGTGGGTACGTTTTTACTCAGGATAAGCCGGGTTTGCGGACGGGGGGAAGTTTCTGCGTCCGGGTTCCGATTTCCTCTGGCTCCCGACGCCACGCGCACTCTCGCCCATCGACGGGACGAAGCTCACCGCACCGGAAATGGACAGCGAGCGGCTAGACAAAGACGACATCATCACGTTGCAGATAGGCGAACGGCGGGAGGAGGTCGTGGAGTTTCACAGGAGGCCAGGAGCAGGGCAACAGCCTCAGAAAAAGACGCGCCTGGCCCTGCTCCAAATGACCGTTGACAGTGAGAGGGCCCATTTGAAGAACCTGATGCGGGACAGTTTGCGAGAGGCGTCGAAGCGTCTGTCAAGTAGAACGATTGCAAATACCGGAAACGAGCTGCTTTTCGGCGCGGCGAGAAGAGCCCAGCAGTTTCAGACGCCCGACGCGTCGTCGAACAGTAGTACTGTCGATAATAGTACAATAACTCCGGCTCCCGACGAAGACGACGAGGTGGAAGTGACGCCGGCCGGCGGCATCCACCAACAGACCTTCCCGCCCGCGCTCGCGAACCCACAGTGCCCGAAGGCGGGCGCAAAGGAGGTGTTGATGGTGCCCTTGAGTTCGGAGGCGAAAACCAGGTGCGCCGACCGGTCGGAGGCGTATCAGTTCTACGACGGCCGATACACCACCCCGACCCAGTGTGCGACGCTGTGTCAGATCCAAACTCTGTGCCGGCGGATGGAGTTCGTCTCGCCCGCGATGTGCCGGCTGTACCCGGTGGGAGGCTGCAAGCAGATCGTGAAGGAAACGGATCCGGACAGACCGCCCGACGAGCTGATGACCATCGCGGAAAAGACTTCCCGCGGGGACCTCGGCGTGTACAAGCGGATCGAGCGCGCGAGGTGCGCGCCGCAGTGGAAGATGCTGAAGAACGAGTCCGAAGTATCGGAAGGAAAATCCCCCCTCCCCATATTGAAAAGGTATGCTTCCGCAAATTTGTGTTGCTGATTTGAGGCCACAAATCACATTTGTCTTGCAAGAAGACAAGGGCAGCAGCTTCCGCCCCATTGGGGAAGCGATTTGTCATGCTGTTGGGCCCAAAGGGGAGCCGTTTGCAATGCTGAACAACTAGACCCATAGGCCCCTACCCAGCCTGGGGACGATCTGGCCACAGTGCCTGCCTGCAATACAAAGCTAATTTGTGTACGCCAATCTGGCATCAGAAGTTTCGTTTTGATATGAGGAGGGGGGATTTTCCCTTTTGATACGAAGCGGAAGCCACGTTCGAAGAGCGGGAAATGATCGAAGTGGTGCCCGACCAACCGCCGGTCATCATGGACATGGCGGACATCCGCGGCACGGTTGCGGAGTGTCAGAAGCTCTGCGATAGTATGGGGGAGAAGTGCAGCGGGTTCACCTCCGTGGCCACGCCACGGGACCAAATGCGGATCAGAGTGGGCATGTCCTTGTCGCAACGCAGGTACGTGACGCAGAACAACTTGACCGACTGCTGGGAAATCGGGGACGTGACACTAGTCACGGAAGGGCCCGAGAAGGTTTTAACGAACATTGTACCAGTAGAAATTACCGGGTCAAGCATCGAAAATCCGGAAAATTGCAACGACGGATCGGAAAAGACGAAGTGCTTGATTTCGCCAGATGTGACAACGGATAACGGTGACAACGATGACGAGGACACCACGATCGTGCCGGACCTCTTCATTGAGTTCCCCGCGCCGCCGAACACGACGCAAATCCAGATGTTCCAGAGGCCGACCTGGTGCCGCCCGGCGAAGGTGGACAAAAACGGGAACGCGCGGGAGGACGACATGGCGTATGGATTGCAAACATGTCTGGGTCTGGAAGAATACAAACTTGTGATGCGCATTTCAGAACACAGAAAAATCTCTCATGCATAGGCAGCAAAAGTTCAAGTTGCAGTGCGCACTTTCTGTAACCAAAATGGGGGATTTGTGATGCGGATTCGGCATTGCGGAAGCTTCTCGAAACCTGTGGTGCTAGAGCTTCCACGCCAGACCTTCTGCGTCATGCAAAAACAGCACGACTCTTCCAGACCCAGACACTTTTGCAATCCATATGGCGAAGGCAAAGGCAAATTTGATGAACGAAACCGTGTTTCCGCTCGGGTCTCCGTCGGAACTCCCAGATCTCCCCATCACCGTCTCCGTTTCGGATTCGGACCGGCAAGTGTGGACGCAACTGCAGTCTATGAAAGCGTCGAATTGGCGGGTGGGGGGCTGGAATTTGATTACGTTGAACGCCGCGGAGATGACATGCAGTTTCTTTTCCGCGGAGAAATTGGAAAACATCCCGACCCCGGACATCCAGTCCGCTTGCTACCAGAAACAAACCTACC